CGTTAGCCACCGCTCCAGACCAGGTTCAACCGACAACGGTCTGTGCCACCGTGGAGCATCTTGTCGATGAAGGACTTTTGTGGTCTGGTTGTTGAAGCGACTTTCTCCTTCGGCGAAGATCAAACTCCTATGGGCCACGGCAAGTGTTTTCGGGCCTGGACCATTTGATTCCCCCCCATTCCTTGCCGTTTCGCTTGATTCCCTCTCTTTTCCCTCAGTATGTCTGTCGATCTCGAAAGCAGAGCAATCATGACCCTTCTGGGGGTGCTGTGCAGATCCAAATAGTGCCCGGTTGGTAGAATTGGCCGGCAATAGTGTGTGGCGGGAGATTGTATATATGCAGTATGCACTCCGGAGTTGATCCGATTCCTACGACGGTGATAGCTCCAGAGGGAGGTGCGAAAGGATGTCTGCTTCTTTGTTCCGTTTGGTGCTCAGAATCAAGCAAGTGCTATTCTCTCCAACAGTCGTACCAGGGGTCTTCTTCTTGATTGTTGGCTAACTTGCTCCTTCTGGTTAACCTGTTCCAGCCTCTTGGTTCGTCACACAATCACTCCCGGCTCTGTCGACCCGAGTCCATGGTGGCGAGACTCGAAAGTTGACAGTTGACAGCCCTGAACACGCTAAAGGTACCAGGTAATTAGCGGGGACCAGGGGAGTAGGGATAGCTCCTTGCGCTTGGTAGTAGCACTAGCATAGCGTCGGATATTAGTCCTTCCGCTAAACTGCGAAGGGTTTGGGAAGTTGGTCGATGATGATTCCGCACCTCTTCTGCTCCACAGACTTTCAATGTCAAAGCGGCCTTGGCTTGAGGAAGGGACGTTGATGGCCCCCATGCCCATCCTGGCCTGGCGTCGAGGACGAAGCCCCATTTCTGAAGAAGGTACCGTGTATAGAGGCAAAAAGAAAAGGCTCTGCAGAGGCTGACGCCAACAACCAAGAATAACCGAGAGCTGAGGGAATAATGTTTGTACCTGCATGCTGCTTCCAGGTTCCATCGACCAACTGCAAGTGCAGGAGCGACGGTGTTCGTACATACACAGTGCATGGCAAAATATGTACCGCATATGCAAGGTACGAGTGCAGGACTGATAATAAGCCTTGAGATGGCCGAGGTGATAGACGTGAATCATGTACCATCTGGCCTGGGGTACATGTTTGGCTAAATCCATGGCGACTTAGGGTCAGGATTGTGAGAGGGTCTGGGAAGAAGATCCACAGGATCTGTCATGACTCCTGGTACGCGCTACGTATACGCACTGTATCATGAGCTCATGGGGCTCACAAGCAGCCAAGCTGCCGTATTGGGAGAATGACAGGTGTTATTTTGGCGAATATCCGAGAGATTAACGACGACGAACCAAGTACACATTTATGTAGGTACTCTGTAGGTAGATTGATTAGAGAAGAGTCAAGATGACTCTGAGGCTCTGAGCAGGAATCCAATTACTACATACCCTGGATAGTTAGGTAGCTACTCGACCAGATGCTTACCTCCACTGTAGAGTGTCCAGAGAAGGAAGGTCAGAGAGGTACCCGGAACGGAACCCTCACCGTAGCCCCATTGTGGAAGAGGCGAGAATGAGCTAGCGTACCCTTACAGGTAGCAGTGAAAGAGAAAACAGACCGAATGTCACGTTGTGGTGACAGTATGTTGGTTTAATGCATTCACAAGGCCATTATGTAGGATTGGCTGTTTCACCTAAAGTAAACGGCGTTGCTTGTGGGCTCTGACAGGGTCAACTGTCGTGGGGAATGACGATGAACCGCATTCCCATTCTGGAATCAGCCATTGAGATGCCCCTATGTTCCGCTCGCTCGAGACCGGTGTTGATGGCGGTATCAGGCCTGCATCGTATACAGGTAGATGTATACTATGTAGGTGGCGCAAGGTTCTAACAGCTTTCCTGAGGGACAGGTTTTGGCGACGTTGCTTTTCCCTTGGCGAAGAGAGGAGCGCAAAGGGTGGAAGGAGGTTTTACCTCGCCGAACCAGTCGGGTCTTTGGAATCTACCTATTAGGTCAGGTAAGTGGCTGAAGTGTTTCTTCTGCGATGTGATTTGTCTCTTTTCGTTTCTTTTCCTTCGCCTTTTCGTTCGTTTTCTTCCTTGACTTGAAAACTTCCCTGTGGCGCGACTGGCCGGTCAGCCACCCACCTACCAGCTGATGTCTCGTTCTTCCTTTTGGGCGGCCTGCGGAGCCGTTGGTAGGGAGAGGGATTTTGACAGGCTTGTGACAGCGACTAAGCAGAAATGTGACGACATGTTAGATCGTGTTGCCACAGCTGTGATACGGAAACTCGTAAAGGGTGAAGCCGGGAGCGCAAAAGCTGAGGTGCAATTCCAGGCGGCCGCTCTCGATAGGGTTTGGAGGGGCTCTGACGAGCCTCTCTGAATGGCCACTTCCACTCACCATGGCCCGTCCGCTAACTGGTTAGTGGTTTCACGTTCTTACACGCACACCAATGAAGATAAAGGCGCCTGCCTGGTTGACCTGCGCTGCATAAAACGCATGCCATCACTGCCACTGCCAGGTCCCATTCGCTGGCGCAGCATCACAACGGCCAATTCTGGCTATTTTGGCTTGCGCGGGTGTGGACGGTCTTGACGCCGGATTGGGTGGTGGTGGTGATGCTGATGGCTGCCGCCTGTTGGACTCACCACTCTCACTGCATCTTTTCATTTTTTCTCGTCACTTTTCCCACCTCCGGCTTGAGCTCTTCTTTATATTTTTAGCACCTGTATACATAGTGAGTGTGTATGTGTATCACATGGAATACCTGGTATCTGAAACGATCACTCAACCTTGGTTTCTCATTCGCCCGAATGGCATAGAATGGAGGTTGGAAAGGTACAAAATACCTCTCTCCGTCCATGTCACCGAATTTCTAGGTTTCCTGCCTGTCTCTCCAAAGTTCCGCCAAAAACTCGAATTCCTGGTTAATGAGATCCCCGCCTTCGAAGGCATGAAATCGTAGGCGGATCATCCCGGGCATCAGTTTCAATGCTGACACCATTTGCTGGGTGTTTCGTACACACTCCACCGCAATCATTACGCATGAAGATAAGAGGCTTTGCCGCGTTGTTTCGAGCAACATAATGTTCCGACCCAGCCTGAAGATCGCTGCCACTCTCTGGTACCGGGTCCTGGCTGTTGCAAATCCGCTATAGTTGGCACTACGAAGTGACTAAACAATCAGTGTACAATCCAATACGATACGTCGTATGGGACTGGGAACAGTGCTTGGATCTACCTAGATGCATACACTACAGCATCTGGAGTCCTACCAACTTACTTAGGTAGGTATGTACCTACTATGACCGCAGTACACTTATTCGCTACACTACGGACTACGACGTACACTAGTGTGCGAGGCAGAGAGGCACCTGCGTTCGCTGCACACGAACACACGCACACACACACCACAGGATCGGCGGTGCGAGCGCGACGCTCGTTCCGCTCCCCTCTCTTCTGCCAGCGTCTGTCCTGTCCGGTGAGTTGACGGCTGATGTGGGTGGCCTCCGGATGACTTGGTGCCTTGCATTCCATCCCGTTTTGCCACACGGCGCGGTAAACGACTGGCCAGCCGAACAAACGAGAGAGTTGGAGGAGTGTGACAGGACAGCATTAGCAGCGAATTGGCTGCGACGACCGCGATGGCTGTGCGTCGGAGGCAGAACCTTTTGATCGCCCTCGAGCCATTTGTGCAAATTGTGTGGGTGCACTGGATGCACTGGATGGTAATCCTCCCCAGAGCTGGCCTATCAGAAAGCTAGCGCCCGACGCCGTCACGCATAACTGTCGCTCGTTGGTCTGTGTGAGGATGAGAGCAGGGCAATCAAAAATCGCTCTATCCAGGTGCATAAGCAGTATGTAGGTAGTTATCTTCCAAGATTACGAACGACATGAGCCACTGCAACGGCCATCGAGGACGAAATCCCTCGTCCGCCAGACCCAACGCCAGACCCACTATGCCAACAGAGAGACAGAGCCAAGACGAAGTCAAGGCCGCTCCACCTGCTCGCCAATTTCATTTTCCCCGGATGGCAGCGGCAGTCAGAGAGAGACACCTCTCCCAAGAGTCGAATGAATCGAACTGTCCGAGGTAGCCCATGTTCCTGCGAGGTGCCGACCGTACGCAGTAGTGGACTATGCATGTACCTAGTGGACCTCGTGGGAGCGTGCCTGAATTGCTAGTTGCATGTATTGGCGTCTCGCCCCACCAGGTCTCTCCAAGAAAGAGCAAGGGTGCAGAGAAGGTATCCTCGCTCTGGCGGTACCTCCGCGTTGCATGCCTCCAGAATTAGAAATTGCCTAGAGCGGCATAGCGCGCTGCGCCATCCAACCCAACCCTGGGAAAACCGCGCCAGCCATCTGATGTATCTTGTCGTCGTCTTGCCCCAGACATACGGACAAGGGTGCAGGGGTGTCGTCCTGCGCCGTCTGTCCACCAGTGGGTTCAGTTCTCCGCCCGGCCCTTGTCAGCTCGACCGAGCAAGATGGGTTGGTGGGTTGGTGGGTTGGTCCCACCCTCGATCCAAGCCTGTGCCTATCGCCGGTCCAAAAGCCTCGACAACCATGCTGGGCCTTGTGTGTCGTCCTGGGAGACTTACATATTCCCCAAGGGTCCCCATCCTCACGCTCATTTCCTTCCCACCTCGCAATCGGCAGATTTGTCGACTTGGGCGTGTGATTATTTGGTTCTTGCTTTTACATATCGGTTCTTGTATTCTTTTGGAATTCGAGTCTTTTGGAACTTCCATTCCTTCCCTTCCTTCTTTCGACATACTCGCCGTCCTGGCCAAACTGCGCCTCTCAACATCGAACGCAGCGCAAGAGCGATAGAGAGCGCAACATTCCCCCGCCGGACGAGTCCATGTACAACTAGCACTCCGCGAGAGCCTCACCAACCTGGAAAGTCTCTGATCTTATCGATCTCGGCTACCGTCCACTCCTTCCAACCGGAACCGAACCCACCATCATTAGGCCCGCCTGCCCACCCCAGACGTTCGCAAGAACTTTGTACACCATACCATACCATACCTTACCAAACCAAACCACCCACTTATATATATACTTAATTGTAAACGGACGACCGAATCGCACCCTTACTAACCAAGAGACTTCATTCCTGGCCCTGGTTGGTAACGCCCGCAATCGACTGGCGTTGGGAGGTCAGAGTGACTGACCTTGAAATGCAGCAATCCTCGACATGGAGACCATGATGACCCCCCAGGCCATGGTTCCGGCCACCTTCTTCTACAACTCTGATCCAAACTCGGAAAACCGCCAGCACATGCACTTTGCCTCCCACCCGGGTATGCAAGACATGCACATGTATCCCGCTGTTCCTACGCTCGCCTCCACGCCCATGTACTCTAGGCCGAGCCCGTCTTCTCAGCCGCTTATGCTCTCCAAGGCTTTCAACCCGGCCCTACCTTCGACCATGACTCCCATGGTGTCTCCTAGGCCACACACGCAGAAGCCGACAATCATCCTGGAGACAGACATCAGCGATGCAGAGGGATACCCATCGACACCGCCACTGTCGTCGTCGTCCAGCGTCATTAGTAGCCCGGGCAGCTGTGATGTGCTGCAGACGCCCCTGAACCCCATGTTCTCAGGCCTAGATGGCGTTGAGGGCAAGGAGGTTTGTGTTGTTGAGGGGCTCGAGAGCTTCCCCAATTTGGACTGGACCAGCTGCGCATCACCACCAATGACACCTGGTGAGTCTCAAGTCTTTTTTTGCTTTTCCTTTTGCTTCTTTTCGTTTTGTCGTTTTTTCTCCCCCCAACCCGCCCCCGCTCCTTCCCTTTGCGCCTCTTAGCCGCTCTCCAGTTCCATCATATATGCATTGGATTTCCTCAAAAATTCACCCCCGCCCACTTGTCCTGGTGGTGAGGCTTTGGCTGGAGTGAGTGAGTGAGTGAGTGAGTGAGAAAAGCTTCAAGAAAAGGGAGCTGAAGTGAAGTTGCTCGATACCGCTTTTGGGGTGGCCACTGCGGGGCTGCCCAGGTTCCTTCCTTTTTCTTCGCTGCCGCAAACTAAAAAAAAAATTAAGAGGCTGACCACAAATTACCTACTCCTACAGTCTATCTCCAATCCCAGCTACAGGCTGCCAAGACTGTCTCACTTAACTGCGATAACACTGCAAGCGACCTCCTTTCTACGGTCTCCTGCCCGTCTCTCTCTCCCTCGCCCTCGCCGTATGCGCGATCTGTCGTCTCCGAAGACATCGACTTTTGCGATCCCCGGAACCTCACAGTCGGAAGTGTCAATTCCACCCTCGCCCCCGAGTACTCGGCCCTGCCCACCCTGTGCTCAAGTGACGACGAGGACCACAAATTTGAGCTCAAGGGTGACACATTTGTCGATGCGTCCACCTCTGCCATTTCGCCAAGCTCGTCATTTGAGTTCAACCCAGCATTGCATCACGGCCTCCCATCCTTTGACGACTTTTCTGACCTGGAATCTGAGGACGACTTTGTCAACGGGCTCGTCAACCTGAGTGACCAACCTGAAGTTGAGCCCAGCCGGTCGCGTGCAAGCTCCGACGCCGTTTCCCTCGGCCAATCGAGCTACGTCTGCGACGACGATCTTGAGGATTTTGAGGACCCGGACGCTTTTGACACCAACGGTCTCCCAAGCCCACCCCAGTCGTGCCAGGACAGTGACGAGCATAAGGACAAGCGAGTAAGGACCTGCAGCAACAACGACGATCATAAGCCCACCATGAACGTCGCCGCCGCCGAGTCCTCATCCGGCAACACGGAGCAGCAGACTTCGAACCAAGGCGACACCACCTCGGAACAAAAGGCCAACTCCAACTCGAGCTCGGATGGCTCTGATGAGAATGGCGGTTCTAGCCAAATGCCCACCCCGGCTAACCGCCGTGGTCGCAAGCAATCTCTTACCGAGGATCCCTCCAAGACCTTCGTCTGCGAACTCTGCAACCGCCGCTTCCGCCGCCAGGAGCACCTTAAGCGCCACTACCGGTCCCTCCACACCCAGGAGAAGCCGTTCGAGTGCCACGAGTGCGGCAAGAAATTCTCGCGTTCGGACAACCTTGCCCAGCACTCGCGGACCCACGGGGCTGGCCACATCGTCATGAACCTGATCAATGACCCCGACTCCATGGCTGGTTCCGGCGGCCACCAGCCGCCCTACAACCATCCCATGATGGGAGGCGTTCCCGGTGGAGAGGACTACCAGAGCATGGGCAAGGTTCTCTTCCAGGTAGCTTCCGAGCTCCCGGGCAGTGCGAGTGAGCTCTCTTCGGACGAGAGCTCCAGCGACCAGGACAAGAAGAAGCGGAAGCGAGCCGACTGAACGGCTCCCCAGCCAAATCTCTGCTTCTTCTAGACTTCAATTAACAATGCCGATGGTTCGCATTGGAACGTCCCGTCGACATTGGATGCCCGGCATGACCATGATGACGACTTTTTCAGCATCTGACATTTTACGTGGACTGGTCGTTAAGGGTCAAAATAAAGAGGGTGTCACTCCACGAGGTTGCTACGAATGGAGTGCCCAGGATGCGTCCCGGCTCCTCCCCTGAGGGGTCTCGGAATACCCAAGGTTGCAACTGTTTTTTTTTTTTTTTTGCGCAGCATTTACATCTTATCTTGCCCTTGTACCAACACTGCTTCTTTTTTTCACCTCGCGCAGTACTTGGGTTCACCGAACCTCGATCAAGGATTGCATTACGAAGGAAAGAAATGGTTCCTCCCCACGTTAGAGGGGCCGAAATAAACACGAGGAAACACGGAGAGCACCCAAAAAAAGAAAGGTTTCGGAGGCGGCGCATGGCAGGAAGAGAGCAGTCATCAAGCCCACAATCCATTTTTCGCTTTTCACTTTTTTACTCCCTGGCAGCTTTCCAGTTCTTTACGCTCGTTGTAATCTGCAGTAGGCGCACCTGGTCGCCGTCATTGCTTTGGCGATTTTTTTTTGGTTAGGAATCTCTCCCCGAGGGGTAGCTTGATCGTCCTCTTCTCATTTGCATTCTCCACCTCGCGCTTCGTTCCGCTTTTCGTTCCGCTTTTCCCTTCCGCGGTCTTTCTCTCAGATATTGGCTCACGAGGAGAACAACACTTGTGTGTGTGCGGGTCACAGCCAGTCAGTTGGTCCAAGGGCTCTGGAGGCGCAGAGAATCATGTACATGTCAACTAGACCCACAGCAACCCCTGACCACGAATTGACAGAAAGACTTCTGATGCTGCCAAACATTATTTGCATATGGTCTATCCGTGACGCTAGCATAGGCATGACACGATCATAGGCTCACCTTCTCTTCCCGCTGCCAAGATCTACTGGTGGCAAATCCTGCCATGGAGCTCCATGTTTGATTCTTTGCCAGGGATCGATCCAGCATCAGTCCAGGGACTCCCCAGAGTGACCGACCATCAGGGTCCTCATCGGGGTCTCCAGGCCACGGGGCCACGGGGCCACCGGTAGATGGACGATGGGGCAGCAAATGCCGAGCTAGTCTGATGGGAGTCAAGTGTGGTGATAGGCTAGCGGGCTAGCAATCTGATGGTGATGATGATGATGATGATGATGATGATCTTGGGGTCTTCTACACTATTGGGTTGCGCTAGGTGTAATGAAGAAACTCGCGGACCCTGGAAGGACTCGAAGACGGAAACCCTTGTGACGATCAGTGACATGTCGTTAAAACTTGGGTGTTTTGGTGTGTAGCCGCCGTGGCGCTGGGTGCCCAGACTTTTGGGGGTTCAAGTCTGGAGGCCTAGACCAACTTCCGGGGGCCCGGGTCCTCGTAGATCTTAATCAAGCGCCGATCGTTTTTGTCGGCCTCCATTCCCAACTCGACTCAACCTGCATCTGCGACCAAGATTGGACGTCAAACCAATTTGCAATTGTAACTAGCACGAGTAGCCTCCACTGGGGAGTGGTTAGGAATGGATGCCCCGGAGGATCGATGCGCGCAGACCGTCCCATGCCAGTGGACACACTAGAGCGGACTGGACCCTGGCAGTAAGCCAGTCGGGCCGGCACCGGGCCGGAAACTAACAACCTCAGACTTGGCAGAGTCAATCCAATCGTACCGGCAGCACGGAGAGTACCTACCCAGCTGTGAAAGGTACATCTGGGGAACATGAAAGCATCAAGTCGAGAGTATATGGGATACCTCGATATTCAAACGCCAGGCCAAGTTCGGAACTCTAGCCAAGATCTTCACTGCACCCCCAATTCCCGATCCCCGGCCGAGAATGGCGCCGCCCAACCCGCCCCCGGGCGGGCCGCCGCCTAAGGGCCTGAACGTCATCGCGCTGGTCTCGGGGGGCAAGGACAGCTTCTTCTCGCTCCTGCACTGCCGCGCCAACGGCCACCGCGTCGTGGCCCTGGCCAATCTCTACCCGCAAACAACGCCATCCGGCAACTCCCCGGACGCCCTCAGCACGGCCGTGCTCCCGGGAAGCCAGCCCTCCGGGCCGAGCACGCCGCATGCCCTGTCGCAGGGATGGGAGGAGGAACAGCAGGAGGAGGAGGCCGACCTCAACAGCTTCATGTATCAGACCGTCGGGCACCAGGTCATACCCCTCTACGCCGACGCCACCAGCATCCCCCTGTACCGCCACCCCATCACGGGGTCCGCAGCCCAGAGCGGGAAGGACTACTCGCACGCCGGTGTGCACCCGTCTGCCAACCCCAGAGGCGGCGGCTGGGAGGCCGCCTCACACGAAGACCGCCCAGGAGACGAGACCGAGGCCATGCTCCCCCTCCTCCGCGCCGTCATGGCCGCCCACCCCGAAGCCAACGCCCTCGCCGCCGGCGCAATCCTGAGCACATACCAGCGCACGCGCGTCGAGTCCGTCGCCTCCCGCCTAGGCCTGGTTCCGCTCGCGTACCTGTGGAAGTACCCCTCCCTGCCTCTGCCCCCTTCCTCCGCCTCCGACGACGGAGCAGCCGAAGACGAAGAGGACGGCTCCCAGCTCCTGGCCGACATGGCAGGCGCGGGCCTGGAGGCCCGCGTCGTCAAGGTCGCCAGCGGCGGGCTGGACGAGTCGTTCCTGTGGGAGGACGTGGCCGGGCCCGAGGGGAGAGCGCGCGTGCGCCGGGCGATGAGGCGGTTCGGGTCCGAGGGGGCCGTGCTGGGGGAGGGGGGCGAGTTCGAGACGCTCGTTGTGGATGGGCCGGGGGACCTGTTCAGGAGGAGGATTGTTATTCCTGAGGCAGGTAGGCGCGTTGTCAGGGAGGGGGGAGGGAGTGCTTGGCTTAGCATACGGGGGGCGCGGGTCGAGGAGAAGGTGCCTGGGGGGCCGGGGGGGAGTGGCTCGGCCGGTGGTCGGGTTAGGATACCGGGGTTGCTCGATGCGAGGTTTGTCGCTTTGCTGGAGGGGCTGACCGCCGGGGGAGGTTACGGCGGCGGTGACGACGTCTCTGGCTCAGGTGTTCAGGGGGGAGATGATCTTCCCTTGGGGCTGCTTCAGCACACGTCGCAGTTGAAAATGCGGCAGTGGTGCGTAGTCGGGGACTTGGATTGCCGGTCCTCCATCGAAGCCGAAACCTCCTCTTTAGTCGAGGCTGTCAGGACACAACTGGGCAAGTCCTCGCTCCCTCCCACATCCATTATCAACACGGTTATAATCCTGAGGCACGTGTCCGACTTCCCAACAGTCAACAAGATCTACGGCTCCCTATTCTTTGAGCCAAACCCCCCTTCGAGGGTGACCATATCGAGCGGGGATCTCCTCCCCGCGACCTGCAACATCGCCCTCTACCTGTCAGTCCACCACGACCTCGCCCCCGGCGACAGGCAGGGCCTCCACGTCCAGTCGAGGTCGTACTGGGCGCCCGCGAACATCGGCCCGTACAGCCAGGCCATCGTGTCCCCGCTCACGCCGGCCTACCGCGGCGGTGAGGAGTCAGACGCCCCGCCCCCCAGGCTGGTGCACGTCGCCGGCCAGATCCCGCTCGTCCCGGCGACCATGGACCTGCCGCGGGGGGCCCTGGACCTGCAGCTCGCGCTGTCCCTGCAGCATCTGTGGCGGGTCGGCGCCGAGATGGGCGTGCAGTGGTGGGCCAGTGCGGTGGCATACCTCCCCCGCGCTGCCGCCTCCCCAGGAGCCGTATCGACGAGGGAACGGGCAGCGCTGGCCGCGCAGGCCTGGACGGCGGCCCATCGCTGGTCCGGCGCCGATGCCGACGCCGAAGATGAATGGGGCGGTCCCGACCTTTGGGATAGGAAGTACAACCCTCTCTACATGTCTTTCGCCGGGGCCGAGAAACCGGAGCCGCACAGGCTACCGGACTGGTCCGTCCTGGAGGCAGAGGACCCGGAGGCGCGGCCGGTGCCGTTCTTCTTCGCCGCAGAGGTCCACGAGCTCCCCCGGCAGGCGGAGGTGGAGTGGCACGCCCACCTCGGCCTCGCCCGCCTGGCCGCCGAGAGCGTGCACCTGGTGTCCGCCTCCGCCTCCGGTCCAGACCCGCCCGCGAGGCTGCAAGCACAGCACGCCGTGGTAAAACTCCGCGGCGGCGCTAAATTCTTCGTACATAGCGTCATCGCCCTGAGACACCCGCCGGTCCCGGCAGAAGAGAAGACGACCGTGCCCGCGCTGCTGGGCGAGCTGGGCGGCCTGCTACCTCGCTGGCCTGCCTCTCCGACGGGTGCAGACGCTAGTGTGTCTCCTCCCCCGGCCCCAACTTTGTTGTACACGGATGTCGGCGCCGTCGCGCTGTCCGCGGACGACTTGGGTAGTTGTCCTGTCGTCCCCTGTGCGTCGCTCTGGGACGGTCAGGGGGAGAGACTGCTGGCTGTGGCTGTCTATCAGACCAACTTCGAGAAGGCGTCATGAGATGCGTTTTACAAGGGGTCACGCGTCCGATGCGTGGCAGTGATGAATAACATGCTCTCTATTTCAATGATCTTTTAATGATGAAGAACTCGAGTGATGATCCCGTCACATATTGGGTTGGCAATCCCATCCCCCCCAGCAATCTCCGTCGCCAACTCAGGTGTCTATCCCATTATCGCCCAAATGCCATCGCCCAAATGCAAACCCCAGAGGCACAAGCCGTGCCGGGAAAGTGATCTAGCTGCACTGCATCCTCACCCCTTCCTCGCCTTCTGCCGCGTGGTGCTCGCCAACGACGCCCAAAAGTCGCACCGGTCCACCTGCTCCGCCGGCACGTCCTCCATCCTCGTATTCCCCGTGTCGATCACCAGCCTCCTCCACGACCTCCTCGGCCCCCTCCTCCACAACCCGTCGTCCGCCCACCCGCCATCACCATCACCCAACCAGCCGCCCCCGCACCCGCTCCACCACCCCTCCCACCTAGGCGCCCCCCCATCCCGGAACGGATTCGGATCCAGTGCCCTCACAAACGAGATGAAGTAATCCATGACAACCGGCACTATCGGCGCGTTGTAGGTCCCATACCCCGCCGCCGCCGGGCCCGCGGCGCCAACGCCTCCCGGGCCGGGGCCGAACACGGCCGCCGCCTCGAAGATGTGCGGGACGCCCAGGCCCGCGGCCGCGTTGTCCGCGTCGCGGACGTCGTACCGGTAGGCGAAGATGTCCGGGCCTATGACGTGGGTCGGCGACGAGGACGACGACGACGACGACGACGACAGCGACGAGGGGGCCGGGGGCGCGACGCCGCCGCCGCCGCCGCCGGCCGCGAGGGCGGCTAGCACGTTGATCGTCGGGCAGATGAAGGTCGCCTCGCCGTACGCAAGGCTGGCGGTCGGGAACCAGGGGCCGTGCTTGGGCAGGGCTGGTTGGAGGGCGTAGCGGTTGAGGATCATGGCTGTGTCGTTGGCTGCTAGCCGGGGGAAGTTGTCCTGGAAGAAGGTGCCGATCTCGTCGTGTGTTGTGGCGTCGATGGCGAATATGGAGCCCTCTTTTTTGGGGAGTTAGGTTCCTCGGTTCATGCTTCAAGTGCGGGAAAACAGTTGAGAGAGAAGAGGAACGACTTACCGTCAGTGTCGGTTCCGAACAGGACAGGCACCCTGATAAACCTACCCTCCTCGAACAGCAGATAAGGCAAGTCCTCGATCATGACACCATCGACGCACGGCGTCCAGTAGAACAGCGGCGTCGGCGGAGCCGTCCTCCCGGGAAACGCCGAGGCCACGTTGGCGGCCTGCAGGGCGGCCGTGTCCTTGCCGCGGAGGCAGGCCATCTGGGCGGTGCGGTCGGCGGCGCCGCACCCGGCCTGCCGGACGACGCGGTCGAACTGCCACTCCAGCTCCGACAGGTACGGCTGGGCCGGGAAGAAGAGCGACTCGCACACGCCGCCCACGAAGAGGCCGTCGTCGCGCCCGCCGTAGGCCGTGAGGTGCAGCGCCACCGACCCGGCGCCCGCCGAGGCTCCGTGGATGACGACGTGGCTCGGGTCGCCTCCGAACTGCGGCAGAGTTAGCCTGTGAGGCGCTGCCCGACGATCGAAGTGGATGTGATACACACCTTCGTGATATGATCCTGGACCCACAGCAGGAGTCGCCGCTGGTCCAGCATGCCGATGTTCAGGTCACCGTCCTGTCTGAGCCTCTCGCTAGCAAGGAACCCCCACAGGCCGACGCGGTAGTTGAAATTGACCATCACGATGTTATTTCCCGATCTCTGGACGACATCGGTGCCGTTCCAGTTCGCGTTGGTGAGCGAGACGTAGCCTACGCACAAGGCCGGTCATCTATCTTAGCCAGGGGAACCATCTGGGGGGGAAAGGGGGTGCATCAATGGGGGCTTCGAAATCATACCTCCTCCCTGGATGAACACCCAGACGGGCAATCTCGAATGATCCGTGGCGTTGGCGGGGGCCCAAACGTTGACGAAGAGGCAGTCCTCGTCGTGGCCCTCCTGCGGATACGGCATGCCGAGACCCAGGCATATCGACCGAAACTAAGGACCTTTTGGCTGAGCTCTGGACATGGGGCACGGTTCCCAGGAAATAACCTACCTGGAGGGCGGGCTGGACCTGGCCTGTCGAAGGGGGCTCGAGGGGGGCTCGCCATCGGAGGTCTCCGAGTGGGGCGGCGGCGTATCGCATGCCCAGGAACTGGTTGACGCCATTGGGCAGCTGCGAGCCCACGTATGTGGTGTAGTTGAGATCGACTCGAGGGCCGGTGAGGGGGTCAGGCGCTGGCGCCGGCTGCTGCTGCTGGCGTGGGCAGGCTGGGGTCAGCAGCGCGAAATAGAAAAAGGGGTAGTAAGCGACGGCCGCCTTCATGGCATCTAAGCTAGGGTGTGGTGCGGAGCCAAGGAGGAGTGTAAAACATGCAGGGAAGCCAAGGTCATAGGGTAAAACAGAGAGGGGCATGAAGCTTTAGTTTGATATGAAGGGGAAGGGAAGAATAGGGGAGGGTAAGAGAGGCCAGGTTAGTTAGGATATACAAGCATTTAGCCATTCTTCTCGGGGTTGTGATCTCAACGTGCAAGCAGAAACGGATCATTCAGCACAGGAGGACGGACGAGCGAAGGACGAGCGGAAATCCTGTACCTGGGAATGCCTCTGATGAGGCAGTACCACGAGCGTCACTGGGACGATGATCACGGCGGCAACCAAAGCGACTGCAACGAGGACGGGTGCATAGTGCTTCCGGGCCCGTGGCCACGGCGTCTCCTCCTTCCAAGCCGGGACACCGTTGTCGTTGTCCATGGCATGGGAGTCGTGGCTTCCGGACGGCTACTTATAGGCAGCTGGGGCCCCAGGGGATTTCTAGGCCATAGGCGTGTGAGGCGGTGGTGGCTTTCATAGAACGACTACCGCAGTCTTGATACGCGTCTGCCAGAAAGCCGTGTCTGCTTTTGTGCAGATCGTCTGACTTTGTCACTTGGAGTCGGCACAACTAGCAGAGTTACGTAGGGGTCGGGCGTAGCAACTGGCGGGTTCCTGAAGAAAATATGGGAGACCAGATTTATGCTTTGCTTCACACAGTCATGATCGAGCGTGATCTTTCAGAGAAGAGCGGTTGGAGAGGGGATGGAAGAAGACCCCATCGGGTCGACGGTGCTGGCACAGGTATCGGTGGAAAACGTCTTGTGGTAAAAGGGTTCGTCACGGTCCGGCAATGCCTCGGCTTGCTGTATCTCTGCAGAAGCCTGCAAGTGCGTGCAAACCTTATGCAGCTAGGACACGATGGGGAGTGACAGCGCACCGTCCAAAGACTGCATTCTGAGTAGTTTAATGCGGGTTATTACTGTTTATTGGAGGCAGGCTCGGTTATTCAACTGTGACAAGTGTTCGATGTTTGACATCCATCCTTCGACCTCTCTGGGAAACTGGGGCTGGTCGATCTCGGTGTAGGTAGGCTCCAGGTTGCTTGTAGATGTGGTGCAATGAAGCAGCAGCGGCCAACCGTTCCCAATGGTGATGACCCGTGCCGAGAATTACACGAGTTTTCTCAACCTTAAACAAGCAAACAACGTGGCTCGGCCCAACGCTTCGGCTGATGAAAGTGAGAGCTTCTTCTTCTTCTTCTTCTATGAGACCACCCAGGAAGAGAAAGCAGGTCCCTGTCACCTACCTGGGTAGCCATTGGCCTACCAATACAAACAAACACTTGCCGATATCGAGGTTAACACCTATCTTTCGCTTACTGATAATATCGTAGGTTACTTGAAGTATGGACCACCTCTCAAGCCTCTGATTGGCCCCCTAACAAGTCCCTGCCAGTTGCCTGTGACGACACGGGAAGCTTCCATGCGCCACCCCGTTTAACGTGAAAACCCCTTTCCCGTCCGGTTACCCTGAGTCCGGTCCACCATATCCCGCATCACACGAGAAAACCAGAATCCCGAGATTATACAAGTCGGGTCTTTACAAAAGAGAAAAAAGGGGCCGAACGCTGGCCAAGATATAGAAATTACCCACTCGACAACATTCCGCCCCCCCTTCACTTGAGTATCTGCAGCTCCTCCTTCCGACCCCTCGCAAATTCGTCCTTGTACGTCTCCCATATCTTCTGGAGCTCCTCCACGTAAAGGCCGTGGAGCCGGTCAACCTCGGCCGGGTCGACGAACCCCCCCGTGGCCTGTGCGACCCTGATGGGCGCACCCACGACGATATTCAGCGGTCGCCGGTAGGGCATCAGGCCGACGTCGTAGTTAAAGATGCCCCTGCCGTGCAGGAACGGCAGGGTGAACTTCCACACGCGCAGGATGAACATCTGCACCGTGTGCACCCAAGGGTGCGCCTTGGGGCTGACCTGGTCGTAGAGGTCGTTCTCGCCGAACGCCAGCACCGGCACCAGGTCTGCCCCCGTCCGCACCGCGAGCTTGATGAACCCCTTACGCTGCTTCAAGATCAGGCGGAGGCTCCCCGGCTGCGCCTCGAGCGACTCCCGCGCCCCGCCGATGACGATCGTCACCGCCCGGCCCATCCCCTCGTTGTTTGGGCCCCCACGCGTCAGTATGTTGCCAATCGACTCCTTGGACACGGACCGCAGCCCCATGGCGAGGACGTAGTCGCGGTAGAAGGGGATGCGGAAATTCGAGTCCAGCGTCAGCAGGCTGTTGGTTATCCCGGGGAACTTCTCCGCAAATCCAAGCGCCTCGGTGGCAAACGCCGCCCACGCCCCGTGCGAAATGATGCCGTGGGGGTGATAGCCAAAGATGTATTTCCTGGTTGCCGGAAGATCCTGGGTCTTATGGAGTCGCGCCGGGAAGTAGCCTGCGAATAATTTCCACACGGGTAGCGACCGGAAACGCTCCGACCTGTACCGCAACTTCCCGTCCGTCGCAACGTTCGAGGAGAGAAGATGAATCAAATAGGGAAGTACAAGAGGCCAGGTTAGGGGAATGGCGCAGAGGAAGAAGAACAATGAAACAAGCATGGTAATGCTAAGAGAATGCAGGAAGACTGCGAGCGTCTGTAATCTGCGTTTGAGGGGAACATTCCAGGGGGCGAACCTGATCCCAGCTCTCACTACATAGGTGTTGTCTTGGTTTCTCTCCTGATCGTCTGTGGATGTTGCAGCCTGGCGCTCTGTTGCATCGTTTGCGTGTCGTGGCTCGCCGTTGGGTATCTTGCGACCATCATCGCCACGAGGCGGCCTATTGCCGTTCCGACAGCTGCGTTGCCGTGGGTCGGTCGCATCGGCACCCGTAGTTTTGTGGCCCCAGCCGTTCTGTACCTGGCTGCCATACTCCGCAGCTTCAGCGTAGGTCTTCTTAACACCGTTGCTGACAGGTTCTTTGGCCTCTAGTTTGGCCTCCGGAGAGTCGGTGGTCGCGTCTGGGCCATGCATAGAATGCAGGTCCATCGTCACAGTCTCCCTTTGTGAGCTATCATCTATCGTTGCAACCTCCGCATATGTTGGTGCAGGGCTTGCACCGGATTCCATCATTTCTGGGCTATTTCCCTGTTTGGGCAGAGAGCTGATGTTCCGATTGCGCGGGGATATTAGGTTAGGGTCCTGCGTAGAGGAATTTGTCAGTCGGTGAATAGCCGCGCAGAGTGAGTTCTTGCAAGACTTACAAAAGCTGTACACTCGTGGTCCAGGTTCTGTCCGCTTAGGGATGGTCGTTTGGTTTCATAGGTAACCGGAGCAGCCGGACGGGGCTCCACAGGGGCTATGGCTGGGTTAGCATTTTGAAGACCGTTGCTGCCGCCTTGGTGGCCTTTGAGATGCTGCCTCTTGCGCCGAGCCTTCTTTCCAAAACCAACCCTCCTGGATGAAGCATCTACAGGTTGGTCCGGACGGTCCTCCTCCCTTCCAGGAGCCAGAGCTTGTTTCGCACACTCATCCATTATTGGGGCGCAAGGGAGAGAGCAGCTCAAGCTCACTTGGGCTGAAACTCCAGGGGAGAGAAGAGTGGTGTGAGGTAACTCACAGTATTTAAGCAATGTAGGTGCTGGACAAGCGGATCTCGGAGCTGCCCGAACGTTAGGTCTGGCCCCTTGAGGACCTTGAGCACTTCCAAGGAAAGCCTACATTAGCTCTGTCGAGCAAAGAGCTAATGTCCCACTTCGGCTGGAAATCACAAGCGATGAGAGTAGACGGAAGAGTTAAGGTCTGAAATGCCTGATAGCAACGTGGGCGTCGGTAGGTTAGCGTTCCGTATGGCGCATTGCGAAGGGTGAAAGTCGAGGAGGGCGGGAAAGGTCAGGAGAACGATGACGTTACAAAGTGGATCCCCAGCTTTGGACCGTGCCCACCCAGGCAGTTCAGGCTTGGCAAAACTACCTACCTCGGTACTGCCCGAAAATCTGTGCGGTTCAGCCCTGTAGCGCAAAACCCAGCGTCACTTATAAGCTGCGTGGTACAGATGGGACAGAGCTGCCAGCTGCCAAATCAGATTGGGTTTTGCCAGAGCTTGTTTTTTTTTGTTTTTCAGGGAAGCGGAGACACAAAATGGCCAAGAGGTTTTCATGTGCATCTATCTGCTGCCACGAGCAGCCTGACCGAGGAATCAATATATATATAGTATACACAAGGTCTTCTTGAAGACCGCCAAAGCTCCGCCAGGTACCAACCACGAGACACTGAACAAAAGGTCACGATCCTCTCTAGTGAAAGGTAGCTGCAGCAATGACAGAGTTGGAAAGCGGAACGTCTGGTCTGAGCAATGGAGTCCTCAATTGGCACACATATCCGCCTTCAGGATACCAAAACGGGAGGGGACGGAATGGAGAAAGAAAATCACTTTTGAAACAAGAAGCTGGATACCATCTTCAATAAAACCACGGAACGCCATCTCCCACCCCGAAACTTGGATATACTCTTTGGCGAAATTTATCAGACCAAAAGAAAAGAAAATATCGACAACAATGACACCTCCGCCATTTCCGAATTGTCAGACCTGTCACAGCTCAGCCAGTTACTGCTGGGCCTGCGGGTCATCCTGTCGTGCTGAATGCTGCTGTCGGAGCGCCACAATTTCGGCCGTCAAGGTAGTTTCGTTCTTCTCGAGAGTCGCCACCTTTTCCATGAGTTGTGTTTCTGTTCTCTTCATGGCGGATATCTCGTCTGTCAACTGCCTGACCTTGTCCTCCATGGTTTGGATATACATCCATAGGCCAGGCTCGCCCGATGCGAAGAGATTGTTCGCGTTATCAACACCCGCCGCCGCACTACTGTTCGGTGGTGCTTGTGCTGTCCCGCTTGTAGTCCTCCCATGGGCAACAGATTGCTGACTTGTCGGTGCCGCCGCCGACGTGCCAGCTGGGTTTGGTTGTGATGCGCCTTCGTGTTTGGTTGCGTCAGCAGGGGGGTATTGAGAGAGCCAGGCTAGCTGGGCCGCATCTGACATACCATGGGGTGGCTGAGGCAATCCTGACGCAAGAGGTAGGTCTTGCTGCCGAGGGCCAAACTGCTGCTGCGGATACTGCGCGTTCAGGCCAGGAGACCGGGCCCGCTTATCGTGGTTCGGTTGTATGCCTGCAGGGCTCAGAGGCTTCGGGCTCTCGGTCATGCCGCTCTGCGAATACATGGAGGAGCTCCCGGCGCTCATAGGCATTGAAGAAATGCTCGTGTTTGGCGTATGGCCGCTGGTGGCGCTGTTCGGCATGCTCGGCGATGTGTTCGAGCTCGATGTGCCCCGGTCGACGTTAGGTGGGAAGAGGCCACCGCTCGGGGCTGGCCGGCCTCCCGTCGGAGGGTACGTTCGGGCGTGCGGTGCGTATCCCTCAGTGGCTGGTTGGCTAGCAATGTGATCCGCCTTGATGCTAGGTAGGCTTTGACGTCTCCGCTCTTCCTCAGCCATGTCGCCGTCTGCGGCGGACTCATAGATGATCCCCGCCATGGCGGAAGCGTTGGCATCGACGCTTGAGCGTTCGAAGCTTTCGTCGCCTACAAAGCTGCCCATACTAGCCCTCCTGCCGGCACAACCACCGGCACCTTTGCTGTGCCTAGCCAATGCGTCCCCCCGTGCAAACTTTCGGTCGCATTTAGGGCAGATATGGGGTTTCTCGCCAGTGTGCAGCTTGCCGTGGCGCTTCAAGTCATGAAGACGTCGGAACCGCATTTGGCATTGCTCACATACATAGGGCTTCTCTTGGCTGTGTGTGAGGAGGTGACTTTTTAAGTTGTGGTGTCGCGTGAATTCTGTATTGCAGTACGGGCACTTGTGTTTCTTAGACGAAGGTGACCGAGGTGCCGCATCTGGGTGATGGGAAGGTCCCATGGGCAGACTCATTCCTCTGTGGGGAGGGGCGGGAGCCGGTATCGAAGCGTCGGCGGGTAGACCGGGGTATGAGAGCGATGTACTCAACCTGTCTTCCATCGGCGCTTCCGGCTGCGGGGCGTAGGCGCGGTCGTTCTGACCATCGACGTCCATCTCGGCTGGACTCTCCACGACTTGCGCGGCACCGCTGCCGCCACTAGCTGCACTGTGTGGACTCGCATCCCTCATCTCTGCGGGAGGAACAACCGGCGGCGGGATGGTGGGCGGTTGGAGCGCCCTTGCGGCGGTGTCGACGACCGAGTTACTGGTCGTGGGCGACGCGTCTTGTAGGCGGGTCATAGCTAATGCTCCAGATATCAGTTCAGTCGATATTTTCTGATTCGCGTTCTTGCCCATACTCGCCAAATGCAACCGCTGTCCGTCTTCGCTCCCGCGCCTCTCATCCTCCATCGCAACGGCCCCGGTCGGGGGCGGGGGTGATTGTCTCGCATAGCCAACTAGACGCGCAATCTTGGACGGCGACATATCGCCGGCCGACTCGGAGTCGGGCGACGTTGGCATTGTCTCACGACTCCTCTTCAGCGACTTTGCGCGGGCCGGATCAGACGCAAAGGCGTCGCTTGCGCCAGCAGCTGAGAGGGCTGAAGATGGCGGTGCGATAGATGTGAGGAGAGGGGCGTCCGGTCCTTTTCTCGACGCCATTAGGCGGATGCTGCAGCGCAGAGCAAACTGTAAGAAATCCGAGAAGGGGTCTATGCCTTCTTGAGCAGCTCTTCCGAACTCGAACCGGGCTCGCAAGCTCACCGCCGCCCAAGAGGCATCGCCGGGTGACGGAATCGCGAGGCTTTGATGTGTGGCTGGAGATCGTGGCGAGAGCTTTGAAACCACGATGGAGAGAAATGGAAGATGCGACGGGAAAAGCGGACGGCGTAAACCTTGTCTTTAATTGGCGGCTGTAATCTCGGTTTAGATCAGCCGTAATACGGAATAATGGGCGAATCTGAGCTACTTGCACAGCGGTGCGGAACAATTAAGAGAAGATGCGGATTGTCTTTGCGATTAGATGTGGGTGATGAGCCTCACAAGGTGAGGAAGGAAAAGGCCGGGCAGCTGCTTGATGGGGAGACTGAAAAATGGCTGGTGCGCTTCCCAGAACCCCGGCCGGAGCCTATGGAATCATGGATTAAGTAGAAGGGCACGGTGCGAGAGGGTCGCTGCACCGTGTGATGTCTGTTGGCCCTGCCTGTCTGTTCTAACTTCAGGTGGCGTGTTGTCTCTCCCCGGTGCCTGAGTGACGAACAAATGTATCCCAGTGATCTAGCACTAAGCCTAAAATGCTGCTCAAAACAACAAGCCGCCGTCTTTAGAAAGAGCGTAAAACTGTGCAAGGGATATGTACATGTGGCGTATTTGCTCCAAGCTGACAGTTCAGGACGTCAGCTTTTGTCAAAACGCTCACCTGCCAATCACGACTGGTTTTCTAGGCTGACTGTCTGAGTCGATCCTGTTGGTGGGGACATCTACACAGTGTATGTTGGATCGTTGAGTCTCTTCCCCTCCTTACAAGTAATATCGACAACAAACCATCAGTTTGTGCTCCTTTCCATCGATGTGTAGGATTGATAATTCTAGCTTTTGCGGCCGACGTTGAAGGTGATATCAGGCTCAATTGCAGTTTGAGAGTCTTTTGAAGCGATCACTAGTTGTTCACAGTGCGGGCAAACTAGTTGGAACTCATTCTTCGTATGAGTAAGAGTGGCTGTGTCTGCTCCACACGGCCAGCCACCAAAGACCTACGCAGTAGCTGCTATTCAATTGGCGATGGGACGAACCCGACGGATTCAGCAGCACACGTTGCCCAGGCACCCGCCTGTGTGCATTCGACCTCTGTTGGAAGGGAGTGGTATACGGTGCGGCAGTGCCTTTCATCTCATTGGGAGACGGAAATCCGGCGGGTATAACGGTGACTTCGATCTGCACGCACTGTATGCCCTTAGGTCAGATCTATGCATGAAGCTGCTCTTCTGGAACGCCTCAAAGTTGCGAATTCGATCTCCCGATGATCAGCCCGAGACAATGCCCTCGTCATTTCTGCGCGAGCCTCACGAGTCGCGACCCGGTTTTGGGGAGCATCGTCTTCCAGCATAAGATGATCATCCGAGTCGAGCTCGGCTAAGTTTCCCGGAACTCCTTTCCTGACTTGTCTTGACTCAACCAACGAACGGGACAAGACAACTGGTGTTTCGCCTCAATCAATCCCTCGTCCAATCCGCCACCAGAGCTCCACAACTACGGTGTATACTTACAGGAGTGTTCAAGCTCAATCGTATAATCCGTGGAGACCTATTGATTCCAGCCTTGGGAGGCAAGGGAGAGAAGCATTCATCTGATGATTTAACGCGCCAGTTCCCCCTGCAGAGCCCCGTTCGACGCCGCGCGGACACGGGGATGTGGCCAAGTTTGAGCCCAAGGGTCAGTAGCAGCCATTCGGCCTCAGCCCTAGGCACGGTCCTCCCGTATATGCCGCCCCCGGTGGTATGCTCAGGGACCAAAGAAGGGCCTGCGGCCTTGGCTCCTCTCAGTCAGGGCTGTCGCCTGCGAAATGGAGTTCGTAATCCGTATCAAAAGCATCGACAGCATGGACAGCCTCGCCAAGTAGGACGGTAAAACCAGGCTCAACCAAGGTTCAGGTATCAAGTCTTCCAAGCAAGCCGGGGGGAGGTGCGGAGCGCGGCATACCTCCCCTCCCGTCCACGACGTAGTAAACCTCCCAGGTCTGGCCAGGCCTTGTGGGAAAGCTCAGTCCCCCGCATCGGCAACGTTCACCGTTGACAATCGATTCACGCCTTCCGGTTCGCTGTCGCCTCTTGGTTCACCCAAAATAATATACCCAGTTATGCACCCGTTATTTGATCGCCCTCGTGGTCCATACGTAGCTTGTTTCTTAGGCCTTTGTACGGACCCTGGACGTGTTTTGGATGGGGGCTTATGCGAATAACCTCAGTGATAACTGAAGGCTCGCCTCTCCATCGAAAGGCAGTCATACCCTCCTCTCCTGAACTTGTCATATCGTTATTGCCTGACAATGATGATTGGGCGGACACTGGCGAGCTCATCCTGGATAAGTGTTCAACCAGTTGCGCTGGCATACGTCCACCGATGGTGTACTAACTGCAAAGTCCTCAGCGAACCCACCATGCCCTTCTCGATGGCAGAATATGTTTGCAAGGAGTGTGAGGGGGCTGGAGAGTATGATACTCGTCCAAATTGCCTGTCGCAATATTAAGGAAGGCCCGTCTCAGAGCCCATAAGCAAGAACAGTGAATCTTGGAGCTACCCCTCTTCCATCAGATAGCACAAGGGGTGATTGCCCCCCTCAAACCTTCAGCTTTGATCGCCAAACTGAGAGCCGGTCATGGACCTGAAAGTATTCAAGAGTAGAGCAAGAGTAGGTCTCATGTGGACCAGAGAACCAACATCCTAGACTCGTGCTGCCAGGGACAGGGCAGATGAGAACGGGAGGGACGTCCTGGGGAAGATGGTCAACAGTTTTCTCATATGCTGATCTGTGCTTCCCTGTGGGCCGGCGATGGCCCGGTATTGTAGCACCTGACGCTGCCCTAGCTACGTGATGACGTGGAAGAAGCACCATCACAGTGGGCCCCGATATGCTTTCTAGCCGCAGAGGCATGCCTTGAAGGTTGATTCCTCTGGAGATCTGATGGGAACGTAGAGATATGGGTACACCCCTGATTATGACTTTGCGCGGCTAGGTGCATGTTTGAATAGCACGTGGCGGGCTCGTAAAGCTGTACTCGTACTAGGCGAGATGCTAAGGGGTAATAAAGGAGAAGGCTGGCCCCGGGAATGCGGTCGGGTCGATCTAAGTTCCCAATGGCCTTCATGACCTTCAAGCGCACCGTGCCGTTCAGACTTACGTATGTACTCGCTTTGGGAGTCTCGGCACAACACAAACGGGGGTTGATGTTGACGAGATAGCAACGCGGATGGTTATCATGGCTATTATTTGAGTAGATATATCTACGGCAAGAACCCTTTCCTCTTATAGGCTATCGGCATCGAGAGACCAAGGGATGAATGCCAGCTCAGTCTCATGCACTTAGCCGTGGAGTCTAACCACCCCATTATGAGCAGCCGACGAGGCGAATAGTTGAAGGGTGCAACAAACAGGTTTTGGGCCAAGAGATATCCTCTCCTGACGTGGTGCTCGACTAGCAATCTTACCATATCGGGTAGCCTCTGAAGGTAGGGCTCGTTGGACCAGGTGAGCATTGGTCCAGAAACGGTTGGATTCCATCTTGCCTTTCCTCCCCCCGCTTGTCCAAGAAGGATGGGGAGAATCCAAGATCGTAGGGTGAAGAGTTTGAAGACTGGCAAGTTTGGCACATCAATCGCCAGCCAGAAGACTCCAGACGCTTGCTCATTGGTCATTCAGGCAAAATAGCCCAGTAGCAGCGATCGGGAAACAAGATCAACGAAACACGTGGAAGGGCTTCGCAGCAATCAATATGCGACGTCAGCGAGATCATGGTGCACGGATAAGTGTGTTGTGTCGGTGGTGGCACTGCCGCCCGGGTGGCAGTGGGTGGCAGCCTGAAATAGCGATGTACATTCGTACCCACTGTGTGACGAAGTTGACATGCAACTTGACCATGTCCAGGGTGATCTGCTGGACGCCATCTTTATTTGGACTAGTCAGGTACAGTACATGGCGGCGCGTTGGACGTAGCCAATGGGAATGGGCAGCAAGACAGGGGTTAAAAAGGGGATGATGATTGCTGTTTGTTGAAAATCGTGTAGATCCATGCGCCAGCACTTCAGACGCAGACTGGAATCGTATTTTGTACACCACCAACCGCGGGATTGTGTGCTCTTTGTGCTGCATAATGGGATCAGAATTGCCCTAGACCCGGTGTATATGTGACATTACGTGTATAGTCTCATCATAAAACGGGTTACCAGCTGATGTTTCTTGTTTCTTGTTTCTCGCAGTGGCCGGGCCTCGCCAGTTTGGTTGGCTAAGCCCCCCCTTCACTGACATGTAATTTCGCGACTCCACCCGACGCGGACCCCCATTACACACTCATTCCCACAGGCTCTCGGACCAGCTCATTTCATTCCCTCCCCTCAATTCCTCGGCGCCACACGCCACCACCTCACATTCGTTCAGCCCACGCCTCCCTGGAGAGTTCATTTCATCCTCACCTTAGCCACTCTCTGGACTCTCCCTTCCACTCGTTTTCAACTTGCTGTCGCCCCCTGTTGTCTCGTTCTTTCTTCCACCCAACTGAGAGCAAAGCTCTCTACCACGCTCATTTGGAACGGCGATTACCTGGGGTATTACTGCGCTTAAGAACCGCCAACCCTACACGCATCGAGGTGAGCGGGCCCCTTCGTGATTCCAACCTGAGCACCGGCTGATTCATTCTGTTGTGGCAGCTCTCTGTCAACTCCCTGTGATATCAAGCAACATCTACACTGGTACTCTATTATCGAAGCAACAATGAGAGGAATCGCCCAGGTCGCATTGGCGGCAAGCCTCATTGTGGGTGTTACTGCTCAACCACATCAGCACCAGCACCGTCATCTCCATGCGAAGAACCACGCGAGATCGCCCGTCGAGAAGCGTGAAGGCGATGTGACGGTCACCGCCGTTGTGCCCGGACCAACGGTTGTCGAGTACAAGTTGGGCGACCAGACGATTGACAGCAAGGAGGCAGAGGAAGGTCTCTCCGACGGCCTCTTCATTGTCGTGGGCGAGACCACTCCCACCTTTGTCCCCCCGCCGCCACCACCCCCACCTACGACCTCATCTGCCAGCGTTCCGACCGACGCGGGTGCCCAATTCTTCGAGAAGAAAAAGTCCTCGAGCGCGCCCGCCCCGGTCGCCACTCCGTCGCCCGCGGCTCCTGCTGTCCCATCCGGCATCGATGCTAATTTCCCGAGCGGCAAGATTCCTTGCTCCCACTTCCCATCCGATTACGGCGCACTCGCCATTGACTGGGTCGGCACCCAGGGTTGGACCAGTCTTCAGGTGCCTGATTCGTATGTTCCTGGTGTCTCCATCAAGAACATCGTTGCTCCCATTTCCGGAGGCTGCTCCAAGGGAATGTTCTGCTCGTATGCATGCCCTCCGGGCTACCAGAAGACCCAGTGGCCCGAGACCCAGGGTGCCACCGGGCAGTCGGTCGGAGGTCTTTGGTGCAACAGCAACGGCTTCTTGGAGTTGACTCGGCCTTCGCACCCCCGGATCTGCGAGCAAGGTGTTGGTAACGTCTTCGTCCAGAACAAGATGTCCGGGTCGGCCGCTGTTTGCCGCACAGACTACCCGGCGAGCGAGAACATGGTTATCCCTCTTGACACCAAGCCTGGTGGCCATTATGAGTTGACCAATCCCTCATCCAACGACTACTATATGTGGCAAGGAAAGCCGACGACCGCCCAGTATTATGTGAACAGGCTGAACCTCGCCGTCCAGGACGCCTGCACTTGGACCAGCTCGGTTCTCCCAGATGCTGCAGGAAACTGGGCCCCCACCAACATCGGGCTCGGCCGGGACGCTTTCGGAGTGACTTGGATCTCCATCTTCCCCAACCTCCCAACCAGCCATGCCACTTTGAATTTCAACATCGAGATCACCGGCGATGTGAACTCGCAATGCGCGTTGAAGAATGGGGTGTACACTGGTGGTGGGAATGGCTGCACTGTAAGTCATTTATTGGTCACCTACGGAAGGAACATTGTGTGGCTAACCATTTCACAGACCGCCATCTCCAGTCCAAACGGAACGGCCACAATCGTTTTCACCAACTAAAGACTGGCAAGATACATGGGCGCCACGTCCCCTATCTCGTGTGCTGGGTTGGATAGAGCGTTCTACTTCACAGCTTCTTGATCTTGCTCGTACCGGCTACTGCCAACATATATGTGCGACGGAGGGCACGAAGTCAAATTTAACGTGGCATTTTAATGTTGAACTGTGTATAGTTTGTTGTTTTGTTTGTTTTGCTCGGATAAATGCCTGCCCCCCTATTTGGGACCGTCTTAGTATTGCATTGCTTGACCAGGACACAGAGACGGCCAGCAAGAGGGGTTGATTGCGGTTTCAACCGGGAACCGCAAGGTCGGGCGACTATTTCACCTTCGGACATCGAACATATTCGCTCGCCCAAGTCTTTGGTAGACGCCGGACGTACCTGATCGGAAAGAAATATTACAGTCTCCCAGTTGATATACTGCAAGTCCCCTTCAAGCTGCCTGCAAGACCGATGTAGTTTCTGTATAGTCCCTAAGGCGCTGGTTGATTGGCTCCCCTTTCCCGACACGTTTGTATCTTTATGTGCTGGCTTGGACGGCGATCCGGTTCCGTCGATACTGTAAGAGATTGTTGTGGGTTGGGCGAAGAGTTGGAAATCGCTGAGGCCATTCCGAAGGCATATATTTATTTGATTTGGCACCGTGGTGACTCGGCATTGTTGATCTACCTATCTATGTAATTATGTACGATATTCCCTGATTTCATTCTTTACAATTGCGAACACTCGCTTTCCTCCTAACTTGAACCGATTTGCCACAACCTGAAAGGCAGCCCCGCGAGTCACTTGTATATTAGAGGTATGTAAGTGGAGATGCGTGCCTGTGTTCAACACTGTCTTTCCACGGTTCCAACGATTTATTTGGCTTCACAACCTAGGTATGATCTGTCAAGTTGAAGGGTGTCTGGTGGCGAAGAAGCAGCATTTATGGATCCCATTAACGCCTTCCACCCAATTCTCCTCCGGTTCCGGTCAATTCTACCAGCCCAACAGAGCATGGCTCCAGAGGCGGGGGAGGTTAATTAGACACTTGTTGACTGCGAGAACAGGTTAGCCACAATATTCGATTTCATCGGATAAAACGGCCAGCTATTCCTGTCGGAGCGCGAGGTGATGCTACTGAAAGCCTTTGAGATATAAGTCGTGAGACTAGGTAGTCGAGCAGGTTGTAGTTGAATATGACGAGCTCAGGTGGGGTGCTGGTACATCGATCTAGCCGCTGGCCGTGCCTTTGGGCAAGTACCCTCAGTGCATGAGGACGACCTGACGCGCGGATGTGGCGCTGCGTGCCGAGAGCAGCCCAGTGAATTACATGTCCACCTTGACATTTCAGCTGTCTCAAGCATTCCTAGACGATTACTGCCCACGTAATCCACATCGACAAACTTCTCGGCCTTGCGCTGAATGACCACGTATTGACGTTCTGTTGGAAAGAACGCTAATTCCTTTCCTGTTTTTGCAACACTACCGCGCTCGCGTCTCCGATTTCTTGATGATCTTGCCGGTACCGAGCCGCGAACCATGAGGGCCAGGGGAGTGTACAGGGCGGCAGCCTTGCTGGCGTGCGTCGTCTTCTCGAGTCCGCTCTGCGCGAAGAAAGACGGCCCAGACTTCCACGTCAAGAAGCTTAGCAACTATCCGGCCAACCTGAACTATTTTACACACTCCGAAGTAATCCTCTTCCAAGACGAGACAAATTCCAATGTATACCGATCGCCAGATGCCGGCGCAACATGGGAAATAGTCGACGCCGTCCCTGAGGGGCACTCGTCCGTGTTGCTCATGCACGAGTACGACAACGATCGAGCTTACATCCTGACAGAGGGCCTCCAGCATTTCCGGACGCACGATCGCGGGAAGACGTGGGAGAGGTTTCAGACCGAGACCGGGATGAGCAAGTTCAGGCGCGACATCCTCCAGTTCCACGCCGAGATACCCGACCGCATCATCTTCAATGGCATGACCTGCGATATCATCAACTGCGACGAGGTGGCCATGTATACAGACGATGGGTTCCGGACGCCCGCCAAGTTACTGAGGGCCAACACGGCTGGTTGTTGGTGGGCCAAGTCCTCGGGCTCGTTCTCCACGGGCGATGAGTCTAAGGACAAGAATCGCATTCTCTGCATTGCTCTCGACCCTCACTCGATCCATAAACAGGACCAAAGACTACTCATCTCCGATGATTTCTTTAGAGCTGCGAATGCCAGCGGGGCACTCGATGAATTCGAGCCGAAGCTCGACACGAACCGGCCCATTCAGGGTGTTGTCAATATGGCCGTTGTCAAGAAGTTCTTGCTTGTGGCGGCGGCGTCTGCAAACACCGACGAGATGGCCCTTTACGTCACGGAGAATTCCATCAACTGGCATCGCGCAATCTTTCCTACGGACCACCGCGTTGAGCAAGAGGCTTACACCGCCCTAGAGAGTACCGAGTACAGCATCCAGATCGATGTCATGACGACTAGGCCGTCCAATCCGATGGGCGTGCTGTTCACCAGCAACTCAGACGGCAGATACTTCACCCGGAACATCGAGCATACCAACCGGAATCGACACGGCCATGTCGACTTCGAGAAGATTGCCGGCATCCAAGGCATATTTCTCCTGAACAAGGTCGATAATTGGAAGGAGGTCGAACGGAAGCCCAGCACCGAGAAGAAGGTCGTCACAGAAATCACCTTCGACGACGGACGCACTTTCGAGGAAGTCAAGGCGGATGGAAAGCGGCTTCACCTCCACTCAGTTACCGACCTTAGCAATGTCGGGCGCGTCTTCTCGAGCCCCGCGCCTGGCCTAGTCATGGGTATTGGCAACACGGGTGAGGAACTGACGAGCTACTCGGACGGCAACCTTTATATTTCGGACAACGCGGGCCTCACGTGGATCAAGGGACTGGATGGTCCGCACAAGTACGAGTTCGGCGATCAGGGTTCGATCCTAGTTGCCGTGAAGGATTCTGCAAAGGTGGATATAAGTGAAATCAAGTACTCGCTGGACCATGGGCAGAGTTGGAAGACCGCCTCCCTCCCAGATGATCTCAAGATCCAGCCCTCGTTCCTTACCACCACCCAAGACTCGACGACCTTGAAGTTCATCCTCGTCGGCCAAGGCGCCGGCGACGAAAAGCCTTTCTACGTCATTGCCATCGATTTCGATGGCCTGCACGAGGCTACTTGCAAGAAGAGTGACCTGGAAGATTGGTTTGCTAGGGTCGATGACGAAGGCAAACCTACCTGCTTGATGGGTCACACGCAGAAATTCCACCGCCGAAAAAAGGACGCAGAGTGCTTCATGAAAGAAGAGCACAAGGATATCAAGGTCGAGACCGAGGATTGCGAGTGCAGCGACCAAGATTTTGAGTGTGACTACGACTTTGTACGTGACGGGAAGGACTGTGTCACCAAGGTCGCAATCACCCCTCCCGAGGAAGCTTGCAAGGGCGGGTCAAAGCCTGACGACACGTTTTTGGGCCCGTCGGGCTGGCGCCTGATCCCGGGTAACACATGCAAGAGGACCAAGGGGTCCCAGAAGGATGACAAAGTGGAGAGGAAGTGCTCCGAGGCGACAACACCGGCGAAACCCCCAGGCAGCGGAGAGATCCAGATCAGCCAGCATGTCTTTGAGGGAGACTGGACTTCGATGGAGAAACACTACCTGGAGCGTGGCGACTCGAGCCTTGGAGACGACGAGACGGTTATTGTCCGACCGAGGAGCTCGAGGCGGCTAGGGCCAATATGGATCACTCAAGACCACGGCAAGACTTGGGCAGAGCCCAAACACCTTCCTTCTGAGGACATACTGTGGATCATCCCACACCACTACTTCAAAGACATGGTCTTCTTCATCACCGAGACGGAAACGGTGCACTACACGCCCGACCGTGGCCGAAACTTCCATTCCTTCAAGGCGCCTCATCCCCCGCCGATCTCTCGCGAGAGGAACCCCCTTTCGTTCCATCCCGACAACAATAACTGGCTACTATGGCTGGGGGAGAAATGCGAGCACGACAAGTGCCACCTAGTGGCCTCCTACAGCAAAGACAGGGGCGACCACTGGCAGACGGCGGCAAGATACGTCGAGAGATGCGAGTTCACCGGCTCTGACGCCTTCAAGTACCCCGGCCGCGAGGTGGAACAGATCATCTGCCTGCAGAGGGCCAGCGAGAACGACGACAAGGGCACCCCGCTCCACCTCGTTTCCAGCGACGACTGGTTTGATCACCAGAACACTCTTAAGGAGGATGTGAAGAACTTTGCAACCATGGCGGAATTCATCGTCGCCGCGACGGAGAACGCCGAAACGCAGAGCCTCCGGGCCCTCGCCAGCCTTGACGGCAAGACATTTGCGGAGGCTCAGTTCCCTTACAACTTCGAAGTGCCTCACCAGCACGCCTACACGGTGCTCGACAGCTCAACCCACGCCGTCAACCTGTTCGTCGTGACTGAGACGAAGGAGAATCGCATGTACGGCTCCATCATGAAGAGCAACTCGAACGGAACCTCGTACGTCCTTAGCATCGCGGGTGTCAACTGTGACGACTCGTTCTACGTCGACTTTGAAAAGATGCTTGGTCTGGAAGGCGTCGCGCTTGTCAACATCGTCGCAAACCGCGACGCGAAGGACGGTGTGCCGAAGGAGCTGCGGACCAAGATGACGCACAACGATGGAGCCGAATGGAGCTACCTTCCGCCCCCGAACAAAGATGTCGATGGCAAACCATTCGGTTGCGGCAGCAGCAGGGGCGATCCGACCTGCGCCTTGCATATCCACGGTTACACGGAACGCGTTGATCACAGGAAGACCTACTCTTCCAAGAGCGCCGTCGGGCTGATGTTCGGCTGGGGTAATGTCGGCTCTTCTCTTGGCTCAGCCAAGGATGCCGACACCTACATGACGACGGATGCCGGCATTACGTGGAAGCAGGTCAAGAAGGGACGGTGGACCTGGGCCGTTGGAGACCAGGGCTCGATCATTGCCCTCATCCAGACGAGCCGCGTCAAGAAGACGACAAATGTGGTCTCCTATTCGACCGACGAAGGTGCTACCTGGACCGATTACAAGTTCTCCGAAGAGGAGGTCGAGATTGTGGACGTTGCCACAATGCGGTCCGGGAACTCGAGGAACGTCCTGCTCATCGGCAAGTCGGGTTCCGAGATGTTCACAATCAACCTCGACTTCTCCGGCCTGAGCGACAGGCAGTGCAAGTACGACGAGCAAGATCCTAGCAAGTCGGATTACTACCTCTGGTCGCCGAAGCATCCCCTCCAGGATAACGGCTGTCTGTTCGGCCACATCACGCAATACCTGCGCAAGAAGCCGGAGAAGAGCTGCTACAACGGCTTCAAGATGGAGCACATCTACAAAGAAGAGAACTGCGGCTGCACTCGAGAGGACTATGAATGGTGAGCATCCAACCCCCCCCCCCTCTTTCCCCCTTTTTTTTTTCTTTTCTTTAATCTGTCAAATTCGTCCCGTCTCCCCTTCTTACCTTCCTACGTACTTACTAAACAACCACGAAATAGCGACTACAATTTCGAGCTCGACAACACCAGGGCGTGCCACCTCGTGCCCGGCTTCCAGCCCCAATCGGCCAAGGACTGGTGCGCGGCGCACCCGGACGCGGTCGAGTTCTACGAGCCGACGGGCTACCGGCGCATCCCGCTGACGACGTGCGTGGGCGGGTCCGAGTTTGACAAGGCGCCCCAGTCGCAGGCGTGCCAGGGCCACGAGGAGGAGTACGAGCGCAGGCACAGGGGGCCCTCGGGCGTCGCCATCTTCTTCGCCGTGGTGATACCGTTCGCGCTGGCGGGCGCCATCGGCTGGTACGTGTGGCGCAACTGGAGCACCAGCTTCGGGCAGATCCGCCTCGGCGAGCAAGGGGCCGGCGTCGCCGGCATCGGGAGGCTCGGCGGCGGCGGCGGCGGCGCCCTCCTCGACGAGGACAGGCCCTGGATCCGCTACCCGGTCATCGCCCTGTCGGCGGTCGTCGCCGTGGCGGTCGCCATGCCGCTCGTCGCCACGGCGCTCTGGCGGACGGCCAGGGGCGCGGTCGAGAGGTGGACCGGCGGCGGCGGCGCGTGGACGCGGCTGGGCGGCGGGGGCGGGGGCAGGAGGTTCACCACTAGGGATAGCTTCGCCCGGGGTAGGGGCGACTACGCCATCGTCGACGAGGACGAGGGAGAGCTTCTTGGGGATGCTAGCGATGAGGAGGTCTGAGGGACGGCGGTTGCGGGCCGATGGTGAAAAGGGGGGAATATTAGAGCAAGACTTCCTTGTTGACGGAACGCGAGATACGGCCGGGCACAGTTGAATAGATAGATAATACTGTATACGGCCGCCATATCAAACGGTTTGTTTTTTTTAGGAGCGTGAAATACTTATTTCTTCCTTTTGTCTCACTTGGCTTCTCCGTTTACATAGAACTGGTCGTCTGATACCTCGTCGGTGGGCGGGGATGATATGTCTTGTGTAGGGTGGAGTAATAAGCAGGTGGCTTGGGGGTGGCCTCAATTCATGGGAAGAGTTGATGATCCCAGCTGTTGTCCCATGAGACCTCACTCCCTTTCGATGTTTTGCGACTGGCGGTAACATACCATTCAGCTCCGAGGCTGGCGGTAAGGTCTCACCATACGAATTCACGCTGGAGCCGCGGCGTCCGGTGGCGGGAGCCATACCCTAGAAAAGCCACGTGCGTGTGGACTGCTTGGCTGGGAGGACCCCTGGAAGCATGACCCTTTTTCCCATTTCCCCTCTATTTCCTCTTCCCTGCCCCCCCGCACCACCGTATGTACGTCAGGCACGATATCACATACGAGGGGAGCAGAGCAAACACCGGGGATGATTGCCTCTTTCTCTGCCCATGTCTTGTCTGGGTGGTCCTGCGCCTCTACGCACGACTAACTAGGTAGACATCCCGGGCTATCGATCGTCGAACCTGCAGGGCGTTCTGAACCCCCCCCCCCCTCCCCACCCCGGCTCGGCACACTCAACCCGCCTGCTGCTCCAGCCAGCCTCTCTCTCTCCTGTCTCTCTACATGGCTGCAGTGGACAGGTAGGTAGGAATCTAGTATGTGGTTTCCCTCGGGGGCCAAGTCTGAAATGGGACAAAGATCTTGCCCATTTCTCAACCTTGATGCGATGCATGCTGCACGCACGCAAACACACCCAAAAACTGGAACCACCACAGCTCAGCGGTGGGCAGCTGCAGCGCACCGCTTTCTACCACAACAGTGCTCCCCTCGCCTTATGATAGGCACGCCGGTATCGCAGGATACTTGCATAATTGGGCGGCTGTCACTGCCGATTTCCTCCCCTCCAATGGCTTTTTGTGTGAGGGTGTGTGTGTGTGTGTGTGCAGCGCCCGTAAGCAGATATCCGGGGGGGCTGGAATTTTCGCCTTTTTGAAGATGTTCTTTTTTGCTTCCTTCTCGGCATTCTGGGAGGTCCCCGGGGAAGAGGGGCCTCCGCCGCTCAGACCACCCATTCCGTTCCGACAACATATTTGGATGGACGCCGGAGAGGGCTCCTCCTACGTTAGCACGTGCATTAAGGGATCCCTGGCTTTACCAGCGCTCAGTCCCCGCGTCACTGCCCCACACCGAACTGGCCTGACAGGCCAAGATCAGTTGAGCTTCTTGCAACAGCGTCTTCCCCCAAGAGCAGGGCAAAGGACAATACCGGTGGCAATTCCTGAATTGTAACCTGGGAACTCGGGGAGTACCAAAACGCACCTGGCGCAGCAATCAGGAGCAGCAAGAAGAAATAGATGATGGATCAAAAAGGTGTCTTCGATCTTGTTCCATATTTGGCTTCTACATGTCGTTAAGGCTTCTCATCCTTTTCCTGCCTAAGCGAGGGAGGCAACTCTCTTTTTGCCTTGACATAAAACGCCATATTATGGCGGGGATTCAGCCCCTAGTAGAGCCCATGTGTGTCCTGTCCCTCCCTTCGCCGGGGGGGCCAATGGCCGTGTTGCTGCAATGCTGCCCCTCCCCTGCCCTTGCCTAGATACCTAAAAATCCAAGCCCCTCACTCACACATGGCCGTCATGCAACGATGGCCACCAATGCTGCATAGCTATGGGGTAATAGCGCAGCACAAAAGGAAAAAAGAAAAGAATATTGCTAGAGGAAAAGAAAAGAAGAGGAATGGAAAATCCACGGCCATGCCGCTGATGGTAAGTAAGGACGCCTCCCAATGAGTTGTGGTATGTGACAATAACGCCGTGCCGAGTTGACTCTCATGCAAGGATAGAAAAAGACATTCATTCCACTTTTCGTCCTGCATCCCAATGTCTCAAACTTGCAGAGAATAAGTGACAAAAATAGCTAGATAGAACTAGGTATGTAGGTACGTAGATAGCGCGCTGCACAAGTCGTGAACAAAACATTTGACCAAGCTGGGTCTGAGCGCCAAGATAACGAAAATGAACATGGGGGTATTGAGCAAGACTCGAGTTTCAGGCAATAGTGAATGTTTTGGTGAGAGTGAAATTTGCCATTCGATGAGTTAGGGAAGAAGGACATGAATTCCCCAGCACGCAGCACAGATGGGAAGGTCGAGTCGTTGGAGGATCGAAAGGAGAAGACAAGAGTCGGTATCAGATTAGGATCAGATCGGGATCAGATCTCAAGCTCGGCGCACACGGTTCCAGATACGCTTCATGACACCACTGTTATCCGACTCGGTTGCGTTCCAGTGGTCGATTCCCGCAAGGACTTTCTCGATGCTCTCTTTCGGTGTCTTCTCGCCAATGTAGGTGACATTTGTGGTCGAGTCGTCGCGCAGGTGAGACGTCTGTGACCTTTTTCCTGCCAGATGTCCCGGCTTCTGCCATCCATATAACTGGTCCTCGTGAGCCCTCAAATCCGGTCTCGTCAACGTCATACGCAAGGTCATCTCTCTAGACGAGACTGAGGCTTGGACATAGCTGGCCTCCGAGGGTTTGGAGACATGGGTGTGAGCCGGATCTGCGCAACCTCGGTGCGGTCTAATGGTGGGCTTGTCGAAAGTCTGAGGGGTCCTGGGGGAATCCGGATCCGTGACTGAAGGTTCGTCGCTGTTCATTGAGAGCTTATCCTCGTCGTCGTCATCATCGTCGTCGTCGACATCATCCAGAAAACTCCGGAGATTAGATGAATCGTCGGATAGTTTCTGTCTCGACTGCTGCCTACTCAGTGCTCGGCTCTCCTTGGCAGTTACAGTCGGACTAGATAACGCATCGGTAGACGGAAATCCGAACTCGATGGCCTCATCGAACTTCTGGGGCGAAGCCAGGTATACTCGCAGCTTAAGTCGTGCCTCGGGGTCCTGATAGTGGGCAGCGGCAGGGTCAATCACGCCGGTTGACCCGTGAGGAGTGTGTTTCGGGGTAATCAATGACAATGCGCGGGACCTTCGTCGAGTATGCCCGACGGGTGCAGCCTTGGGGCTCACGGGACCGTGGGTCGGGGATATTGGGCTCATCATTGTGTCCTTCGTACCAGGTCGGCTTGCCGAGGCCGACGAGCGGCCAAAGGGGATCTTGGAGATTGACATGCGTCGTCGGAAAGAGGGCCGGCGCTGTGTAGTTGGCGAGGGAACATTTTCCCGGAGATTCGAATGGTAATCGTCCAAGAAAAGCCGCAGATCCAGGTTGTCCTCCTCGTCCAACCAGCGGAAACTCTCATAGAAGGAATCCGGGACATTGCTGTTCTTGTCCGAGCCGATCAAATGCCCGGGACTCTTGGGCGAGAAGTCCATGCTGTTTCGCCGAGACGAGGCGGCTGGCGCGCGTGGAGGGTTCCTGCTCGCCTTTCGCCCTAACTTATATACAGCCTCGTCGGCCGCGTCCAAGACCACGCTCGTCCGAGGTCGTCTTTCTAAAGCAAGTTGTTCTTCGCCGGTAAGCAGTCTCTTCTTGATTTTATCGGAGAGGTTGGTGAAAGGCAGCGAGTCGGCGGTGATGAAGCGAGGCTCGGGGAAGTGAGAGGCACTTCGCGTCTGGCGGGGTCTTCGCCGTTTGAAGTTGTGTGTCGATATTTGGTCGTAATGTTGAGAGATACGGTCGGTGCCAGACTCTTGAGCAAAGCGAAGGCGTTCGAGGGTTGAGAAGTACTGGAGGGGGGGAGGGAGAGTTCAGTAAACCGACCACGATGTTGATCAAGCAAGCTAAAAGGGGGGAAGACAAGGGTCAAAATGGCCCAACACCTGACGGGTGAATTGGCATGCAGGGCCGGGCAGCAACGGAGGAGGAGCTGGGGGTGTGGGGGGGAGGTACTGTAGGTAGCACGACAAGAATGAACGCTCAATCCATGCGTGCGTGGGACCTGCATGTGTGAGGTCCAACCGCCTCAGCAAGCCAGCACACCTTTCACAGCATACTGAGCACGCAGGCAAGATGCGCTAAGACTGCGATGCATGATCCAGTCGGTGGAGGTACAGCTTTCCCTGCGGGTGCTACTGCACCAGCTAATATAGTCCCTCACCCAAATCGGGTTTGGCTTGGGTTCTCTGAATACGACCTAGGACGACATTCGCTCTTGGTTGGGAGACCCAGGTCCAAGCTGTGGACACCTTCAATCGCTTCATGGGTGGAAGAAGAGTCGTATGCAGTACTTGGGAATTGGACGATCCCAGAGACGGTCTCTGGAGCTATGGGGAATAGGGAATAGCCAAGGAGGAGCCTTGCCCTGCTGCAGAGATTTGGCAATTTAATGCCTTGGCCGAATCGGGGAACGGGAAACGGGGATGAATGGCCAGAAGGCGCCAGCACCAGCAAAATCCAGCAAACCAAAGGCCGACTTCGGTTTCTTGCCGCCAAATTTTGCAGGGCAATGAATGAAGTTCGTGTTCGTGACGCGATGACGCCTCAACGGTTCGTGAGAGGCATTGTCCGCTAGGAGGAGTAATTAAACGGCTACAGACCCAATTGGGGACGGCGCCAGAGTCCAGAACAAACAAGACAAATGGATAGATAAGTGACGGGAAGCAAATTCTCCAGAACACACCTTTCTTTGTATGGCTAGTGGGAGCGCTTCGAACTCGTCTCGTGTAAGTGGCGGTGGCAGACCAGCGTGGGATTGGCGTTTCTGGATGCTGGCAGTCCTCGTCAAGTTGCCGCTGCGCGTGTGGTTGTGTCGCCTCGACTTGCTGGTACTGCTGTTCTGCGTCTCTGTCGACGATCTCGGATCGACAGGCTGTTGCTGCTGCTGGTGATGCCGCCGTGCCCAACGAGCAAACAAGGGGTTTCCTGATCGACTACTACGGCCGCTCTGAGCAGAGTGCGGCCGCCAGTGGCCCGTGGTGGCAGCCTTGTTCGCAACGACGTAGGTGCTCGTGGGGCCGTGAAGGCCGTGAACGCTAACGGCAGACGTGCTGGCTGCGATGGCCGCCGTTCTTTCCGGGGCCGCAAATGCCGACACGGGCATCGTAACCTTGGAGGAGGCTGTGCTCCTATACCTGCTATCGTCGCTGGTATAAGTCGAGGTGAAGGAGGCGAAGGTAGAGGCGGAAGGGGGCCAGATAAAAAAGGTGCTGAGGGTCAATGGCCTGTCAAGCGTGGTGGTACGTATATGAGGAGTGGTGTGATTAGGATTACTATTAGAGTTATTGTGCGTGGCGTGCTGCTGGACGGTATCGAGTTCGGGGAAGAAGAAAGAACCAGACGCTGAAATCGCTGCAGGCCAAAGGCGGTCAGACCAGCACAACTGGCTGTCAAGGGTTGGTAGGTATGATAGATGACCAGGGCTGGGCAGATTGCACATACCAGGCATATTGACGACTAGGAGCTACCTCTCCTAGGGGCCAGGATTGTTGTCACCGAAGGTATTGTAGGGCGCCAAGACTAATCGTCCTATTCGCGGTCTTACACGGTGATATCGCGCTGCTTTCCAGGGTTCACAGCCACTAGTGCAGGTACCCATCGATGGGTCCAACAGAGTGGAGGGAGGATGGAGCAGGGCTGGGGGCGCCTAGTGACGTTCGCTCATCGCTGGGTCGTACTTCCTTACTTGTGAACAACAAACGATCGAGGACCACGACTGTCGATGGTTCAATGTTGGGCAAGGCCAGACTGCGGGCCATCTTATTATTAATATTTCCATAGGGAACTCGCACCGGGACCGTATGCCCTCGCTGTCTCAGGATGTGGTTTCCATTCCACTTACGTGCATACGGACCTAGGTAGGTAGGTACTTGGTAGGTATCCCGTTGAGGCAGAACACGGCTTCTTCCATTATGCCGCTCCACTTCCTGCCGTGGGCGGTGCATGTTTTGGGAAAGCCCGCCCTTAGATCCCGGCCAGTCGTGACTGTGTAATCCGTACCATAATAGTGTATCCGTACAATACGGGAAGTTCACTAGTCGAATTCATTACATACTAGGTGCCTCCACTGGTGTAGATTGCCCGAGTTTTGTTTTGCTCGAGTCCCTGGGAAGAGACAGAGATGCCAGCCCAGGAATCGAGGAGAACGATGGAATGAGAAACCTCGTGTCTTAACTCTCGCACCACGGTAGAGAATACTCGGTTAGGTAGGGAGGGAGGTAGTCCGGAGACTCCGAATTTTGCCACAAAAAGAACCTTGGGATCGAGGCTCCGGTTTTAGGTTGTACAGAGTGTATACCTCGAACATGTCCTGAGGGGAGGTGTGTCTTGGCTCATGCACTTCCAGATATTCCCAGGCTCAACCATATTACCTGGCACTCCAAACAATCTTCTTTGATTTGCGATCGAGAAGCATCGGCGCACAGGCCACACACACATGCGGGGACAAAAGGAAATCAAGGAAAAGAAAAAAAAGTACGTGGCTGGCAAGGCTGGTTCCACTTGTTCCATGATTCCATTGCAACCAACATCTGAACCTTTTGGGGCGAGGGACGGCCTGTCGGGGTTGCATCACATCGATCATTTCTGCCAGGGCCATGCCCGCCCTGGAAAGAGCAATTATAACCCCTGCCTGCCTAGCAAGATTCTCCCCGGGCGGAACGCGGTTATCAATATGGTGTTACTCTATCTGGCCAACCAGAAAAGATCGCCACGCACGAAATAGCAAGCGAACATGGCCGCTTGGAGCTGGCTGCCCGTCAGCCCCAACCTATGCTCCAGGGCTCTTTAGGCGCGATAGTGTATGTACACTGTCAGGTTGTGTATTTGACTACCTACCTACATCACTCAGTCGTCCAGACTAAATACCTACTACTTATTTCACACCGGATCCCTCTGTCTACCCGCGGCTACATGCGTACACGCCGAGCAAGACAGGGGCAACCCCAGCGCGAAGGGCGATCCCTTCCCAACCAAGACTACCAAGACGGCTTTTGCCGTTGCTGTTCCAACAGTCTCCTTGGGATGGCAGATAGCGGCAGACGGAGTACGAAGCTGCCTGTCAGCTCCGTCCCTTGATGCGCGGGGCACAGTCTACCTTCCATCCCAACAACGGCCGTGATATGTGGAGATTGCCGGCCGGAGAGTCCTACGGAGTACGGGGTATTCTGCATTGCATTCGGCGAACGAAGCCCAGTCGTGTTAATTTTTTTGGCCCGAGTAGGAATAGGTTCTTGTGACCCCATAGGAGAATCATGCTTGTAAATTCGGATTTTGGCGCACTCCGCCCTCTCCACTAGCGACTCCCGCGCCGACAGGAACTAACTACCCACATAATAACGCCCAGCGCCTTTCTCTGCCCCGTCACTCTCCATGCTCCATGCGCATCTTCCGGTTCTCTCATGTTGAACGCTAAAATGCCCCAGGATTCGTGCTCACACCAAGATGGCCCGCTCATCAGCAGTGTCGAGAAGGCGACGACAGCCTCGGCATCGGATGGACCCCACGCACCCCGCACATTACCCGAGATATGCCTCACGCTGCGGCGCAAGGTGATTGCCTTCTTGGAGGAGAAAACAGACGACGAGGTGCTCCGGAATACACAGGGCCAGGCTCGCGTGTCAATGGGGGTCATCGAGGAGGCGCTACGCCGGTATAGGTGGGTACCAACCACCACGTTGAGACGGTGCTGCCCAACCCACTGAGGGAGGGAGGGAGGGACGTGGACAGGGACATGCAGAGCTGGACAACAAGCATCCACGGCTAACATGTTGCCTCCAAAACACATAGGCCCGACGAACTGTCCCTGTCGTATAATGGTGGGAAGGACTGCCTTGTCTTGCTGGTCTTGATGCTGGCCTGTTTGGCGGCGCCGACTTCTACATCTACCTCCGGGCCCGACGCCGCCGATGCCGCCGATGCCGTCAATCTCCCGGAGCCGGCGCCTAAGCCTCAGCCGCCCCGACCCCTCCAGGCAATCTACATCGCGCCACCCGACCCATTCCCCGAGGTCGAGGACTTCGTCGCAACCTCAACAATACAATACCACCTCGACCTGACCCGGTATGCCTTGCCCATGCGCCCTGCGCTCGAGGCATACCTGGGTGACAGGACAGCCGTCAAGGCCATATTCATGGGAACGAGGCGGACGGATCCCCACTGCGAGTGCCTGACGCACTTCAGTCCCACAGACGCGGACTGGCCACAGTTTATGCGCGTGAATCCGATGATTGATTGGCACTATGCCGAGATATGGGCCGTGAGTATCTTCTGTCCTTCTACGGTTTCCGTTCCTTCCGCATTCTACGAAGGAGGAGGATGCAGCCGGGAGAGGGTAGAAACAATACTGGGAGACAACCGCTGACACAGACAGTTCATCCGGCACCTTGGCATTTCCTATTGCAGCCTATACCAACAGGGCTTTTCGTCGCTCGGCGGCATGAAGAACACGCGCCCGAATCCGGTGCTGGCACTTGACGCCGATGCGAAGACGTTCCGGCCGGCATACGAGCTGATGCGTGACGATCAGGAGCGCTTGGGTCGGGATCGATAGGATACCTCGAATATGCCTGTTAGAGGTTACAGACTCCATTATCTAAGGATAGGGGGCTCAGGGGTTGGCCCGAGGGCTTGACCGAGAGGAAGACCAACGCTAAGGTTTTGAACAAGACCTGTTTCATAAAGCATGCTACCTCATAGAGCATAGAGCATAGAGCATCATGGCGTTATGAACGATCGGGGTAGAGCACCCATTCCATTGACGAGGCACCCATCTCGCGATTCTGATGTGTGGTTCTACGTGCCGGGGTTATTACAGCTCTTCTGTTTGTGTCCTCCTACATACTTTTTCTCGGTGGTTTGTCACAGTCTACCGAGGTAAGGGAATATCTCGCAAGAGCCATCAATACTAGGTACCCAGGCAACCCTCCATCGTCATTGAGCCCAGCTTTCTGCCGCAAGATATTTCTCCAGTCCAGATGATAATGCCCAACTAGCCTGCCATCTCTACGAACGGTATCGTCCCTCGGACTCCTTTCCAAAATGAAGACGGTTTAGGTTGTCATTCCAATATGAACAGCCACACTCCCACAGGCTATACGAGGGAGTCCGTGTTTAGCATACTGGGCACTTCCCTGTCTCTTCCGTTCACAACAAGGGAACTCGAGCGGGACAGAAATGGAGTTCGGATACTTCATTGGCGACATCTATTGCGCCAGGGCGCCGTCATCCAGCGCCCACCTGCCGCATCCAACCATGGCGGCGGGAAACCACTCAACTAGGGATGCTGATCAACGCCCTATCGCCGATCCTCACAAGCCACCGGCTGAGAAATGACATGGCACCCGTACGCGTACTCGGTGTAGGAAGGAGGAAGCCGCGGATCGCAGTTTGTGTGGCCTAGTGTAGGTACACTCCACAGCCGTACAAGGCCTTTACGAAAGGGATCTGCATTTGTCTCAACCCATACCCAATGCCCAACGACGAGCCTCTCAGGCCAGCAAGGCTGATCCCTGCGTAAAGAGCATCTCGCTCGAGGCCGGTGAGACGAGCGGTGAGATGGGGTTTGCGACATGGGCGAGGCTATGTCGAGTGGTGGCACAATGCATGCGGCTCGATGGGTTAGTTTGCGACTGCCCGAATTAGGGTTGTGCTCGCGTCATTGTGTCTGTCAATCTTGGGGGGAAGAAAACGCGGCCCCCTCGCTGGTATCTCGGAACCTGATTTGACTACATAGTTGTAGGGAGCGAACAAACAACAGGGTCTCACGGCTGATCCAGATCGCCGGGACGAATCAGATACAGCAATACGACGCGGAGGTCCTTCCAATTTAAGCTTGAATATGGATACGTCGGTGCCGAGCGAGGGGTGTCAAAGCCCGCCCGGAGTGGGGTAGAGAAGCACCGTTGCCCCGCGCCGTGTTGGGATTGTTCGGCCTGTGCAGGAACCAATCACGACGTGGGGTGGTGCACAAGGCTTAAACCAACAACATCACAACGCACACCAGTCACTTGTCACTTTCTGCCGCGGATCGACTCCGATCTCTGTTGGTTGTGCTTGTCAATCTCGGAGTGGGAAGAAGTTGCGATATTTGGCCTGCTGCAGAAGACTACGAAGTAGGAAGTCGGTCCCCTTTTTTCCGGCACTTGATCTGGCCCCCTTTTTTTTTGCCCCGTGGTTAAGCCCCCATTCAAGCTCTCTCTCCCGCAAGCCAAGCAAGAACGTTGGTGACCCTCCGAAAGAAGAAGGAAAGACAAAGTCAAAAGGGAAAATGCGTAGAGTTCCCGTACCGCCGGCCCGATTCCCGCTATCCGTGGGAAAGGTTGGGATTGGGCTGAGATGGAAGTTACACTCGGGTCGCTCCCTCCCAGATGGGGACGCCCCAGCGACACATGGTCAAGCATTCCCGTGACACCCCCGCCCAACCCGCGGACCTCCTTCACCAACCCCCCTCCCCGTTCCTCCCCTCCCCCGCCGTCAAAGTCAACCTACCCTAGGTACCTAGTTGGCCAGCACCTGCGGCTCGACGAGCGAGTCGACAGGGTCGTAGTACTCGTAGACCCTGTTCTCCTTGTCGCGGCCCTTGACCGCGGGCGCCATGTAGGTCGACAGGCCCGTGGCGCGGTCGTAGGACCGGTGCGAGCAGGCCAGGCGCTTGCCGCCGCCGCCGGGGAGGTCCACCACGAACTGCGGCATCATGAACCCGGCGATGGAGCCGCGCATCCGCGCCTCCAGGTCGAGGATCATCTGCAGCGGCGTGCGGAGGTGCTCTACCTTCTCGACCATGTCGCACTGGTAGACGTAGTACTGTTTTTGTTTTCCTGTCAGTGTTTGTTGATCGGGGCTCTTTCGCAGCCCAGTAGGAGTTGGATGGGGCTGTGAGTGAGTGGGCTAAAAAAGCAACGTACCGGGAAGATGTTGTTGTCGGCCAGCTTACGGATCAAGGTCGACATGGTGTCAAAATCGTCATTGATGCCGCGGAGGAGGACTGTCTGGTTGCGGACCATGACGCCGGCCTCAAGCAGCTTCTGGCTGGCCATCTGGGTGACCCACGAGATCTCGTTGGGGTGGTTGAAGTGCGTGTGCAGGGCCACCGACTTTCCGGCGCGCTTGGCCTGGTTGGACACGTCGATCAGGGCGTCGACCCAGCCGTCGGACCCGTCGATGATGCGGCTGGGCGCCACCGCGAGCCCCTTGGATGCGAAGCGGAAGCGCCGGATGTTGGGGATGCTGATCAGCCGCTCGCCAATCAGCCGGAGGTGCTCCGGCATCAGGTAGTACGAGTCGCCCCCCGACACGACGATGTCGTGCAAGCCTGGCTTGCTGGCGATGTACGTGAATGCCTCCTCCCAGCGCTTGCGCGTTGGCTTCAGCGACGCCTTGGTGACGGTGTCGGTGTCGGCGCCAACGGCGTAGGAGCGGGTGCAGAACATGCAGTAGGTCGGACACACGGAAGTTGCTTGCGTCTGGGGTTAGTCATGACAATATGCGAGACAGCGGGGAGGTGCGAGGGGTGAGGGGGGAGACTCACGCAAAAAGAGGGCCTTGTCAGGGTAGCGATGCACAAGGCCCTTGACCGGGGAGTCGGCCGTCTCATGCAGCGAGTCGAGTGTGAGCTTAGGGTGGTCGGGAAGCATGACCGACTTCATTGGGAGGAATTGCCGGAAGATAGGGTCCTGACGGGGCTTCTTCCAGTCGATGCGACTCAAAATGTAAGGGCTGTAGCGGGATTAGTCGAGCAGGCCTACGGTACACAGAACTGGGATTCCAGTCGTGTTGGTTGCTGGACGGACCACTCACGTTATGCGGATGGCCATGGTGGCAGCGGTGACGCCGTCAAAGACATCCTTGACGAGCTCATCGCGCGTCTGCATCTGGGTGCTCTCCCCGTCGTAAGGCACGTGGTCCGGGAGGACGGCATTCAGGAACTTCAGGAGCTTGGGGCCGCCCTGGACTGTATTTGCGATCTGAGTTTGCCGGTTGGTAAGCATCATCGCCGGTCTGCAAGGTAACGTGGCAAACACAAGGGGTTGGTTGGCTTCTGGCATGTATGTACTTACACCCCAACGATACGAGAGGAACTCGTTTGCCGACACATTCTCCCACACGGGAACCTTGCGCCAGAACTCGTCCTGTTGGCCCAAAAGGGGCAAGCCTGTAGTAGCAGCACCTGTAGCTGTAGCTGTTGGCGATCCGGCCACGCCCTGGGTTGGATGGCTGATGGGCATGATGCGGTGGGCAGGATCCCGAAGAGGCACCTCGAGACCCTGCTGGTTGCTTCCGGATTCCTGTCCGGAGGTCACGACCTGAGCAAGCCGGGGGGGCATAGAGGCCACTCCACGGGCCAGCCTCGGGGCTGCATACTGGCCCGATGGCCGAACAATCTTGGTTCTGGCGAGTCGCAAAAACATCTTGTCGATATATCAAGTGGGCTTGTATACCGTGGTGCAAAGGTTGCCCGACGTCAGGAGAACTCGATAAGTCTGCTGAAAGAATGTCTGCCGTTGGAGGAATGAGATGATCTGTTGGTGCTTAGGAAGACGTTCCAAGTCCAAGTAAGGCAGGTCAAAAGAGCAATAGAAGAGAGAGGGCAGAGCTCTCAGCTGTCCAATATATACTAGCTGGTAGAGTAGGTAGTGAATACCCGACCAGAAGAAGTGTCTTGGACTATCCCTGCTCTTCACCTGCACATCAGCCTGGAGTGAATACAAAGCCAAACCAACTTCACTCTCGATGCGTCCGCGATGAAGGGGATACGCACTTCTTCGACCACACACCCTCTTTCCCAGTAGCTCATTTGCTAGCAGTACTCTCTCTGATCCGTGGAAAGGCCGAGCCTGTTGGTTATCCTTGTGTGTCCTGGGTGAGTGAGTATGGCAAGGTTGTTTGCCGGAGGAGGCAGGTTGGCGACGTTGTGCTTCTGTTGGTTCGCCGGGAACAACTTGATCAGCAGAAAACGAGGTCGCCAGGGCAGTGGCCGGTACGGTCTTCCGGCCTTGAGTGCGTGGCAGCAGCAGCAACAGCAAGGGCTAGAGGCTGTAGGCGGTCGGTTGCTCACCTCTTGTGAGGCCGTATAAGAGGGATGGCAGTCCCTGATATGGCAGAGCTTGGTGTTTCAGTCTCGATATATAGACGGTGAACTCGAGGCACTTCGAAGATTCCGACTCTGAAACTCGAGCAGCCAGAGTCGACAGCAGTCAAACAGTCAAGCTATTCCCAGCCGACGTTTGGACTGTTCCGGCAACTTGCAAACTATACGTCGTCTGGTCGTCAAACAAGGACATAGAGTGTACGATTCGAGATTCCCTCGTCTGGACCTCACCCACTATAAATACATTTTTGCACCTCTCTCTTCCTCTCCTACACCATCGAAACTGGATGACCATATACCACTTTGCCCTGTTATCGTTTGACCCTGGACAGCCTCGATATCTAAAGACCCTGAGCTGTTTTCCCATCCCAATCATGCCCTCACACCAAACCATTGGACCACTCAGGGACACTGCAGGTGCAGGCAGCATCCAAAGCGGTATGGAGTGAGTGCCCGCCAGACCCTTGTTAATGCAGCGCCCTCCCCATTTCTGCAGCGAAATCTGAGATCTTACAGACGCTAAGCCTCTTCGCAGACTTCAGACCACCACCCCGACGTCCCTCCACGAACCCTTGTTCGCTACCCCCGGCTACACGGATCCCGAGGCTGCGAATACAAACACGACGACAGCCAGCCCCCGCGGGCAAACTCGGTCCGCCGAACTCGACTCTGGTTGGAAGCCGTGGTCCGTCGTGGCGGGATCATTCTGCCTAACAGTTGCTACATACGGGATACTGAGCAGCATTGGGCTCTTCCAGACATATTGGCAGGAGCACCAGCTTGCCGAGGAGGACAGCACCGACATCTCATGGATCCTGTCCATGTTCGGCTTCCTCGACTGCCTTGTCGCGGCGCCCTTCGGCGTGCTGTTTGACCAGTACGGGTCAAGGCTCCTACTGCCCGCTGGCTGTACCGTGTACCTGGCCTCCTTCGTGGGCCTTGCCTTCGCCACCACGTACAGCCATTTCATGGCTTGCTTCGTCGTTGCCGGCCTCTCCGCAGGTACACTTGGTCACGTCCTCTCTCTTCTCTCTCCCTGCCTCGCCCATTGCAAGATTGGAGCTAACAGCCAGGGGCTTTTTTTCGTCTCCAGCCGTGCCCACAACGGTGGCGTTCAGCGTAGTTAGCCACTGGTTCTCCGCCAGGCGGGGACTCGCCATGGGCATTGTCACCGTCGGCGCGGCGGCCGGTGGCATCTTCTTCTCTATGGTGCTCAAGGCCCTCTTCGGATCCTTCAGCTGGAAAGTGTCCATCCTGGCGCTCTTCGCCATCCTCACCGGCCTCATGGTGGCCGGGAACGTGCTAGTGCACACTAACCCTGACAAGGAGGAGCGCGCCTCCTCGGAGAAGGACTTTCGAGAGTGGTTGAACTGCTTTAGGTCAGTCAGGTTCTGGCTGCTCTGTTATTGTATATTCGGTAAAGCTGCTCCGAGACACTCCGGCCCATGCCCATGCCCAGGCCCTGGTCCAGGGCATGGGTGGCTTTGTCAAACAATCTAACGCGGGTGGTTTTTGCATATAGTTTATGAGTTGGTGCTCTTCGTCCAGTGGGGCTCGATCCCGTCATACTCAGTGCTCACTAGTCTTGGGGACCAGTTCCAGCTGATGATGGTGTACAACGTGTAAGATGATTCTTCCTGACACTACCACCCACCTCGATCGAGGGAAGAGGTAACATTCGCTAAAAAAAACGAACTGCGACCCGTTCAGTGGCGCAATCTTCGGCAGGAGCCTCCCTCCTTGGCTGGCTGATCGCCGGCTGGGGCCCCTGAACACCACCCTCATCATGAATACCTTTACCCTGCTGGTCGTCGCCGCCCTATGGCTCCCACTCGGGGACCAATCGGCCGTGGCCTTGTTCTTCGTTGTCGCCTTCATGGGGGTGGGGACGGGAAGCTTCGTGCCGTTGGCAGGTGAGTCAATCCTTGGCTGCCTGGCCCAGCATCAAACTTCGGGCCTTCCAATGGCTGGACCCTGGCTAATGGATGTGCCAATATCTCTAGCCACTTGCGTGGGGACGCTCTGCGACCCCGAGAACATCGGCACTTGGCTTGGCTGCTGCTACACCGTTATAAGCTTCTCGTAAGCCCGCCCCCCTGCTCCCGGTTTCCCTTTCTGGGAAGGGGAAGGGTGTTACCCCCGACCCCCGACCCCTGACCCCCGACCCCCCCACCACCCCCCGACTAACGTGGTGTTCAGAGCCCTCGTCGGTAACCCCATTAGCCAGGCCATCCTCAACTGGAGTGGCCCGAGGGCGCTGGTGGCGCTTCTCGCCGTGTTGCTGGGCTCGGGTCTTTTTACCGGGTTGGTTCTGAGATGGCTCTGCCACGGCCGAGCGTGGATTTGGCGGGGGAGGATCTGAGTTTTGATGACGGTGCGTGACGTGAGAGAGAGCCGGGCTGCCGCTGATTGGGGCCAAGTCTGCATGATCTCCTCTTCTGTTGGTTGACATTTGGACATCCTGTTTCGATCCCTCGTCGTTACACGACTCCTTGAGGGCTTGCATTATATCTTTCTTGGTCAAATGCGGTCGCTTATCACTCTTGGCGCGCAACGCGCAGCTTTTCGTTTGGCGGCATGTTCCATGGGAAAAGAGTTCTCAGCCGCCAACTAGAAAACAAGGATTTGAATAAGGACGGCTTACAAAATTTGGTCAGAATGTGATCTGTCACCTATTACCTACATGACTTCTGGAGGCCAACTGCGCCCACAGATTCCCGAGCCTCGTTCTGGTTCTGGTCACAATTCCCATCAGATCTTCCATCGGATCTTCCATCGGATCTTCCATCGGATCTTCCATCGGATCTTCCATCGGATCTTCCATCGGATCTTCCATCGGATCGTTCATTGGATTCTCCACCTTTCCGGTTCTTGGGAGGGAGACGAGACGTCGGGACCGAGAACCGGGGAAGCTATTTAGGCTACGGCGCGGGCCGCCACCCGCAACGGTCACAAGTGAGAGTCGATAAATGGGCTGCTTTTTACAACAATGGCTATTGTCTATCGAGAAGTCACTTTTCGATTCGACTAGCTAAGGTAGCTCGTGAGACACACGTACGTACAGAGCTCCGGCTGGTAGTCTAGTGTACACTTCGTACAGCATGTTTGCAGTTTTCATTCTGGACTGCATTAGTGCTATCTGCAACCTGGGAAACGGAAGCTTGTCCGGGCCTCCGGCCGCCTTTTTTTTTTTTTTTGCTTCTTAATACCAAATCTTACGTCAATTGAATTCGACAAGATCCAATAATGATATGCAGATCACGCTCATCGGCTCCCCGGCTAGCTTGATGGTTACGTATCATCAACTCCTTCCATTTGGACCCTGAATCGTAGGTCGATTGTCTCTGCACCATCAACATGACCAGTGCTTCCCCCACAGTGCCCTACCGGGGCATTTTTCCCGCCTGATTACCGCGCGGCGGGCGGTCTGGGCTGATCTCCCCCATCCCAGCCTGCTTGCGACTTCGTACTAGCTTCCAATACCGGCCCTTCTCGACGGGCAGGCAAGGGGTCATCAGTCACGGGAAACCCGCCGCAGTCACCGTCAACAAAAAAAGGTCTGTCAGAGTACGTGCGGACAGGGTGGTGACAGACGAAAACGATGTGGTGTCGCACATCAACTTCCGATCCAGACAGATCAGATCGCCGCACTCTATCGGATCGATCCAGATGTAACGCCAAATCGAGTTGCTGTACTGGCCGGTGCTGCCGTGGTCCATCACCTATCACAATCACTTACTTCCCAGAGGGGAAAGGTCCCCGAGTGACAGCCTCGTTGGTTGCTTGACACTGCCCACGAAGCCATGTAAGCCATATATCCGCGGATCACACAATCACATCAAAGCGGCTTGATGTTGGGCGGTGAATACGAAAAATAACAAAATATGACACCAATAGAGCGCCTGCAGCGCTTACGAAGGAGGGACTTGAGCTGGAGAACGGGAGGGGGTTCCGAAACCACAGTCTCGCCTTCGTGGGCAAAACCCTCAACAAACACGTGCAAGACCCTCATCCCACTGCTCGACTGCAAGTATGAGCGGCAGCGGCCGTGGCGAAAGCATCGAGCCTGGCGGCAGAGAGTGTCGGAGAGAGCCGTTTCCCGCGCACGGGTATATATGCCAGCACCGGCGAGACCTAGCAAATGCAGTCGATCCGGACCGGGTGGATGGGCGGGTGCCTCGATGTGGCTCTCCTCTAGAGTTGTTGTGCCTCGAGTGTGATGCGCCACGCCAATAATCCCACGCTGGTCCTGGGTTGTGCAGATAGATACAAATCAGAGAGAGAGCCTCCGGCAGCACGCCAGAAGCCGGTTGCATTGGGTTGCACCAAGGAGAGTAAAAATCTCGGATCACCAAGATTAATAGGTCGTCATAGTTATTCAAGGTCTATGAGCATAATCATGAGTGGATATATGGGCATCGCACCGCCATCCTGTCGGTCCTCGTCTCTTTTTAAGCTGTGAATATTGGCTCTAAGACGCATTCATCTCCAAGGTTCCTCCGGAGCGGCTTCCTTCTTGGAAGCATGTTCCTATTTGCCGGCCATGTTCATGTTGCACGACTACGTAGGTCTGCTTCTGAATCCATCAACGCAGTTGAAATTCCCACAAGTGACTCTGCTCACTTGTGACGAGTGCCTTAGGCCTCGATATTTTTGTCCTGTAGGGTATACGGCATCCGTCCCCGACAGCGGTGGCTAGATATTCGCCAGTTGACTTCCTACCTACTATCCTAGCCAAAGGCAGTGGTGTATGCAGAGACTGAGCTCAACCAGCTCAAGCCTGAAGGCATCTGTCATTCATCGTCAGTAAGGACCGAGAACATAAAGAGTCGGTTCAGCTCATACCCAAGGAAATCACCGTTGATACTGCCGATCGCCCACATCTCGCCAACCTCTGTCCTGGTCCCGATGATCTTTACTCGGACGTGAGTGCCAGGCTCGATAACCCAGTCAGCGTTATTGGTGAATTGTGGAGGCGTGGCATTCGCATCATATTTGATCTCCTCGGGCATTAACTAGATCCGGCCGGTATCAGTTCTGATATCATGTCACGGGACATAGTCCCCAAGAGGGCGAAGGACCCATACATGATTCGAAACGAACAGGCGCAACGGCCCAGCCTGAGCGAAGAAACCGTGTGGGTTGACAGAGTAGACGATGGCATCAACCTGAAGAGCGTGGTTTAGCGCAAAGATCCAGGTCATCCACCTCCGCCCCGCGACGACCTACCACTTCGCCCTTGAAGGGCCGCCAGACAACGGCACGATAGCCAACGATAAACTCGGCCAGGCCGCTTCCCGGCAGGATACGCCCCTCGGAGACGTCAAAGGTATCCATGATGGAGATTATGTAGTAACTGCCGGCACACGTTCCTTCAACATCCTTTAGGAGTTTCGATGTGACCAGATCGTGCATGTTTCTGCCGAAGTAGGAAGGGTGCAGCGTGACCCGCCGCTCCAGGTTGTGGAGGAAAAACATCCTGGCGACTTTTTGCCAATGTGTGACGATTTCCTCGGAGCCCGAAGCCGTCCCGCAGAGCGAGTCGCCCACCCGAAAGGGATTTTCAAGACCTCGCAACACTAATGTCAAATCGGCTCTATCGTTGTAGTGTAAACTCTTAAAGGCAATCCTATATGGATACTAAGATGAGGCCAACTATGTGGCCACAGCACAGCCAAGTCCTTGCCAAAGGAGGGATGACAAAGGATCAAAGGCAGCCTGGAGAACGGAAATCTAGACTGGAAATGGCGTTGTGTGGCGCGGGTTCGGATTGCCAGAGGCCAGCAGGCGATGGGTCAACTCGAGGGAAGACTCTCGAATGCGGCAGATTCTCGGAGGGCGTGGAAGAGACCGACCAGGACGCGTATCCGACGATGTTGGCGCGCCAGGGAGCGAGTGACCCCAAGGCGATTTGAGGTTGGCGAGGCTGAAATGAAGTCGCGGCTGACAGGCGCGGCGGAAACGACGAAAAGCTGGTAAATGTGGTCTGTGCGTGACATCCTCAGGCCATCAAGGATCGAAGCTGGAACCTAGGCACCTGCGCCCCACATGTCCATGCGCCTGGAATATTCCATCCACCTATCCACGCCATCCTTCTTCATAGGCGACCTGGATAATTGGAACAATAGTACATAGCATCGTAGAGGAGTATATTATCAGCGCAGCGGTAGTAGAAGGTCGGCCTATGTGATATCTTTCCCCACCTGGTAAGAAGCAGGCAAGAGATAAATATTTACGGAGGTACATGGGGCAAAGTCAAGCTTCTCCAATTCCACGCATGCACCAAGTCGTCAGGGGTAGCACGCGAGCAACACTGTACATATAGTCAGACCCTGAAAAGTATGTACAGTAGGTATATACCTACATACGCCTGCTTCAACATGCCCATCCTACCAAGGTGATTCCCGCCTCAACTTTCGAGTCCGGATACTTAAGTCAACAAGGAGAAATGAGCCCTTGATCGGTGTCCGTACCTTAAACACGAATGTTTGCACAAAGTCACGATCTGCTGGCGAATAGTAGGGGGTTCCCGGTCTCCAACTTCTAAATAAGCTACCCCACAGCCGAGGCTTGGCCATCCCCTTTTTATTCGTGGCCATGGATTCGCTCCAACTCCATGGACTTGAACAATGCTACCCAAAATCTAAAATCGCCTGATCTCACCAGCTAATATCCTAGATGTTCCACCGCTTCAAGCGACGTCATCTAACTTCCGCCGACACACTTCGTCGTCCAGTGTATAATCGCCATCTTCCTTCGTGACGCTGTGGTCGACGATAAAACCTGCAAACATCCGGGTCCTCGTCTTCGTCCTCGTCCCCCCCAACTCCAGAGTCCAGACCATGTCGCTCAACCTAGAGAAGCAGCTCGTTTTCGTAAGTAGTAGATACATAGTAAAATGGATGAGCTGGTAGGCACATATTAGTGACATGCCGGTTGCTGACCACGATGGTAGTACGGTGCCTACCACCACAACAGTGTCAATGTTGCGATCCATATGGTCTGCGTGCCGCTGATTCTCTTCTCAGCATTCACCTTGGTAAGCCCAACGTCCAATAGCCGACTCGGCTTCTTTGCATCAAGCTCCCGTGTTAACCATGTTGGCTTTCGCAGGCTTCGAACACCGGCTCTCTCCTCCATCTGCCCCAGTGGCTCTCGATTCCTTACCTAGAGCCGAACCTAGGCACGTTTGCTGCCTTCATCTGGGGTGGCCTATATGTTCTCCTAGAGCCCGTCGCCGGGACAGTCCTGGCGGTCATATGTGTTGCGGCGGCGGCTATCGGCAACCAACTGAGAATTGATTACCCGACCACAACCAACCAAACGGCCATTGCCATTCAAATTGTCGCGTGGCTCTTGCAATTCGTCGGCCATGGAAAGTTTGAAGGCCGGGCACCCGCTCTGTTGGACAACCTCTTCCAGGCTATCTTCCTCGGTCCATTGTTCGTATGGCTGGAGCTGCTCTTCACGCTGGGCTACCGGCCAGCACTTCAAGGTCGTGTGAGCAAGGCTGTTGACGCCGAGCTAGCCAAGTTCAGGGCGAAGAAGGCACTCAAGAATGGAAAGGCAACATAGGGGCACCACGGCAATCGTATTCTTCGGCCAGATAGCTTCATGAATGCTTTATGAAGCGGCGCCGGCCATGGTGGAGAACAGCACTTGGGCGGAGTTGAATATACGTTGGCTGTGGATTATCCCACAGGCATCGCAACCACCTCCTTGTCGAGAATCAAGCCGTCCAAGTCTGTATACAATCCTGGGACTACACCTGCAGATTTGTCACGATGTCAAGACCACGCACCAGGGGGCTCGGCTCGGCTCAGTGGGAACCCCCTATCATTATACCCTGAGGGGACATCAGGTTGAGATTCAAGAGACCAAATGCCTCGTTGAAAATACTTACTTGTGACATAGGAAGATTCGAATACTTGTCCAGTAGTCTGTTCGTCATTATCACAATGCTATACCCAATTTTTTTAAAAATCATTCTTCAGCAAGTCGAGCCACCTCTGTTCGGCTATTGGACAAGGGAGCTACTCGTGACAAGTTAAGATGAAAGAAAGATCATGCTAAAATGGCTAGTCTATTGGGAGAGAGAGAAAAGGGGGCGGGGGCAACAAAAACCTGAACAAAGGAAACACTTGAGGAAAACACACCCAATTTGACAGCCATACCCAGGACTTTGCCCGGCCATCTTACCTCCTACTTTCGATCTGCCGTGCGCTCTGACAGGCAAAAGAGACGTCTGTTTCAACGGGACTCCCGGGCATGAAATGCCTGAGCCAGCTCTTGCCCGGCTTCTTGCCGCTCTCCTTCCCATGGCTGCTCCTTTTGTCCTTCCTATCCTTCTCCTTACCTCTCTCACTCGCACCATACATATTTCCGCCGTATGGCCCCCGGCCCCTGAGACGCTGGTCATCGAACCTCGTTGCCGGCAGCCGTCTGGCTCCGGATGGCGCAGCCGCATATGCCATCGGCGGCGCTGGCGCCGGGCGTCCGGGTCGGACGCCCCCATCCCAGTCTAGACCCTCGGTGAAGCGAACACTCCCCGGCGCGCCATGCACCGCTGGTGGTCGCGTCGGGCCGCCGCCGCTCATTCTCGACCTGTGGGGCTCCACAGAGCGACCCTCGCGACTCTGGACGTGGGCGTGGCCGCTCCTGTTGTTATCCGACCGTTTACCGCGAGGCTCCTGTGTTACCTTGGTCTGGCTGCCGGGTTCGGGCGCACGGGTTCTGCTAGCTCGGTCATTGCCTTGTCTGCTGCTGCTGCTGCTGCTGTTGCCCGACCGCGTGCTGCGGCTGGACGAGTGAGTGGGGGGCTTACCGGTGGTGCGGTAAGGGTCTGCCCGTCCGGCTTGGCTGGGTGGTGACTCCTTCGGCACGGGATTTCTCTTGATGTTCAGGGGGAGAGGCGGCAAGGGCCTGGCGAGGTCAGGGGCCGGAGGTGGTGGGTTGTAGGTGGTTGAGTTCGCCGCCGTCCTCCCCGGAGTCTTGGGAGGCACTGGAGGCAGAGGCCTGGTGGGCGGGCTGGAAGGCGGCGGCGGCCAGTGGGCGCTTTGGCTGCCGTCTATCCAGTACGGCTGCTCTTCGGCAATGGCGTGGAGTGGAATCGTTGCTGGTTTAACCGAGCGACGTTGTCCACCGCCGTGCCGGTGGGATTTTGCTCCTTCTCGACCTTGGCTTGTCGCAGCCCTTGGAGGCACCACCTTCTGCTCCCTAGACCTGCCGTTGTTAACCCGTGCCTCCTCTTCGTAGGGGTTTCGTGGACGGCGCTCTTCCGGATCGCGTTCGAAGCCTGTTGTGCCCCGAGCCGAGTTGAGGTCGTATGTGATGTTTGCTTTCCGGGTACGATGCCTGCTCTCCTTATCTTGCGAGATATAAGTACCGTTGTTAAGATTCCGACGAGCACTGTTCAGGTCTTCCCTACCTTGGTGTACCCCTTTTGCGAACTGCTGCCTCAGCATTTTCTCCTGGCATTCTGGACACAGATTTGGGTCTGTCGTCCTAATTATGTTAGGCCTGCAATGATTTGGTCTCAAGCCAATGATTTTCTGGAGAAACGGCACGCGCTTGCACTGCTTCTCGTGCTTAGGACAAGTCTTAACTTTACCCCAGTATGTGTGGTTGCAGGGGAGGAAATCGAAGTACTGCTGTTCGCACATCTTGATGACTAGCCAGAAGCGATTCCGGCAAGGTATCTGAGTGCTGGGATTGCGATGAGTCTCTGAAAGTGTCTAAGGGGTGAGGAACTGAGCGCCTCGAGAAGGGAGGCTGGCATGCCTTTAATACGGACACTTCCAGGCGATGAACTAACGGCGTTGTTCACATCCCGCTTCGCACAAAGGAAACAACGACATAGTTCCCGCGCGGAACGGCCCATCCCTTGCTCCCAGCGTCTTTGTTCAGATGGAACAAACGCAGAGGTTCTCGCATCATCGTCATTGCTGCAATACCCTCATCGCCTGTTAGTATGATCAGTCCAGAAGAACCGAATCAAGCACCTTGTTCTACTCCGACATATCTCAACTCTGAGGAACAAGATGAAAGCCAAAGACGGCGAGATAAGTATAAATGGACTATCGTCCTCCTCCTTCCAATCTTCTATGTTCTCCTTCCCAAGCAAAGAGTCGAAGTCAACTCCTCAACAGACACCTTTTGCTCTCTTACACTCCACAAACAAGCAAATCCACAGACGTCCACATCCAAGATGGGCCTTCTCGACATGTTCGGAAAAAAGAAGAAGGTCAACAAGGACGAAGTCTACGAACCTTTTAGGGGTTCTGGGGAAAGCGGAAGCAGCGAGAGCTCCGCGCGGAGCCATGCACCCCCGGCCCGAGCCGGTTACTTCTTCGCCGCCGCTACCGAGCCGAGCAGCCCCGGTCGCCAGCGCGAGATCGAGGCAGTCCTGGGTAGCGAGATCAGGGTCGCCGAGATGGAGGCGAGGCGGACGGTGACGGTGATCCACCCGGACCGCCCGCCAGCGCAGCCCCAGGTCGCCAGGATGGGCTGGGCCAGCCCGCCCCCTCCGATCTCGCTGCAGCGATCCAACGCGTTCAGGCGCCCCGCGCGTCTGCAGGAGGAGAACCGCTCGCGCCCAAGCAACCGGGCTGACTACCGCGACTTGGAATACTGCCCCACGGTTGCGCTGCAGCAGCGGGCTGATGCGGTGAGGCGCCCTGAGCGTGTGCCGCGCGAGGCCTTGCGCCAGAACAACCAGGTTGCCCCTCAGGGGTACACTCAGGGGTACATTCAGGGGTACTCTCGGGGGTATTCTCAGGGAAACTCTCAGAGATACGCTCAGGGCAGCTCTCGGGGAAACGCTCAGGGGTACACTCAGGGTAACCCTCAGGACAACTATCAGGGCAACTATCAGGACAACCCTCTGGGTATCTATTATGGTACCATTCCACGGCAGAGGGACAACGCAGCCAGGCGCAACGGGCGTGGCCAGAACGAGCAGTAATGGAGTCGCTCCCGAATGGTGGAATTATCGGGCCCCTTTGGGTGCGACCCTGGGAGAAGGATGCAGGACGGGCATAATGATAGCCACCTACGTTGCTGCAGGTGGTCAAGCAGGCGTGGCAAGTTTTCCTTCCTTGTGTTTCCCTTCCGCTGACAACTACAGGCGTTTTCAACCTCTCATGAATCTCTCATGATAGAGTCTTTTCTCGTAGAGTATGTTGTTCATCCCCTGTTTCTTGGGGCTTTCTTGGACGCATTTGGTAACGTAGAAACATGTGAACAGACTTGGGGCTGATTTCGTAAAAGGTAGGTAATACACTGCAACGCAAGATCTTGGATCATCAATCTTAATCATAACTGACAAGTCTCTCAAAGTCTCTCAATCTGGCAGGTAAACGTCCCAAACTTCGCACTCTCACCATCCATAGCAACATTAGGATTCACTACAGTGAACTTCGTAACCCCTTCCTTTCCATCCCCTTCCCCTTCCAGTCTAACTTCTGGATATTGCGCAGTGTCTATCCTCAGGACTAGAGGAGGCCCACGCCACCAAGGCCACCGAGCAGCGGGCCAAGGAGGTTAGTAATGGGCCCAAGGAGGCTAGTAAGGGGAGCAAAGAGACCAGCGAAACCGCCGAGGCCGCCGGCGAGGTCGCCGAGGCCACCGGCGACACCGCCAGCGCCATCGGCGACACCATCACCAACACCATCGATGAGACCGCCGGACGCATCACCGAGAAGTCCAGTAAAGGAACCTACAGCCCGATTAGCCACTTCACCAACACGAAACTAGCTCGAAGGAGGTTAAGCAAGCAAGGGAAACTCACCACTGGCTTGGAGCAGACTCGCCGCCAGGGACGCAGTAGCCGAGAACAGCTGTCCGATCAGGGAGAGCGCCGACGCTGCCTGGGTGGGGTCGATCGTGCCGGTGGACAGGGGATCTGTGGCCGCCGGAAGGCTGGCGAGGGCCTTGCTGAGATCGCTGATCTTGCTCCTGAGCTCGGGCATGACGGCCGAGGCGGAGGCGCGATTGGCCGTGGTGGCGGCGCCTCCGCCGGTGGTGGTGACGCCCTGCAGGAGACAGTCTGCGCGGAGGGACGACAAAGGTTACGGGGTCAGCTTCGCTTCTTCTTCTTAACTGGAAGGGGACGTGTGTGTCCCTTACTGATGTTTGACACGAGGGCTAGGACGGTGGAGACTAGGGTTTGGAGCTCCTGGAGGCTGTCCAGCCCCGGGAGGTCGGGGAGGACTGCTGCCTGCCGCTTCGCGAGCGTCGAGCACGACGACGAGTCGGGGGTCGCCGGAAGACCGGCTGGGGGGGCGGGGAGGCTGGTCCCCGTTGGTACGGGAAGTGAGAGGACGCCGGTCCCCGTTGGTACAGGGAGTGAGAGGACGCCGGTCCCCGTTGGGAGGGGGAGCGCCGGAAAGGTGGTCACGTCATCGCCTTGTGGGGCGGGGAACCCGAAGGAGACGCCCGCCAGGCAGGAGAGGATAACAGCCGCAGGCTTCATGATTGGTGATGTGGAGATAATGAGTTCGGGGGGGTTGTGGTTGCGCTGCTGGGAGATGGGGTGGGATATGTCAACTAGTCCTCTGGTGGCTGCTGATGGCTTCTACAGTTCCCGGTCTGCTTGGATGGAGAGTTGACTACTTATATAGACCGCCGCCGGCTCTCCTCGCTTCGCATCCTCCGAGTTTGGAAATGCGCTGGACTTTGGGTTGTGTCGTCATTGTGGCCGACTGGGAGGACGACTGTTATGTTGATCAAGTTCAGGAGGCGGGGTGGAATGCAAGATCTTCAGGCACCGAAGGAGAAGTTGATAACGCTATATCCAAATAAGTGCAGTTTGAACCGATCGCCATGTGTGATGGAAAATAAATAAAAACAAAGCGAGACCGGGAGGGAGACGGAAGAATAGAAGGCTGGAATGCTGGTGGCCAACTCCCTATTTCGCCGCAGAATCGGCATCGGCCCTTAAACGGAACAACAAGGCGTAGTGGAATGTGGAGGGAGTCGATATGGGAAAGAGATCCGCCATTTCAGGACCGCACACGTGGTAAGTTCTCAACCTCTGACAGACAGCTATTCTATCCTCGTGGGTCTTAATGGGCTTCCCTTACAAACGCCCGATTTAATGCAATGGAGCTCTTATTTCGATCTGCCCCTTCTGTCGATCCAAAGGGGGTCACGATGAATTGTCCCAGCAACTTAGGCTGAGACTACACACAGGTACAACATATGAGTGAGGACGTCCGCTGATTCCAACAATTAAGCCTCACCAGGAACGATCAAAACCATCGAGTAATCAATTATCAGCGTAGAAGAGGACAATCAATGCTTACTCAGTTTCACTCTTGTTGTGATCTTCATGAGATCGCCCTGGTTTCTAATCTTGCTCCCTTTGCTAATGACGGTCTGTCGCCATCCCTCTGCTAAGGGCTTCCAATTCACCTTTGTCACTTGGAAACTGGCGATCCCAACGTTGCTAGCAGGAATAGATGCCAGTATCACAAAGCTAGCTTCTTTCCCTGTCAATCAACTCAAGGGAACCAGGGGAACCAGAGGTACCGCTGAAGCCGGGCCCGTCCAAGGTTTGCCTCGACAACAACGAGAGAAAGGAAACCACACCGTGACATGCCCTTTGTTTGTTTAACGGTTAGCTATGATGCATAGACAATGTTAGCTGGCTTGGGGGACTAATGGTTGGTGAACAACGCCAAGAGTGAACAAGGACACGCCCGGATTAGATTTTCTCCAAAAGCTCCCCGGCACGAGCGCAATACAGCCGAAACCGGCGACGGCGTCACCGATCAGGAACCCTCCAAGGTTCCCGGCCGTAGGGCGTACCAAGAGTTGCACCGAGACCAGACTCCCAATCTCCAGGGACAGTCAGCAGCCTCCGCCGGCAATTCAGGAATGTCTTGGACAGACCTCCCTACGGACGGGTCCCACGTCCTGTAGAAAACATGTTCCTGTCGCATAGCCGGCCCGTCGTTCGGGGTGATAAGGTACAAGAACGTGACGTGGTTGAGCTTCGAGGCCAGCTGCTTCTCTTTCAAACGGGCTTCATGACTCAAGAAGACGCGGGCGGCCAGCGTGGCCAGCTTGTCCGGGTGCGGCAGCTCCACATATCCAAGGATGAGTAGCCGAACAGTGACAAACCTGAGGTTTATACAGGGCTTGATATGATTCTCTAAGGTGATCTACGGACCAAAGATAAGTACTTCTGTGTCTACATGCCGAAACCCTGCCTCGCTTACCTGTGGATGGTGGAGCCAAGAACTGGAGACTCGTTCTAGGGTGGGAGCACACGCCTCTGAGCCGTCCAACTTCAGGGGTTTGTGAGAGTGGATCAAACGGTCTGCCATGATGTCTAACGTCCGCCAAGGGTGATTAGGGATGGATTCGAGAAGAGAGTCCGCAGAGTAGGACCCCGATATTCCGATGTCCCTGAGGCACGGTGGCTGGATCGAACAGAGGTGACGCATAAGGGCTACCGCTTTCTCAGTGACGTTGCCTACTCTCAGGCTGCAAAGGCCAGCGGCAGGGATAAAATACCACGCGCAGGAGGGTAGTCGGTAGTCGTTATAGTCCATCTGCCGTAGAGTTAGGGTTCGAAGTGCACGGAGGTCTGTCAGAGTCGAGAAGTCCACTTCGGCCATCTCATCAACAGCGAATTCGCTCAGCCGCAGGAAAGGCTCCCCATCCCTCCGTGTCCCGGCAGTATCGCTGCTCAGCAGCCGATCAGACACAATACGGAGAACGTGGCTCCAAAAGCTTGTCACCCTCTCTGCACAAACGGCCAACGGTACCTGCATTTCATGGGAGGTGCCGACAAGGTTGGTGACCTCGAGTTTACGGAGACCCGGAGAAGCTATAATTAGTTCCGCAACGGCTGGTGCCTCGCGGAAACCAGGGCCAACCAGGCTGAGGCTCTTGAGGTTCTTGAACCCAGCAACCATGGACTGGAACCAGGGTAGGTGGCCCTCACTTGGGTTGCGGTCGTGACTCGCGCGGATTTGAGTCAACGACAACGAAGAGAACGTGGGGCATGACTTCAAACGCCTCAGAAATTCTGACCGTTGTTTTCTAGATAACACCTTAGAGGTGCGCACCCGGGTGTGGGAAAGGGAAAAGGGCAAGACGTACTTCTTCATCGCAATCGGCCAAGAACAGTTGGCCCCTCGTCGAGCCCACATCTGGAGATGGAGGCTGACAATATTGTCGTCGAAGTCCAGGCCCAGGAGGGCCTGCCCATCATACCGCCCTTTCTTTCCATTCGGGGGCCAAGCAAATTGCCAATCCTTGTGTAGCATGGGCTGAAACAACTGATTGAAATTTCCGGAAACCCGACACAAGTTGACCAAATCCGAAGGGCGTAGATAATGGGCGATTAGATTGAAGACGTCGAAGGAAAGCCTCTCAATGGGAGGATGCTGGTCAAGAATTGCTGCCATGTCTGTCTGATTAAACAGTCTAAAAGCGTGTACATTAGCACGACGGAGTTGCATGCTGGCAGCCTTGGTCAGTGGCGGTCAATGGCGACAGCATCACTTTCAACGAGAGCCAGAAGCCGGTATTGAGCTTCTCGATACTGAAAGACCTAGAAACGACAATTATTCTATCTCTCGATGGGATGAACTGATGAACCCAGGGAAGGTTTGCCAAAGGAAAGTCCTTAATTGGTATACATACGCTACAGTTTCTGCTTCGATATCAAGGGACAGTGAGCAACAAGTACGCCGTTTCCAAGTCAGAATGCGGCCCAGTTTGGTGGTTGTAGTGTGTACTACGTACCTAAATGCAGATGTCGTCGAGGGCCACGTGCAAGCATACCCCTGTCGCCTGGAATCATGTGACCCACCTACAGCTTCCGGGACCCACAGCCAAGCTCTACTCCAGAGTTACTCTGCATCTCACAATGTCGTCCAACGTCATCGGCACGAGACCAAGTCTCGAACTCACCCAAGAGCTCCTTAGTCCATTAGCACGTATTAACGGAACGAATGGAGGTGGGGAGGTACTCTGGCCGCCCTCGAAGTGGAGGTCGATTACTTGAGCACTTCGCGTACCCCAAGTTTGAACTTTGATACCTTTTCCACTTGTGCCAGTTTGGAATCGTCTTGTATGACAAGTGGAAAGAGTAGTCAGGTACGGAGTAGAAAGAACCATCGTTCCCAAGTCCTAGCTGCAACTCTGAGCAGGTTCAACTGAGGCCAAGAAGTGATATCTACTTGTGGCACTTACAGGAGGCAAACACATACGCGTATTGCCTAGCTGCTTATTGATCCAACCATCGCAGCCGTGCTACTAGCCAAAGCCTGGGAAGCACTAGTGTAGCACACTTGCACGCCTCTTTGACAATGAGAGATCTCTCGTTGGTTGCCCGATCCGCAGTCAGGCCACTCCCAGTTGCGGGGTCGTCTGCGATCAGATGTATCACCTGCCGGTGGTGACTGCAGGAACGTCTGTTATACACAGGTTGAACTTCGAACTTTCGAGTACCACACCTGGAAGTGACATCAAATCATGCCATGGCTTGTAGAGTCTCTTCCTCCAAAAAAGCCCGGACCATCCTGATTGGTGAAGTCATGATGATCGTCTTGTATGCCCCTGGAGGGGGGCTTATGTGCTTAAATCTCCCCTCTCATCCTTTGTCCTGTAAACTTCCTCCTTTACAGTCCCCAAGATAAAAAATAAGACGTTTCCGACGAATCTTCGACAAACAGCAGTAACATCACCAGGTGGAAAAAATGGCCGACTCGACAAACACCAACAACAACGCCATGCGCACCGAGAGATCGGGGTCGACGTCATCTACTGGTTCTTCTCCGCGGCGTGTAAGTGACCCCCGGCTTCCCCCCTCCCCCTCCTCCCCCCAATCCGCACCACACGGCCGCCCAGCCTGTCGAACATTTTCTAACCTTTCGGAATCACACAACAGGCATCTAATGGATGGTTCGAGAGCCTCAACGCCCAGAAGCGCAAGGACGACCCCATCTCGGTCGCGAGAAGGCGGAGCATGAGCGAGCAGCGCCCCAAGGTCGGCTTTTTCGGTCAGATGTGGAACAAGTAGGTAGCTCCCCCATCGGGATGGGAAGGCCGGCATGACGAGAAATTGTATCGATTTGGACAGAACTAACACCGGTTTTCCAGTTACGTCCACGGGTCCGACCCAAAGTCCAACAAGTAGAAGTGCCTCAATATGATCCATCCTCTGTTGTCTTGCTGGCTTGCGAAATCTGGCGTTTATTTGGGGTTTTGATCACGGGGCGGATCCTTATTCATGGGCCAGACTGTCAAAGCAACAAGAACACGACGATTCGGGAGTTTTCATTCGCAATTGTGTTAGTCCTGAATGGAATGAGCTTCGTCCAGCCCATTACATCCGCGTCTTGAGTACCTAGGGTATCGGCCGTCATGATATCGGCCACTGGGTCCTACAATCACCGGTAGCCTCCGAACGGGCCATATCCTGCCTCTTCTCTTCTGTTCTGTTTTGGGAGGACAGGAGCAGGCAGGTCCTTGCTTTATGCAGCCGGACAAAGAAGTTAGCGTGCAATCCAGAGCAGCGGTGCACTTTATGTTTCTTGTTAGGAGGGAGAATGCAAGGGGCGACAAGAGTAGAAGAGAATGCGTGTCATTAGCAAAGCAATATGTGTGTGATCAGCTACCAATGCATGCCATGAACTGGAAAAGACCCCCATAAAACTGTTCTTTTCATAGCACAATTACTGCCTCCCGCCCCCTATCTTTCGAGGCCTGCGGAAACCCTCCCATCGTCAATTAGATGCCGGGTCTCAATAGAGAACTCTGGTAAGAGGCTAGATTCGATGCTTCTCGCTCTCTGTTTGTAATGAATTAGCTTTTCTGTGTGCAACGCTTAAATGTTTGGAGCCGTAGAACTCACCCAGTCGCGAGTAGAGCATGTAGAGCGCCATGCGGTTGCATTCCTCTGTTCCGGTGATGGTCACCAAGCGCTCATTGCTGTTATCCTGCGGCTCATTAATCTTGATGACGCTGCCGCTGATTTGCCGAATCTCGTTGATCTTCTGGCCACCCTTGCCGATGATTGCCCCGACCATGTCATTGGGGATGAATATCTGCTGGGTGAGGGGAGCCCCGGCGACTGCGCCACCATGCACAGGCTGGCCCTGCGGTCCGGGATGAGCCGGCACGCCGGCGTGTCCAGCCGCGTGTGGCGACATGTGGGTGGGCGCACCGTAGGAGCCGCCAACCTGGGCCCCATAGTGGATGGGGACGGCAGCGCTCGGCTGCACCTGATGGGGGTGTCCGTGATGCTGGGCATAGGGATTAGGAGGCATTTGTTGAGCCCTGGGGTCGTGGCGCCTATTGTAGTTGTCCCGATTGCCGTAGTTGCCACCGGCGGGCTGAGGGAGATATGGGATCACCTGCATGCCGCCGGGAACAGCACCGGCAGGGCCACCACTGCGAGTCGCGTATGCAGATGCAGCAGGGCCGCCAAAGCGCTCGTTCAACTGCTCCAGAAGGGTGCTTCCAACGTAGTACGTGGCGATGTGGACGGCGTCGGCAACACCCATTACCACAAGCGAGCGCTCGGTGGACAGGGGGAGGCACGAGTCCGACGCATTAAGACGGGCACCCGACGCTTCCTGAATCTCCTTGATCCTGCTGCCGCCTTTTCCAATGATGGAGCCGATCAGGACGTGCGGAATAAGGAGGCGAAGAGGATACGTCTTGGAGTGGGCACTTGAAGGCTCGGGCAAGGGCTCATTGTTCAGTGTGCGGATGATCAAGCCAAACGCCTGTACGGGATTAGCTCAGAGTAATGGACATGTCTTCTTGTGGGGAAGGAGCTTACCTTCGCAGCCGCGTCAACAACACCGCTGACGGTCAGAATGCGCTCAACTGCTCCCTTCTGGTAGTCGCTGACGGTGCATTTGGCTCCGGACATCATTCTGATCTTGGTGACATTCTCGCCACCCTTGCCGATTATGGTGGCGGCCTCTGGGCTGGAGATGACAGCTCTGATGTGGATCCAGGCAGTTTCATCATGCGCATTGGCAGGAGGGTTTGCCTGGGTCTGGGGAGCGCTTCCGATGGTGGAGGTGGTAATCGGCTTCACATCGGCGGCATCGGTAACATCGGGAGCATCTGGAACAATGATGTCTCCTTGGCCATCTGTGGGTTCCGACTTCTCTCCGTTTGCCTTCGTGGTGCCATTGGATTCCGGCGCAGCAGGAGCAGCAGCGGTAGCAGGAGCTTGTTCCGAGGCCGCGGCGCCGTTGGTTTCTGTGGTCTCCTCTTTCGCCCCGTCGTCGTTCCTCATAACTTTATCCAGAGCTGGGCGCTTTGCATCGGGTTGGTCGTTCCGGGAAGGTGACGAGGCCTCTTCAAGAGGGCGCTTGGTCGATTGACCTGGCTGCGGTGATGCAGACATGGTGGGCTAGATCTCAAGATTCACTTCGCGGTAGATGGGGATGGTGTGATCAGATTTTCGAGGCGCAATGTGATTGAATTTCGAATCTTCTTATCTACACGTTTGGGGCTTTCGGAAACGTGCAGGTGTAGGGGCGGATCGGGTGGAGGTGCTGGAAGTTAGGGTCGCACTTGTGCTGAGGTCAAGCTCGGACTGGTTCAGGACAGTGCAAAGTGCAAGTCTGGGCCGTAGTAGGATGGACGGTGAAGGCGAGAGGTTCGGGTGGTGGTGGTGGTGGTGGTGCTGGAGGGCATGCAATGACAAAGAAGCCCTTATTTCCTGAGTGCCGCCTGGCGCTCTTCCAGAGTGTTGAGAGTGGTGAAGACGAGACAACCAGGGGTGGAAGTGGAGATGACTGGGTTGAATGCAGACGACGGGTAGGTGGAGAGATGAAAGATGTAGGAGGAAGCAGACCCGAGAGGATTGAAGTCAAGGTGAGTGGTGACGTGAGGAGACGGTGGTAAACCTTTGAAAGGAGCTGGGCTTTTTTTGCAGGAGCAGTATCTCAAACCTTTGCTCGTCCAAATGACAGCAAACACGGTATTTGTTCCTGCCTCACAGGTTATGTAGGTTGTTAAGTATGCGCAGCCCTCGAATGCTACAGTCCGGCTACAGGCTGGGATCGGAAGCCGAGAGGGACTTGTGCTGAGGCTGTTCTTTGCTGACAGAAGGGGGGATAAGCGGTGCTGATGTTCGCCGGGATGGAGCGTGGCGAGCGGAAACGGGGAAGGGATATCGGGAGCCGGGACTCGAAGGCACGGAGTGTCGAGGAGGCTCCTCTGGGTAAAAAAGAAGATGAGACGAGGTGGTGCGTGCAATTGCAGGCCGAAGAAAAGAACGAGAGATCGTCGGTCTGTAGGTGGTTGTAGGTCCACGGAAGGGGTTGGAGGGAGGGGTGAGTAGGTTGCTGGGATGTCTCGGAAGGGGTTTTGGAAGGAACAAAAGCTGTTGCTTGATGTGCGCGATCACCAGGCCTCAGGCTGCGGGGGCTATGGATCGGGACATCCTGGCCTGACCACCACCACAGGTTTTGACTTTTCACTTGTCTATGCTGTATGATGATTGGCTAACTTGCTCAACTGGCATGTGGGTGTGCCACCTGCAGCACTGACCACCTATCAACGCTCATCAGTCCACCACCGTGATGGATATGGAGCTGCTGCTCTGGCAGGCACGCGCTGAATCCGGAAGAGCTGCCCGCTGAGATTTGATACAGAATATAATGAGGCTTTCCTTTGATTTCCAGCTCCTGGAATCAATTACCCTGCCTCACTCGACACTTGCTTCGTCACGATAATAACCCTCACTGAGACATCCCGGCAGCACAACGCTGTTCAATGCTGCAATTAGCCAGACAGCCGCGGTTCATTGTGGAGACCTGTGAAACAGCTTCAAAGGATATCCAACCCTGAACTACGGATTAGGTAGGTACCCTATCCATTTCAGCCGCCCGGCTGGATCTTGACTGAGCCATAGAGCCCTGCTGAGTAGTACAGTACATAGCAAATGCGGTAACCCAACAAAACACCCTGCTGTGGTACTCGACCAGGATTCCAGGGGACGCGTCCTAGGTCATATCTACCTCGAAATCTAAGCAGAAGAAGAGGTTGTTCTTTAGTAGAACGCGTCAATATGGATGACCTTGCTGTTGATCTCACAGCCGATGATCTTCACCTGGGCAATGTGGACCGCACTTTGAGAGAACTCCAGCGCATGGTCAAGGAGCATGAGGATGCATTGAGCCAAGTATGTTTCGAGTCCAGGAGTTTGTCACCGTTTACTAAGTATCTCCAGCTGCGAGCCAGTTCGGAGCACCATTATCAAGGGAACATCGATTCAGCCAAAGCTTCACTGGATATTATGACCAGTGCGCACGATGCTGCCGCCACTTCGGCCCCTTTTCTCCCATCCCATGGCTCTGTCTTACCAGCGCTACTTGCCTTGCGGAAGACTCACCAGACCACCGCCCAGTCGAGAGCTTATGCGACCTCCCAGGGGGCATCCTTGGAGAAGGCAAGGCGACAGCTGGAGCTTGAGAAAGCCAATCTTGAAGATCAGAAGGCTCTGCAAAAGGCACTCGAGGACCGTATTGAGACTCTACGCAATGGGCTGGAGACCAGTCAGAAGAAAACACCTGAGCAGGTGGCGCAGGAACGGCTCGACGAGCTGAGGCAAAAGAAAACCCATTATGACAGGGAGACGTCGAGGTTTCTCAGGGCTCTCAACAAGTTCATAGACGAACATCTTGGTGCGATGTTGGCTGCTGAGGAACTCGGCGGGCCGGTCGTTGGTGACATGATGGATGTCGACACCGACGACCTGGGCGCCGGTTTCAACGCGCAAGGGAAGCTGAAGAAAGCCAAGGCGAACCCGGACGAGGATATGCGTCAACGGCGGATTGATGATATCTGGGGAGGTGGAGGCGGTGAGCAGGCGCAAAAGAGAAGGAGAGATCGCGAGGGCGACGAAACATCGGCGGCTGGCGCGGAGATGCGTGAGTTGACTGAGCTGCTGCTCAACAGCTTGATGGACTCGGCCGGAGATTCTTCTGCGGCTTACGTGCGTATCCCTAGGGAAACTGCGGCGGCAAGGTTCTTGGTCCGGTCTAAAGTGGCCCAATTCCACCCCAGGGATGCCACGAGGCTGAGACTGGTAGACTTTGGGCGGGACCTGGACGACTAGTGATAGGAGGGGAGGAGGAGGAGCTGTTACACGCATAAGCAGATCCCCCGCATCTGCCCCAACTCCTGTCGATCAGCTTGTGAGCCCCCGGAACACATGATCGGAAATCTGTGAAAGGGTGTTTGGATGGTTCGAAAGCGAAAGCCGCAGGGCGCGGCTTCAGACGAACTGGGATTTTGGCACCTTTGCCCCTTGCTGCCATCTTGCAAGCCCTAGGATTGATGATTGGTCTCTCAACCCTGTTTAGATACCCGCAAAAGTCAAGCTTACAACAAGCCCAGAGGGCCATAATACAAAGAAAATCCATACTAAGTTGCCCAATCCTGCATACCCAGTTGGCGATAAGCATTTCTCTATTCAGGACGGATTCAGGACGGATTCAGGAGAAGTTAGGTAGCAAGAAGGGATGAGGCCGGCAACCAAAAGGGCGATTTACATAGTACACAGTGTGGTGGTGCCTGACTGCAATTGACCAATCACAGTTGACCAATCCCTCTTATCACGACGCGCTGCAGGTCGCAGTCACCGCCTTTCCATTTAGATAAGGAAGTGCAAATGGCGGTGCCCCCCGACCAGACCAACTGGGCCCTCTTCTCCCGTCCTCCATAGACTCGTGCGTCCAAGTAGATCATGACCGCAGAAACCGTCAAATCCCCTCCCACCTCACCCCCAGCCAAGCGAGCCAAGACCGAGACCTCCACAGCCATGGCGGAACCATCCAGCAACGGCACCGTACCGATCACTAAGGTCGACCAGTCGCCGCCGCTCCTGATCAAGAAGCTGTCCGGCAAGGCGCGCGTCCCCACGCGCGGCAGCGCCTTCGCCGCCGGTTACGACATCTACGCCTCCAAGGACACGACCATCCCCGCCCGCGGCAAGGCCCTCGTTGACACCGACATCAGCATGGCCGTCCCCGATGGAACTTGTACGTAGAGCCACTCGCTGCCCCCTCCCATCCGCTTTGCCCTTCCAAACAGAAAAAGGGGAGGGAAATATAAGGAGAAAACAGGAGGAAAACAGGAACAAAAATCAACAAAGCTGACACCCGCCCCCCTCGCCCCCTTTCCAGACGGCCGCATCGCCCCCCGCTCGGGCCTCGCGTCCAAGCACTTCATCGACACGGGCGCGGGCGTCATCGACGCCGACTACCGCGGCCAGGTCCGCGTGCTGCTGTTCAACCACGGCGACGCCGACTTCGCCGTGCACGAGGGCGACCGCGTCGCCCAGCTCGTGCTCGAGCGCATCTACAACCCGCCCGTCCTCGAGGTCGCCGAGCTCGAGGAGAGCGTCCGCGGCGCCGGCGGGTTCGGCAGCACGGGGGCTAACTGAGGGAAGGAGACTGCGCATTGGGAACTTGGAACTGGGATTGGGAACCTTGGGGTCTGGAGGGGACTGGGACGGCCGGCTCCACGTTATCGACTAATAGGGGTAAACGGCGCCGCGGTGTGTGTGTCTTATCTCTGGATCGGATTGCTTTTTTTTGTCACAGCTTGTTGCAGTGGAAATACTACTTGTAGGCAACGGGAGAACCTGGCTGGGTGTGGAAATAGATGAGTATCTCGAAAGGGTGCTCCCTCAGCGCTGGACTTGGGGCTCCGCCCATGGTTAGAGAGGATATCCTAGAGACATTGACTTGGCCCATGTGGCAGGAATATGAACGGAATGCAGTGCTATGTTATCCCTTGGTATTAGAAGTAACAAGCTATGCTGCCTCTCTACCTTCTATATGCCTCGCAGTAAGTCTATGTACCCCCCATCTATCGCGCCATCTTGCTACATCCCTATCGCCCGGAACTGCACCTTCGGGGCTCGCAAGCTATCCAGGTTCCTCACCAACCTCAGCTCAGCCGCCCTGCTCTGCAAGAGATGCAGCTTCTTCCGGTCCTCCTCCTCCGTCCCGGCCCCCGCCCCCGCCCCCTGGGCCATGGCCGCCCTAGCCCTCTCCATCTCGGCCGTCATGGCCACGCACGTCTTGTCCAGCACCTCGTGCATGCTGGCCAGGACCTTTTCCGCCGCCCTCGCGAGCGGCAGCTCCGCCGCGGCGACCTCGTCCCCGCTGGCCCACGACTCGCGCCCCATCAGGCCCGGCACGGCCAGCGCGGCCTCGCGCATGCGCGCCACCATGAGCGCCGCGAACATGTCGCCCGTGCCGCTGAAGTAGCAGTCGAGCGCCGGGAAGACGATCCGGAACGGCCGCGCCCCGCGGCCCGACGTCATGGTCGAGCCGACGACGCAGAGGGACCGGTCGGGCCGGCCCGGGTGCTCCAGCGACACCGAGGTGATGACGATGTGCGGGATGCCGTACCGCTCGTGCATGGCCTGGATGGCCTTGCCGAGGGAGTCCATGTCTTCGATCTTGACTTCGGAGAGAAGCCTAGGCAGTTCAGCAGACTAATTCCGAGTACCCTTGGTTGCGTAAGGAAAGGAAGGAAGAAACAGAAAACTCTTACTCCGCCTCGAATTGGTTGGGCAATATCAGGTCGGCATGGTGGACCAGGTTCCTGTAGGCGGGGACGACATCCTGCGCCACGTAAAGATTGCCATTGTCGCCCATGACGGGATCCAGGACCCAGAAGAAACTGCCAGGCTCCGACTTGGCCCTCCTCTTGAGATCTTCCGCTATGCGCCCGACCGCCTCGACTGCCGCAGCACCGGGGATGTAGCCGGAGAGCATCATGTCGAACCGGTCAAGATACGACTGCCGGAGCCCCTCGTACAGGTCCAGAATCTCCTCCGCCGATACTCTTGTCCCCTTCCATTGTCTGTAGCCGGTGTGGTTACCTGGTGGTGGGTATGTCGAGTTAGATACGGCATCACGGCTCGGGCAGGAACAGAAACCGTCTCGACGAACTGAACTGGACGGTGTTCAAGGCAGCAACCTCACAACCAAGCGACTGCATGGTAAACACCGCGATCTTGTTGCCCACATTCCTAGCCCCGTCGTGTCAGCAGTGTGTTGCTGCCAGCGTGCTCCCCCTGAGAGACGACAGACTCACCCGGAGACGACCTTGGCACTCAATTAGCATGGGATCACGATAGGACAAATGCAATTTGCTCTCCCTACATGACTAGCGATCGCCAGAACGCGAGTCTCCGGAAGCGGAGACTCCCCGCTCATAATGTGGTCGAGGATTCGGGAAGACGACGAAGAGTATAATGCTGACGGTAACCAAGTGTCGAGGGGGTATATTTCCAAAGTAGTCAAACACCAGGAACCGCAACCGGGATATACGAGGTCGGGTATATGCCTCAATTCCTAATCTCAGTCGTCTTGGTCAAGCCCTTGAGGACCTATGGATATGTATGTATATGTCCGACTGGAAAGGCGACGAGGAACCAGTTTTGTTTGCCTCTGGTGCCTAAGAATGACTAACAAAAACCCACCACTGAAAGCTGCTCGAAATCAAAGAGTCAGGAGTTACCTCTAGGTACTTACTCAAAGCACATTTAGAGAATAGGGCGTGGTTAGCTGCAGATGCCCCGCCAGAGGGCAGGGTGTGGTGGAGTCGAAGGACCCCGCACTAACCCAAACCAGGAGGGACCCCTCGACTTGCCCCTGTGCTGGTATCATCCAATCTTGACTCGTACGCACTCAAGTCACAAAAAGTAGGCAGTCTGGCAGTATAGTTCAAGGACCGCAGTGCAGATTGGTCAAGGATCTCATTAGTTACCATAGCATGCTTTGCAAAGATTCATGATGTTCCACCATCCACCACGGCCACACAACAACAATACAAGCCTGTACTTTTTAAACGTCTTGCGCCGTGGAGTTGTTGCCCTTGCATATCCCACACCGCCGTTACTCCTTTTACTCCTCGTCGCCAATCTGTATCCCAGGGTTAGCTCAATTCATAGAAATCACTGCGGACGTAAACGTACCTTGGGTGCCAGATAGAATCGCAAATGGCTGTTATTCGCCGTGTCGCTACCCGCCAGGTTGTACTCGACCAGGAGGGGAACCTCGTTCGACAGGCAGATCTTGACTTGGGCGGAGAGCGTGGACGCCTTGCAGAAGTTTGTCAGGTATTTCAGGGAGAACGTGAGCGAGACTGGCTCGCTAAGCGAGATCTCGACGCTCTCTTGGGGCTTTTCGACATTGGTGTGGTTTCGTAGGGTGACGGATCCATTGCCAATATCGCCGTTGCACGAAAACTTGACGCCGTCCTTGGCCGCCTCGATTGTGACTATACCGCGCCATCCCCGGTTAGCTGATACTCTTACATGGTTATGTAGATGGATATATATATAAGATGCCGCCATACCAGACTCGGACATGGCCATCAGATCCGTGCAAATCCGCCGGAACTCGGCAGAGGGCATGGAAATGGTGGCGGAATACTCGGTGTCGGGAATGCCCAAGTGCTCCTGGTCAATGTCCATAAGCTTGAGGTCGTACTCAGAGATCCGATCGTTCGCGGAGCTTTCGAACACGAGGTTGAGGCTGTCGGGCGCGTCCTCCGCCTTGAGGGTCAGGATGTCCTCGTTCTGGGCGGCGCGGAGGACCTTTGTGAGCGACGTCAGGTTGACGCCCAGCGCGATGTTGCGGTCGCACCGGAACGGCGCGAAGGCCTCGGCTTTCAACGACATGGACACGAGCGCAACGTGGCTGTTGTCCATCGCCTGGAGCGCAATACCGCTGTCATTGCAGTCGAAGTTGCAGTCCTGCACCAGATCCTTGATGGCGTCGACAACCTATCAGGGGAGCTGTCAGATACGCGGCGCGATGGTGGGCAGGAAGGAAAAGCTCGAGTTGTGCGCACCTTCTTCAGGAGGCTCGCCTGCTCCAATCGTGCTTCCAACATGGCTGCGACCCCGTTAGACGATTGCTGAGATGCCGGGGCGGGGCACAAGTGAGAGAGCAGGTGAGAAGGGGGACGGGGGGCAGATCTCACTGAAATGTGCAGCTGTTTGGGATGTAGTATAGTTGGAGGTAATTTATTGTTGCACGAGAAATGGCTCTGCACCGGTGTACGGTCGGGATGGACTTGTTGTGTTGATGGTGGAATTGGGTTTTTGAAATTCGAGTTGTGCTGCGGTCATCACAGGCACAAGTTTAATACGCCAGAGAACACGCCTCTCGAGGACGCGTCCAGGCGCGTTAAGAGGTGCAGGGATCAGGGATGCGGAGTCAAAGGACGTGCCGTCTAATCTAACCCTAACCCTAGATTCATCCTTCTGGCTTCAGTAGGGAAATGTGTGTGATATTGAGTATCGACTCTATCTGTATAAGATGGCTGCCATTTCCCATAATTACAAGGCCTGTAATTACAAGGCATCAAAATAAGTTCGAGGACATTATCATACATTAAAAAAATGAAAAAAATGAAAGCTCGTGTCGAGTTCGCCAGAGAAACGCCCGCCCCGATCTATGCCTCGGACTAGCAGCAACCATAGACGCCGGAACAGAAGTAACAAGCCATTTGCGTTGGCAAAAACGCTCCTTGTAAACACAGCAGCCATGTCATGCAGAGATAAACCCCAGATAGCCGCTCCGAAAATGAATGATTTCCAATGTGTCATGCCGTCATCGAAAGTGGAAGAAAAGGGTCTTCATAGGGAAATGCGTGTTGAGCCTGGGCCCGTCGATTTCGGCCGATTCCTCTGTTGGAGGTTTATTACCATCTCTAGCTCGCGAAGCATGCCGCGACTTGCTTCGGCCTTCTCCCTCACCAGCTCCCTCTTCTCCCGGTCCTCTTTCATCTTGACGACGCGCTCCTCTCTTGTCAGGAGGCTTCTTGGCCGCGGCATTGCGACCGCCTCGAATACTTCTTCGTGTTCGGGTTCTGCCGGACTTCCGAAACTGGAGCTTGGCGGCGAGGCTCCGGTCAAGGCTTTCAAAGCCTCCAGCGCCCCTCCATCGTCTACGGTAGTGACGCCACTGAGGGATATCGTAGGCGAGAGAAGAGCGCTCATGGAGGACAGACGCTTCTCATTCCGATCAATCCCGGAAGCAAGTGCGGCTTTGCCTTCCTCCCAAGCGTGCGTGAGTACCCTCAGATCCTCGCCGATTGACTCGTACTGGGCCATGAGATTCGGAGCCAATTCTGAGATGTCCTCGGCATCGTTGAGTGATCTGTCCGACTCCTCTCGGAGGAGTGTCATTTTCGCCTGCAAGCCGCGGATCCCCGAGGACAACGAGTTGAGTTTCATCAGCTGTGAGCGCCATCTTTCTCGTCCAGGTGATAACGGCATCTTCGCGGCAGGTAAGGCCGAGAAAACTGTCGGTGTTAGCAAGGCTCGAGCCAGCTTAGGAGGCCGAGATGTTCGCTTACACTCCTCCTCGCCAAGGATAGCCTGAAGTCTTTCGTAGGACGCCTTGGTGACCTCGTTAAGCGCCCGAAGTCCTTCCACAGCAGTCGACCAGCGCAAGTAGTCCGAGTCGTCACCATTGGCTTCAAGGGCAAGCAACGCGCAGAGGAAGATCTTGCGGATGGTATGGAAACGCGCGGCCGCGATCTTCATCGTTCGCAGTGACTCAGCATCTTCGAAATCGCTCTCCAGGAAACCTTGGAGTGCATCCGATATGTCAAGGTCGCTGATGTCGTATATGTCGTAGTATTTCTCCAAGTCCAGCTGCTCCGAAAAGCCTTTAACAACGGAGGTGACCTGGTTATACTTCTGGACGAGTTCTTCAAATCGACCTTTCAGCGTCTTTCGTAGTCGAACACAGCGTCGGGTCTGGCTTCGGTCTTCGATGCGGCTAATGGGAGGCAGCGGCGCACTTCTACCATGAAGTCAACAAACTGGCGGCCAGTCACACAAGAGTGGGGGAGAAGCCTACATTCTGTAGCCGCGCGAGACAAGTTCCACTTCTTGTACTAGTGCCACAGCAGCGCTGGAGGCACTGTCAAAGTCTTGAGATCTCGAAACGAACGCCGTGATCTCGGTCATAGCCTGGTCTCGTAGATACCGGAGCCATTGCTGTCTTATGTAGGCGTGAGACAGTATCACAGCAGCGACGAGCAGTCCAACCGTGAACAGGACACGTTTCTTTGCTAGATGCGACCACCCATCCGAGTAGACCCAGCTAATCACCCAAGCCAATGTAAGGGCCGCCGTCGCCGTGAGAAGGAGGCCTATTGAGGTTGGACCATTCGCATCCTGGCTCTCCGCCGGGGCAGCTTCGCCCTGCCTATTGAAGAAGTGTTTCTGGGCAAGGATCGAGTGGCCGCTGAGCAACTGGGAGGCGACAATGGTATAGCGGAACTGTTCGAGAAACTTGGAGTTGTCGGCGCGGTCGATCCGTGACGCTACAGCTCTCTATTCCAAATAAACATTAGGACAGGTCCGTCCACCAGAAGAGAGGTCCCACGGTGAACTTACAGAGTATTTGCCCTGCAGGGAGCTTACCCGAGCGCTTCCCGGTGTGTCGAGGCGGAGGGGATTCGGTATATTATGTCGGAACCGCTTCTTCACCATCGGCCGTCCTACCGGAGCAAACGAAGGACTTGGAGGCGGTGACCCGTCATTGCTCTCCGCTCCAGCCGGAGTGGCCCAGTCGTCATATTGATCTTTTTCGTCGCCCTCGTCTGCCATGGGAGATAGTTAGACATACAAAGTACTTCGTATACTATGTTGGCGGTTAAGGGGACCAACCCTTTAGATAGTCGGCAAGAGGAGTCTGGTCGAAAATGACGGTCTCCATTACATAAGTCGTGTTGTTACAAGGCCGTGACGCATGGCCGTCTGGCGAAGCGACCGGCGGACCTGAAATAGCGAACAAGAGATGAAGGGTTCACAAGCAGGGGTCCATACTTTGCTGTCCGGGCCTGCCGTTTTTGGCTGTTCGCAACTTCACTCTCGGCAGCCGCAAACAGAGAAGCGAGATTCACGTGAAGCTAGGCCGGTACCAACCTACTTCAAGGAGGTGTCGCGCTACCCCGTGCTGCCGTGCATTGAAGAGAAATATTGCGGGTTACCCGGACGTTAGCACGAACTTTTAATCTAACATTAATGTTACATTTGCATGTAGGTATTTAGCGGGGAGCCATAGACCTTCCATTCCAATGGAAGACAAACATGTAATCAGAGTCTAACAAATACAAATGTGTAGAGTATGAGCCGCCATGAACGGAGCGTTCATGACCCCTTCCTACATGTCTTGCTTCGTCTGCCCGGTTGAATACGAATGGATGACGGCGGCTCTCAAACGAGTGTGGGAGCTTGCCAGGTAAGCCTGCCGGTGTTTCGGCCAAGCATCGAAGATTAGCGAAGGCCGCTGATGTTTCGAAACATGTGCCGGATTGGCATTCAATAGATATATGGAACAACAGGATGCCCTTATTGCTCCGCTGCATGCAATGGCTCCCGTCAGAGCATCTATACCAAGACCCGTCTCGGTCAGCATTCTAGAGCTATCCCCAGGCTGTATTGTAGATATCGGGACAATATGCGTATATGCTAAATATGCTGGTAGAGAGGTGAGGCCGGTGTTAGTACGTAGGTAGCCAGATTGGCACCACCCCACGGTGTGGGTCGAGAGGCAGCTGTCACTGTCAGCCTCTCCTGCTTTAGGTAGGTACCTAGCTCCTCCACAACAGCTATCTCGACATCACAGAGTTTGCGACCAACCCCACGATCTCTAGCCACAATGCCATCAGAACGGGAACTCCAAATTTCCCCTATTGTCCAGGAGTCTGTGACACACAACTCAAAGGTCTGTCCTTTTTCTCCTCCCCCTGGATGGCCGGCCGACTGTTACCTAACCACCAACCTGGCTTGTTTCTCAGACGCTCTTCAACCTCCAGTCCCTGACTGCCTCGCTTTTCGGCGTCGCGGCCGGCATCCTTGGTCTCGAATCATATAGCGGATTCCTCTTCTACATCATATCCACCCTGCTCACCGCTATACTATTCTACGCGCTCCGCGTCGCGCCGGCGTCATTACCGTCGGGGAAGCCCATATTCGACACGAGCAGGTACTTCAGAGGGCCCTTTGAGTTCTGGACGAGCGGCTTGTTTGGGGGGCTGGCCGGGTTCATACTTACCTGGACCCTGTTCTATGGTCTGGTACGGGCGTGAACGGCGAAATACGGCTACATCATCGTGTCTTGGCTTGGCTTTACGGCGTTCAGTGGGTGGAGCGACCAGGTTTCATTCTGCAAAGAAAGCGGATTCGAAAGGATATAGGGCATCCCGAGGATAGCAGCGTCACGACACTAGAACACAGTATCTAGTTGCAAGAAGATGCAAGGAACGAGTGGCGCATTCTGAATATGCTTGTAGTTATTCAAAAATAACAAAACTTAGCCGCTGATCCGACAAAACGCTGGGGAGCCCTTTAGCTCTTATTACTTGTATGTGAGGCCCGGTTATCCCCGTCGCTAGCACCATTATATCTACCATCCAAGGTTAGCAGGCCGATGTCGAATAGGGCGCCCAGGTGGTTTAGATCTCAACATACATCGAGGCCCTTCTGCGCTCCAACTTCCTCCTTCTTGGCACGTGAATCGGTCTGCGACCCCGAGATGATGGGTTGGGCAGCCAGCTAGACAGCGAGCTACTAGCCACCCCCCGACAGGATAGGTCCTCGATGCTTTCTTTTGAGATGCCAGTCAATGGCATGTCCAACGGCTCACTAGTCCACAATTTCCACAACCTTGCCCACGAAAGCCTCGAGCCCCGATTTATCTTTCTGCCCGCCTTCGAGTATCAAGATGCGTGAGCCAAGCTCGATCCACTCCCTGTTTGTCAGCAATTCCAACTGGACTTCGACGCCACCCGCCGCCTTAGGCTGCACCTCGTCGATATCTGCTTGTTCGTTGAAGTTGAAGATCTCGTCAGGCTCTCCCGTGCCGGTGCCGTTTGGATCGGCCGAGGGCTTGTTTTGCGTGACAGCTATCACACGGGCCGCTGCACGAACGCTGGCAACGTAGATATTGACCAGGCCTCCGACTGTAAATGAAGTAGTATCGAGGGAGGGAAAGGCCGTTGTTAGGCCGCTGGCCGCTTGGAGAGAGAGTCCTGTATCGATCATGTGTTTGCTTGGGATCGCAAGAACCATTCCCTTTCGCAGCTTTGGGATGGCTGGGGTAGGGGATTCGAAGAAGCTGTCTGATGATGATTCTTCCTCGGGGCAATCCAAGACTATCCCAATTGATCCGACTTGCCCTGCCTCGAGAGTTTGGACTGGAAGGCGAAGGTTGTGAATACTGACGATATTTGCCGAGTGCCATTCACCCTTGATTGTAGATGCGGACACGGCGTTCTTCATGGCAATGCGAGTAAGCTCAGCTGACGATGGGTGGGACATAGAGAGGCCAAGATTCCCGAGAGACGGCCGCCGGTCATCGGGTGTCAACCCTCGTGCATCATCTTCGTCTGAGGGGAATGGGCCGATGACGACCTTATCGCCTACTGACAAACTTCCGAAGCGCAGATAACCAGCAACGATGCTGCCCAGATCTGTTTGCTCATCGGGGCGTGGGTTCAATGAAGCATAGAATGCAGGGAGACTGAAGAGGTCGTCAATATGAAACAAGCACGCGGGTTGCTCGGGGTTCAGAGCAGGGCCAATATAATCACGAGGCGTTGGTGCAGGGGGCAGCGGCAGGCTCTGAAGCAGAGCGTGTACAAGGCCTATACCGCTTCCCTTCACAGCACTCGTCAGGACTATCGGGACGATCGACTGAAGATTCCCCGCCTGGTTTATAGCATCGATGACAGCTCCGACCGAGTCAATGTCCTTCCCCGGAACCTCGGTCAAGTGGTGGTTGTTGGACTGATCGGGCTGCAATATCTTGGGGCTACGGCCCGCCGCTTTGATGCTTGATAGAACCTTTCCCAGGATGCGTTGAAGAGTGGTTCTTTTCGCCAAGTCGAGCTTGGTTATCACGATTGCTAGAGGCAGCTCGAGATCTAGGCAGAGATCAAGATGTGCCTTTGCCAAGTCGACTCCGGCGCCAGCAATGCCAACACCCGAGACATCCTCTCCGGAAGACGTAGAGCTCTCATTCCCGGTCTCCATATCATCTGCGGCTATGCACAGCAGAGTCCAGTCTGGGGCCCAACTGACGATACCGCGGAGAATGGTCCGGCGGTATCGTGGGTGGCCAGCAGAGTCCAGTAAAAAGACCAGGCGGCCATCCTTTGTGAAGTCGTGAATGTCAATCCACGACTCGATTCCGCCATGAGTATAGTTGAAGATGCTGTTGTGATTGTACCCAATGAGCTCTTGTGCAACCGACGATGTGACTCCTGTTGCGACTTCGTGGCGATGCTTCAGAAGACTAAGCCTGCTCTTCCCAAAGCCATTGTCCAAGGTCCCGGTCGATAACGTCCCAAGGAGCGTTGATTTCCCCGATGTTGTCGGCCCGGTCAAGGTGACCCGCAGTTGCTGTGTTGTCAAGGGCCCCTTGGTAGGGACCGGTGTTTCGGCTGGCCATGATCCGGGGCGAGGGTCTGGGGAATTAAATTCACAGGCGGGGTCTCTGGAGACCAGCTCGGGTGTCACGAGGGCCTCAGCGACCCATAGCCTCCCATGATGGGCCTCTGTGGCAGAGGCTGGAGAGTTGGGACCTCGCTGATCACACTCGTCAGGAACGTCAACCCATTCGCAGTGCCCGACAATAACCATGCGTAAGACTCCAACCCGGCACCCAAGACTGGCAGCCATGGTTTGGAGAGTCGCAAGACTTTCGTCCATCTCGTCTTGAGTAAGGCCAACAAGAGTTCCATCGTCGGCCACACCAAGCTCGTAGAGGGCACCCCTCGATGCCTCCAAGCCAGGCAGCAGCTTGCCAATCTTGACAGCGCCGTTCGGTCCGACGCTCTCATCGGGCAGCTGAGGAATGACAAGTTCGGTAGCGGTGGAAGCAGCATGGTAGGGACAAGACTGCTGAAGCCTCCACAGCAGTTGGGTGGTCAAATGCTCAAGGCGTGCTTGTCTTGTCTGGCTAGAAGGACTCAAGGAAGGCAGAGCAAACTTGGCCGACTTAGGTTCTGACGGGGATGGCCTAGACTGCGTAGAACCAGGGACTCGTGTCGTCGTGCTCATAGACTGGTAGGTTCTCCTTGGCCTGAGAAGTAGATGGAGCTTATACTCCGTCGGTCCATGTTGGGGTTCGGCTTCCAGCTTGGTGACACCGTACTCAGATAACAACCCGGACTTTAGGGATGGGCGGGACTGCTCGGGGGCCGGCTTCTTGCCGGGATCTGGCGTTCGCAGCCATGGAGATGAAACCCGAGGCGGATCGGGGTCAAACGTAAAAACTGACATGCTTTGTACAGGGATCGCTGACTACTCTCCCGAGAAAGACAATCAACTTCACGATATATATGTCCCACTCGTAGTGCCCTTGGAGTAAAAAAAGGGGGAACTAAGCCGTTGATTTAGGGCTGAAGAGGAGCAGCAAAGACAACAGCAAAGGAGCAAGGGATGGGTAAGATGTTAGGCGATTCAGCTTAGCCAAGTAGATGTGGACATGTTCTATGAGGGAACAGCTAAAGCTCGACACAAACAGAAAGGATGAGAGCTTCGTATTCGAGGTATCATCTTGGACTGCTTAGAGCTGAGAACAAGCGGGGGGTTCAACCAAAAGAATCAGTTGAGGAAAGCCATATCGATGATTTTGCTGTGACTTTGTTTGGTCGATACTGCAGTTGTTGCTTCTCCAGGATCATGGAATTGGGGTTTCGATTCAAAGGGTGGGGTGCCCGTTGTTGAATGTTGTTCATTCATAGTGCGCCTTCACACCGTGAGTCAGAGCTGGAAGGTGGTATGCCTAATCAGATGAACCTTCTGTAAATATCCCTTTGGCCTCAGGCACTTCCACACTTTGCAGTAGCGTCAGCCGCTGGGGGCTGAGCGCTAGGGTCGTATGGTGGACCTATAATTGTGGATCCCCCTGACATCCAGCGTTTGACGGTTTGACCAAGCCCCTCCTTTTGGTTTAAGCTGAGCAACATCCGTCGGTGTCCGCTCTTCTCGAAACGCACATCAAAGTCCATCTTTTGCCACCTAAGAAGGCTACACATATCGTAACCCGAACCCGTCTACCTCTCTCTACCTAATATCACCTTTCTGGATCCCTTCTCCCTTCAAGTTTCCCTTGTCCTCACACCAAATCCTAGCCATGAAGAAGATGGGATTCAGCAAGAAGTCGGAGGGCGATGACGATTCCAATCGCGCAGGTCTCTTTGGGCGAAAGAAGTCACCTCCTCAAGATGCGAATCCGTATGCCCAGCAGCCCGCCGAAGATCCGTACGCAAAGATGACGCCTTATCAGCAAGCCCGGGCCGGTCTCCCAGGCGGGCCTCGCCCCGGGGCGGCCGGCGGTCTTCCAGGCGGGCCTCGTCCCGGAGGGGCCGGTCTTCCCAGTGGGCCTGGCCCGCGCGGCGGATATGGCACACCCCCTCCGCCGTATTCTGGAAACCCGAAACCGAGTGGCGGGTATGGATCAGAGAAGGTTGGTGCTTCAGGGGGCTACGGGGCCAACCGGTACGACACCAACGACGCACCGCCATATAGTAGCAATCAGAGACCCCCACCAGCTACTTCACAGCCCGGCGCTCGTGTCCCTGCGCGTGGCCCCGGAGGGTACGGCGGACTCGGGCGGGTTGATAGCACGGCCACGGACGATAACCGTGACGCTCTCTTCTCCGGTGCCCAGACTCGAGTAGCACAACGATCCCAGGCCCCAGACGGTGACCGCTACGGACAATCCGGTGCTACTGGGGATACGTATGACGGCTATGGCGAGCAGCGGGAGTTGACCGAGGAGGAACAGGAGAAAGAAGACGTGAGAAACATGGGGCGGCAAATCAGAGATGTGCGACAGGAGTCTGTGCGAACCCTCGACCGATCGCTGGCGCTGGCGGACCAAGCTATCGAGACCAGTCTTGGGACATATGCCCGTCTGGGAGCCCAGAGCGAACGCCTTTACAACACCGAGAAGAACCTCGATCTGGCTGCCAACCAGAGCAAGATTGCCAGCGAGAAGGCTAGTGAGCTGAAGACGCTCAACCGCAGCATGTTCGCTGTTCATATATCCAACCCGTTCACCTCTACCAAGCGAGCGGCTGAGCGAGACCAGCAGGTCCTCGACAGACACCGGTCAGAGAGGGATCAGCGACAGTCGACTCGACAGGACGCCTTTGCTGCCTCCCAGCGTATGGAATCATCTTTCAGAGATCTCAACCGTCCACAACTGCTTGGCCTACCCAAGACGAGCGCAGCTGAGAGATCGAAACATATGTTCGTTGACGACGATGATGATCCGGAGCTGGCGGCGGAGGATGAGAGGGATGAGGAGGCTATTGACTCCAAGCTCTCCGACTTGCATGGCCGAGTAGGCATGCTCAACACGATTGGCAGAAGAATGGGCGAAGAGGTCGATCAGCAGATCGTCCACATAGACAGAATCGGTGGAAAGGTGAGTCACATATCTCTAACTTTTTATCAGAAGGGCCGTCCTGACTTTACGCTTCACAGAGCGATATGGTCGATGACAGCGTGAGGATGAACCGAGAACAGCTTAATCGCATTCGCTAGGGGTTGAGATTGTGTTTTGGAATTTGGAATGATGATCACGATTGCATTCATAATCACCTAACGGCATTGCCTGTCGCCCCTGTTATGGACAGAACCGCCCTCGAGCCGGAGTTTTCCCTTTTGCAGCCCCTGATTAGAGGACCTCATCCCCTGCGTGTTGTTTGTCGAGTAAGACGGGTTGGAGTAGGACCAATGCATCTCCGTTAATGGTTAGGTCGATGGAAGAGAACTTGGGAATGGTGTTGTTGGTCGTCACTTCACCAGGTCTCCAGTCCACCGTTCAGCCGTGACCCATGTCTTGATTGGTGTCTTAACGGCGTCTTAACGGGTGGCCAGTAGCGTAACTAATGGACTGGGAATTGCCCATCTTGGCGAAGGAAAATGGTTATGCCTTTACCCATTCTTTTGACCTTACGTCTCTTCGTTAATTGCATACCAGACTCTGGATTGTCGCTTAGGCCCCGTCTTTTAGTATGGATAAGTGCATATACTGGCCAATCACAGCACAGCAGTGTCAAAAGCTTCAGCATTCTGTAGAACATGGCCTTAACGAGAATTTCTACCTGAATCTCACATAAATCATCCAGTCTGACGGGATGTCGAAGAAAAGAAAATTGCCCGGTGGAGTTGACGTTGTCAAGGTCGGCGACAAGATCATCTCCTTGGATGGCTATCTATCAAAAAAAAGCAAACCTGCCACCAAGGAAGAAGCCTCGACATCGACAGACACCGCCCAGCCTGCCCCATCAACAACGGGGTCAAATGGAACTGGAAATGAGGCTAAACAAAAGGAGCGAGATGGCACGTCAAAGCCACTGGCAAAGAAGCCCCTGAACCCCTCAAGATGGCAGAAGCCCCGAGGGACGTCTGGCGACGGCAGTGGCGAGTATCTCAAATCTCGCCGGGAGCTCCCTCTTTGGAACTACCAGGACGAGATCAGGAGGGTCCTCCGCGAACGTGACGTGCTCGTGGTCGTCGGTGAGACCGGCTCCGGAAAGAGTACCCAGGTGCCCCAGTTCCTGTATTGCGAGGATTGGTGTCAACGACGAAAAGTGGAAGTCGATGACAAGGAGGTCTTCGTGGGAGGGATGATCGCGATCACGCAGCCTCGACGAGTGGCTGCGACGACGCTGGCCTACCGCGTGTCTCGCGAAATGGGCACTCCCCTGAATGCACAGAAAAATGGCGGCGACTCCGGGTCTCCTGCGCTCGGTAACCATCAAAGGGGCCTGGTCGGCTACTCCGTCCGTTTTGATCACCAGGTGCCTCGAGGAACGAGGGTCAAATTCGTCACGGAGGGCATGCTCCTCCAGGATCTCTTGCGCGATCCGAATTTGAGGCAGTACAGTGCAATTATCATCGACGAAATCCACGAGAGAAGTGTCGATGTCGACCTGCTATCTGGTTTCCTCAAGCAGGTTCTCAGTGGCGACAAAGCAGGGCGCGGGGGTGTGCCACTTAAGGTGATCATCATGAGCGCCACCGCTGATATCGGTGGCATCCGCCGGTTCTTCTCAGATGCAAGAGATGAGGAGACGGCGATCCCTTCGGGAGAAAGCGAGACTGAAAGTACGCATTCCGGTGTTGAGGTTTTGAAGATCGAAGGCCGTCAATACCCCGTCGACATCATCTATTCCCCGAAGGCGGTTCCTGATTTGCAGGAGGCACTTTTGAAGACCATCTTCAAGATTCACCTACACGAGCCCTTGCCGGGCGATATCCTGGCGTTCCTCACTGGGCAGGAAGAGATTGAGTCGGTGCAGAAGCTCATAGAGGAGTACGCAGCAACGCTCGCGTCCAACATGCCGAAGGTCAAGGTCTTCCCGTTATTCGGCCAACTGTCCATCGAGGCGCAACACGAGGCCTTCAAACCGGTTAAGGCAGCGTTCACCCGGAAGATTGTCCTCGCGACCAACATTGCCGAGACCTCGGTCACCGTGCCTGGTATCAGATACGTGGTTGACTGTGGCAAAGCAAAAGTCAAGGAGTTCCGGTCACGGCTAGGCATGGAGTCCCTTCTCGCAAAGGCGATTTCCAAATCGTCTGCGACTCAGCGGGCGGGCAGAGCAGGAAGAGAGTCCGCCGGAAAATGCTACAGGCTTTATACGGAAGAGACGTTCGACGGTCTTCAGCCAACAGATCTACCCGAGATACTGAGAAATGATGTCTTGGGCGCCGTGCTTACCATGAAGGCTCGCGGCATCGACGATGTTCTGTCATTTCCTCTGATGGATCGCCCGTCCATCGAATCGCTCGAGAAGGCGCTCATACATCTCCACTTCCTGGGCGCCATTTCAGGCGACGGCACCATTACTGAGATGGGACGCAAAATGGCCTTCTTCCCGGTCTCCGCCCCATTGGGTCGAGTCCTCCTCGCGGCGGCAGACCCCAGGTACGACTGCGTGCTGGAGGTGATTGACATCATCGCCTGTATCACGGCGGGCGATGACATCTTCCATCAGCTGCAAACCGAGGAGGTCAAGGAAGAAGTGGAAGAATACAGGAAGGAGCTGTACCGCCGAGAAGGAGACCTCCTGACGTACCTGACGACCATGCAGCATTATGCGGCCGAGAACAGCGACCGGGTAGGGTGGTGCAGGCAGCGAAGGATCAACGTCCGGAACATGAGGCAGGCGATGAATATCCGGAGGCAGCTCCGCGGTCTCTGCATGCGGGAGAAGATGTTGGCCGAGGCACCCCCTCCCGATCCCCAGCCTTTCGCTCCCATCCCCCCCAGCCAAGCCGAGACAGTGGTCAAGTGTTTCATGAAGGGGTTCGCGTTGAAGACGGCCATGTTGGCGCCCGACAGCAGCTATATAACCGCACACGGCAAGCATGTCGTGGCCATACATCCCTCAAGCGTATTGCACGGACAAAAGAAGGAGGCCATCATGTTTCTTGACCATGTCTTTACTCAGAAGAACTACGCCAAGAAGGTCAGCGTCATCCAAGCGAACTGGATCGCCGAAGCATTCGAGGAGGATTAGAGTCTGCATATAGAAATCTTTTATGGCTCTTCGTTATGGTATAAGAGGCTAACATACATGGATATTGTACATATTATTAGTCCATTGGCGGACAGCCAACAAGTCGATCTCCCGGCATTGAGGCTACATCAGAGCATAGTATGCAATATTTAGATGCCCCAAAACATTGTGATGGATGTTAGAGGGAGGCCTTCTCCAACCTTTCTCCCCTGGAGGTGCATTTACAATTCACTCCGCACCGCCGCTCTCATCCCGGTTTCGTATCGCGCGCATCAGCTCATACAACTGAGCCAGTTGCTCGTCTTCGGATTTCCGTTGCGCGTTAGCAAGTCAAGGAGAAGAGAAAAAAGAAGAAGAAAAGGATGGGAGAAGGAGGAAACCCTGTAGAATAAGACAGAGACGGACCACTCATCTTCTCGATCTTGGCAGGATCAAGCTTCTCTCCGACCCACGAATCACCCTCGATCTTCTGGGCATAAAGCTGCCATTCAGTCAAGAACCCAATCTAGAAACAACAATCCTCAGCACACATACACAGATAAAAAAAACACCACACTCCCCAATAAAACCACGAGGAGGGCCAGGTGGGAACTCAAACCATGTGGGCCGGGTTGTCGACGTCCTGGTGGGCCCTGAACTCGGCCTTGACGTACTCGTCGCCCAGGAGCCTCATCTCCGTCGGCAGGAACCGCCGGTGCGCCCGCAGAAGGCGCCTGTACAGCGGGATCGGCGGCAGCAGCGCCGCCGGCAGGGGTCGGAGTGGCCCCCGCGGCTGCGCCGCCGATGCCATCAGCTTCCAGGCCGTGGCGCGCATCTTGGATTTCCCCCGTTTCTCCCGACTACAGGGGTGTGTGTGTGTGTATGTGTGTGTGTGAAGATTAGGGGTGAAAGAGAGGAGGTGGATTTCAAGACGAGCCCCGAAAGTGAAAGTGAGTTATCGCGGCCTCGGCATTGATCTCCGTCTCCATGTCGAAGTCCGAATTGCACCCGTTTTGTACCGCGATTCCGCACAGTGCGGGTTATTTCTTGCCTCTATTAACACTGTAGCACTGTTGCTGATGGCTACACTCTGTCTATCAGCAAGCAATAATTACAGGCAAGTGTCTACCTGAACAACACAGAACATAGCCTTCCTCCCGAATCAGCCAAGCAGTGCTCAAGAGGAAATCGGCGTGATCGTTTTGAATGTCAAGTCAAGATAGAGGACGTTAGACTACGTAGAGGATGACGTCTGAATCAACATGACCCAAAAATACAATTCACCACTGCGGTATATCCCGTCGGTTTCTTCTCCAATGCCACTAATTAATTGCCTTGTTTTCTATGGTAAGAAACTGTCTATGCCAGCCCAAGCCCACGATGGAGACGGGAGCCGGTATCCTTCTGTCCGGTACTATGCACTGTCAAGTGTACAGGCGTCGTCTAAATACGCTGCCCAGAACCATGCCCATGTAGTTGTCGTCGAAAGATCCGACTATATACATGTCCATTATCATGCATGCGATCTCGGCCAATGTCCTATAACGCGGCTGCCGGAGACTCTAGGTACCAGGTGGAGTCGACAGTTGGATCCAGCTCCTTGGTCGAGAGTCCATTGCCAAGATAGCGGAATCTATTCTGGCTCGCCGAGTCATAGACATACTCCCAATCCTCGCCTCTGAACCGCTCGAGCATGTGGAAGAAGTGGATGCGACTGCCGGGATGCAGGGCCACCACCGGGCCGTCTGCCTTGCCGCCCTTAAACCACGATCGGCACGAGGAGGCCCAGACCGTGCGGGGCATGAACGCCGTGATGTGCTCGAAGTAGTCGTCGATGGCGGCCTGCGACGGCGCGATCGCCTTGATGCTCTCTACCTGGCACTTTTTGATGATGCCCGTGATATACTTGGCAATGTGCTCGCTTAGGGTGAAGACGCTGCCGTGCCCAATAGGTGCGTTTGGTCCGAGAAAGGCTAATCAGAGTCAAGGTTAGTCAAGGGTAGCTAGGCAGGTAGGCTGTTGGTGGCGTCTCCTGGTTACACAACTTACTGAAATAATTCGGTAACCCGGCAACAGCACAGGACATATAAGCCTTGGGGAGCTGCTTGTCCCAGATGTCCTGCAGATTCCCCTGGCGGCCGACCAGAGGAAATCTCGGGCGGAAGGATAGGTTGAATCCAGTCGCGCAGATGATGGCATCTACCTTTATGACCTGCCCCGACTCAAGTTCGATCCCCTCGGGTACAATTCGCTTCATTCCCTCGGTCACGATCTCAACGTTGGGCTTTGTCAGGGCTTGCAGATACCCTGGCGCAGGAGTGATTCTCCTGCAGCCGAGGGGAAATGTCGGAATCAATGCTTTACAAAGCTTGTCGTCCTGGCCCAACATGGCAGTCATGTATTCAACAACCTTTTCGCGTGCAAACTTCTGAACTGGCCCGTCTTTGAGCATCTGGATATTTCACTGTCAGCAGCAGGTTGGTTATTCCCCTTACTCCCTCCCCCTCATGGACAAGTTTCGCTTACAGTAGGGAAAGTGCCGTTGATTTCTTCCTCAATACCCTTGACAAAGGCGCGATAGAAGACAGGGTCGGCCTTGAACTTCTCGATCGTCTCCTGTGAGAAATTTTCCTTGTCGTCGAGGTCGATGCGGCTTAAGACATCCTTGGCCTTCCCCGTGAAGATCATGGTTTGTATCCGGGGAGGTACGACCCAGGTTGGGGTCCGTACGATGTGGTACAACTTCTCGACCCCTGTTCGGCTGTTGTGAGCAAGTGTGTCGCAACGGTGTGTACAACGGTGGCACTCACCCGGCTGGATCTCCGGCAGCAATTGGACACCCGTCGAGCCATTGCCAATGAGCGCAACCGTTTTACCTGTGGGATCAAATTCCTCCGGCCAGCGCGCAGTATGTATCAGCTGCCCCTTAAAAGTATGGAGATCGGGGACGTCAGGCCAGGCCCAGTTGCTGGTTTCATCTTTTAGCTCCGATCCGTATCCTCTCGCCGGGCCAACAGCTTGGGCCGGCCACTTACTTCAGAATGCCAGTCCCGTCCACGAGAAAGTTGGCGTGGTCGACGAACTCTTGGTCAGTCTCCGAGTTATGAACTCTCAACTCCCAAGACCCCTGGCTCTCGTTCCACTTCGCGGCAGTTACTCGGTGGTTGGTCTTGATGGTGTCCCTCATGCCCTCCTCATCGCAGACTCGGCAGAGATAATTCCTTATTTCTTTCGCTGGGGAGAAGAAGTTGGTCCATTCGTGATTCGGCCGCCACGAGAACTGATAGCTGTGGCTCGGAACATCACACCGGCATCCTGGATAGCGGTTCTCGAACCATGTGCCGCCGACGTCCTCGTTCTTTTCGTAAATTACGAGCTCGTAGTCGGAGAGGTTGAGTCGGAGGGTTCGTATCATGTTGATGCCACTGGCCCCGGCGCCGATTCCGACGATTCGGATGCGCCTGCCGGAGCCGATGGGCTTCTCGTCGACCTGATAGGCCGACGTGCCTTCTGGCGCTTTGTCGAGCTGGGGCTCATGTCCGCCTGGGAACGGCGAGATCTGTACAGTTTGATCTTGTGGCATCTCGACGGCTACGGCGATGAGGACAGCGAAGCAGTTGTTCGGGGACCTGGGAACCTAGACAGTGTTATGACCAAGACAAGGGACCGGGAGCACCGGGTTGTTTATCATGGAGATGGGGGGATCCGCGGTGGTGAGCCTGTGGTCGAGGGGCTAGCTGACCCCTGGATTTCCTGGGCAGGATTCCTTTCCTTTGGCTGAATTTGAATTGCTCTTACGCCGCAGGTCTGGGGATCAGGTGAAGTGGGCTTCCGCGAAGAGTAAGGAGCCGAAAATGGCACCGTCACTACCCGTTCCAAACTTCCAATAACTGTGGGCAGCAAGCAGCAAGCATCAAGCCTCAAGCCTCATGGCGCTGGAATACGAAACGAGCGAGCAAAGGGGCAAAGCTGGCCAAGGGCTGGCTTGTTGTGCTGAAGTCTGGGGAGGACCTGCTGACCGCTAGCAAGTTACGACGACACACCGCGGATCGGTTGTTGGCTGGTTTACGGCAGTCAAGGAAAAGTCCCTCCACCCACTCACTGCACCCAGTCGAGGCCCCGACCATGGTACTAACCAACATCAGGCGTGCTCCGGAGGGCGTGTCACTGAATACGTACAAGTATCCGGCGCACTGTCCCGCACCTGGTATGTGATGAGAGAACCCCATACGACAGGCATGAGGCAATCAGCAAGAGAAGCTCGCTAATAAATTCAATGAGAGGCAACCAAGCCAAGCAAGCTGCTCTAATTCCAGTGAATTTACTGCGCAGTATATGGGAATCGTATTCTGTCCAACCACAGCGGTTGAACTAGAGTACACGGATCGGGTAGCGTGGTGGAGGAAGGAACTGATCACTCTGAACAAGGGCCCCAAGCCACAGGGTACCACAAACGCCCTGCAGGCTGCAGATTTGGTCAGGTAGGTGCTCCTGGTAGCGCGCCCCACCACGTGAGAGCCAATGGATTTAATTCTACTCCATGTATTCTGTACCATACCATACATAGCATTTTCGCATACAGAATCGGCATCGTACGCAGGTAGTCGGCACTTTCGCCCAACTCGCCCCGCGGACCCGTAGCGCCGGGAAGACGGCGCCGCACCGCACCCGTGGTGTAACTCAAGCCTCCAAAATTTCAAGCAAGCCACTTTCCGCACAACGACCAGCCCTGAGCCGAGGTAGATAAGGCCAACCCATCATCACCCAATTATGGCGACGCACTTTTCCTTCTCCTTCTCCGGGGATGATATTGAAGAAGACAAGCACAAAGCCCCTGCCCAGGGTTATGTCGTGGCAAATCCTGAGCCCTCTTCGACGGCTGGGCCGGCCAGTGCTTTCCCCGTCCAGGGCAAACCTCTTCTCCCGCCTGTCCATCATGACCTTGACCAGATGCTGTCGAGGCTACCGTCCAAGATCGCATATGGGATGATGGACGTGGACCTCGATGGCAAGGGAACCATTCGGTTACCGCGCCGAGAGCTTTGGGATGTACGAGTTCAGCTCATGGCCGAAGAGGGTGGCGAAGGTGGCGAAGGCGGCGACTCTGAGCACGAGCCCGGCCTGGGCCAGCACGATGTCAAGACGGGCATCTATGAGGGCGGCTTCAAGAGCTGGGAGAGCAGCGTCGACCTGGTTAAGACCCTGGCTTCCGAGGGCTTCTCGGATTTCCCAGGCCTCGGCCCATGTCGCCTGATCGAGGTATGGTTTCCATACCACACCCGACGTAATCCAAGTCAACTGACCCATTCTTCAGTTGGGCTGCGGCACGGCCTTGCCATCTCTTGCTTTGCTCCAGTGGGCCTCTGCCACAAGAGTGTCGGGGGAGAAAACCCCCTTGATGCTAACCCTCGCGGACTACAATCCCTCTGTCCTTTATCTTGTGACGTTGCCTAACTTGCTCCTGGCATGGGCTCTCCAGAGTCGGGCAGGAACCCCCCTGCTGGAGGAGGCGCTCTCCTCCGATGGCGAGCTCGAGCTGACCGGCGAAGTGGTTGAAGCCTTCAAGATCTTTCTTGTGTCCAATCAGATCTCACTCTCATTCCTCTCGGGAGGCTGGTCCGCCGAGTTCGTCGAACTACTCTACGAGCCAGAGCACACCCCCAGTCTTCCAGAAGACCTGCAGACTTTGGTAATAGGAGCAGAGACAATCTATTCGCCATTCGCACTTGCGAGCTTCAGCGACACGCTTCTCTCGCTCCTCAGGAGAGAGCGTCAGGACAGACCCAACGGGCAGGCAATTGCCATAGTAGCAGCAAAGAGGCTCTACTTTGGGGTCGGCGGGTCCCTGGATGATTTTGTGGACAAGATGCGGGGCCTGGGCGCCACCGTTGCTACCCTGAGAGAGGAAACAGAAGGAGTCCGACGTGGTGTCGTTCGATGCGTCCTGTCATGAACGTGTCATGAACAACAGCCCCCACACCCTACCACAGCACACCGGCATCGTCTGTTTGGAAGATCCCCGGTCCACCCGTCTCAGGAATGCCGCCTCTTCGCCGCCTTCCAGTCGGGTCTTCTGATCTAGGCTGTTGTGGGGCCGGGACGAATGATGGAATGTGTTTCAGAGTGTTCTACACGAGCATGACGCCAATAGACCTCCATCGCGGATCGCGTCTAGCCAGCCCTGAGCTAAATGCCACTTGAATTTATCCTCAACCGAGCGGGGCAACATCTGCCATGATCCTTAAAGCTCTCCGTTCCCGTTCTCGAACTTCAGGTTGCATACGTCAATGACCATGGACGAACTTAACCTGGAACGGCTGCATGTTTAATTTAAGATCCCGGTCATGCACGATTTCGCGATTGACGCTCACCAAGGCCGTCGGGGGTTGGGGTGGAAACCTGTCTCGGCAGCCGACAGCAAAGTCAGCCCCTGTGCTGTCCTACTCTGCTCTCCACAGTCTACAGCTTGCCAGTGCCCAGTGGGTAAGCTTGGTGTGGTGAGCCGTAACACAGAGCGCAGATCAATGACATTCGAGATCTTTTTTTTTTGTTTCGTTTTCGGGCCCGGGGGGACCGCATGCCATGATTTAAACTCGAGGCGTACCTACGCGATCCGAGAAAGGTTTGGGTTTCATGGATAGGCGGATACGAAACACCTTGCAGACATTTGCTGCTGATGTTTCAGCTCCAACTTGACAAAAGTAAAACTAGCGCAGGAGCGATCCGTTCCTCCAGTCTGCCGATGGTATGCTTGACGGATGTGAGTCTCACGACTGCGCCTACGTGTACCCTTGAATTCCAGAGCTCAAGGATGCCAGAGCTCATAGTTGTTGTTACTCCGTACTTTTGGTGGAGGCCGAATTGAGTTTCAATGATTGTCGAGGGCTTTCACAAAGTCCTGCAACAATTGAAACAAAGTGGGCTCTGCAACGGCTCCGTCTGCAAAACAGACAGAACCCCCACCACTTCATATACATCAGGCAAAGGTAGTCATGACACGTACAATACAAGGAAAGCGTCTTTTCAGGCCTCTCAGATAGATGTACATCACAATTCGTGAACAGCACCAAGGTGCCAAGCCCAGAGGCCGATTAGGTTACCATTGTGATGATCCCCCAGTACGTAGGTACGTACCTAGAACCGTGCTTACGTGTACCTGCACTAAGCGCCCCAGGTTCTTCAAGAACGGCATGCGTATATGCGTACCTTCTATCGTCAGTAAACATCACTCCCTTCGAAAGGCAAAAAGATGGAGAGAAGGAGGAAAGGAGGAATCATGATATTCTCAAACTGAAGGTGCATTCCATTCCATCTTCACCCCGATTGGTAGGCACCAGCATCGTTTAATTACCAACAATACGAGAAGGAATGACGAATGACGATGTGGACCTCAGTCACTGCCGAATTGAGTCTAGGTCCTCCCGTCTTTACCTTGCTAACAAATTTCGGCTCGCGTCCGTGTGATTTGCTGCTCAAGTGCTGAGCCCCCAACACCTACCCCCCAACAGTCGATTTCTCCCCCCTTTCCACTCGCACCTGCTTAATGCTTTCGACCTCTTAATACTTTGTCTCGTAAATTCTTCACTATCGTTCATCCATCTTTGCACCCTCATTTCCTTTCTACAAACAGGTTCAAAACATTGTGTTTTAAATACGGGGTACGACCATTCTTCAGCCTGTGAGTATCAAACCCGTTCCATCTCTCGGCCAACCAGTAGCAATCTCCGTCTGCCATTCCCGCCATTGCCGAGTTGTCACCTAGACCTAGGACTGCTCAATCTTTTGTGATTGCGAATCAAATCCAAAGACTAACCACTTCTTTAGCTCTCGTTCAAACTTTACAAACTTTACAAACTCCCAATCACCAGCAAACATGAAGGTCTTCGCTCTTGCCGCCGTGGCTGCCCTGGCTGCCATTGCCCAGGCTAAGGTCGCGTTCACCAACTCCGCGTACAATATCCAAGCTGGGGAGCCATTCACCCTGACCTGGGCCGGAAACACTGGCCCGGTGACCATCACCTTGAAGAACGGGCCAGAGCGCGACCTCAAGACGGTCCAGGTTCTCGACTGTAGGCCACTTCCAAAACACCACGATGCTAATGCTGCTGTGGATTGCTGTGGAGACTGACATGTGCAAAGCCAACGATTTGGGCAATTCCTTCACTTGGACGCCCCCGAGGTCTCTGGCTACCGACACCTACGCCTTCGAGATCAAGGACTCTAGCTCTCCCGACGAGCCAAACTACAGCCCGCCGTTCGATTTCGAGGGCACCGAGGCCCCGTCGTCGAGCGGTTCGTTGACGGCCACAGGTGTATCGAGCACCTCGAGCGGCACGGCTAGCGCCAGCACCCCCATCAGCTCTACCGTGTCCGGCAACCGCACCACCTCGTCGAGCAACTCCTCCGGCACGCCTTCCACCAGCCGTAAGTCGGCCAAGAAGATGGATCCTGATTGTGAGCCGTGAATTGACATGTTTGCGCTTAGGCACCTCCACCCGCACTTCGGCAACAACCACGACCTCGGCGCCTACATTGGTCCCCACCAACACCAACGACGGCCAGCGCTCCAAGTCGCCCCTCGCCTTGGTCCTCGTCACGATTGCTGCCCTCCTCTACTTTAACTAAGCAGCTAGGAGACACCGGCGTTTGGAAAATTGTGTTAGCTACATGTCTATTGCACTCCATGTGCTTTAGCCTCTGTACATGTACATTTTCTTCTTCAAGCATGGAGTATATCCGGTAATGGGCAAGCCGAGGAAGGCTTTGCTGTAATGGCGCCATTTAAGTCAGATCTTCTGACTGGGCCGTGGAGGAAACAGGCAAAGAGGCTGGGGATTCAATACAATCCAATTTCAACTAGTCGGCGTGCCCCCTTGGTTTTCGTGATTCTTCCCGGCTTCTCGTCCGTCATCCTCATCGTACCTATACTGAGGCTTCATCCACTTTTCCCCGCCAGCTCGCATCTGTCGGCTTCGGCTAGCTGCATCGAGGGTGGATCTCGGCGGACCGTACGGAAGCTTGCAGTGTACCTGGTAGTTCGCGCGTACGGACCACTGGTTCGAACTCTGCCCAAGCGTCAAATCTTCTTGCCTCCCAAGTGACACGGCGTCAAGCGAAGTGCCACACTTGGTGAGACGACGTCGAGGACTCGATACATACCGAGGGACGCGCGGAGTCGAGACGCGACGCACGACAATGATTGGTAGTAGATTCATGGCTCTGGAGCATATTAGTCCGTCTAAGTATCTAGGCTATCCCTTATATATACGTACAATACAGCAGTGAGCATCCTCAATCCCTCGGTTTATCTGACCCAAAAAGAAAATAATGCTGTTCTCCTGTGGGGGACCCCTTTTATTATTTTTTCATGCTTTGGTCTCTTCTCTTTTCCCCTGCCCAACGCCACGCGATGCAAAAGCCGGCTGGTAAAGCAGCCCACTTCATGACAAAGATGTTGAGAAATTCCGAATGATGCAAAGTAGGTACCTAGGTTACGTTTGGTAGGCGTCATAGGCAAGGACGGGCCCGGTCCCCAAAAGAGAAGGGGATGAATCCTCCTCACAATCTAGCCTTGGCGGGCCGGTCCTGGGTCTCGGAGACGACGACGACGATGACGCATATGTCATCCACCTTGCCGCCACGCCAGTTCTCCAGCGGGTAGTACTTCTTGACCTCCTTGGCGAACGGCCCGTCGACCTTTGTGTTGACGCTCGCTGCCTTGGCCGCGCCGACGAGGCCCGTCGCGAGCAGGCCCTGCAGGGTGACGGGCGGTCCCTGCCGCTTCTGGCGGTGGGGGGCGTGGTGGTGGTGATGGTGATGGTGGTGAAGGTGGCCGGCGTCGCTGGTCGGCGGGGCGGCGCCGTCGAGGCGGGTGAGGGGCCCCAGGTCCGCTGCGACCTCGATGCCGGCGTCGGTGGCGGTCCACGCGCCGGCGCGGGTCATGGTGCGGCTGACGATGCGGAGTATGTCCTGGTTGAAGAGGTTGTCCCACAGCCCGTCGGTGGCGAGGACGAGGACGTCGCCGTGGCGCAGGGTGTGGCGCGACACCTCGGCGTCGCGCGGGAGGTCGCTCAGCTGGGCGCCGCCGAAGGCGGCGACGCGCTGCATCACGCTGGGCGGGATCACGGACAGCTGGAAGGGCGTGTTGAAGGCGTGCGTCTGCGGCGCGCTGTGCGCGTGCACCCCGTTCAGGCGCAGGTGGATGAAGCCGCTGTCGCCCAGGTTGGCCACCTCGAGCGTGCCGTCGTCGCCCAGCAGGCCCACCACCGCCGTGCTGCCGCCGGCCGGGATCGCTGGGTCCGAGCACACCGCCTCGTAGCCCCTCTGCATGAGCTGGCGCGCCGTCAGGGCCGTGCCCGTGCCCGCCGACCCGCCGGGCCCCGCAACCCCGCCGTTGTGTCCGTAGGCCTCCGCGGCGGCGTAGTCGCAGAGGCTGTGCGAGAAGTCGGCCGGGTCGACGCCGCTGTCCATCCACCCACCGACGCCGTCGGCGACGCCGAGCGCCACGCCGCTGCCGACCTGGCCGAGGCGGCTCACGAAGAAAGCGTCCTGGCCGGAGTCGGGCCGCGAGGCCTTGTTGTTGCGCGGCTGCTGCCGCGGCTGCTGCACCCGGTTGTAGGGGTTGAAGTGGAAGACGTGGGTAGAGGGGTCGAAGGGCCGGTCCTTCGCTATGTACGAGGCGGCGATGCTGTAGCTGAACCTCCCAGCAGTGCCTTGCGGGTTCGCCGGGGGCGCTGCCGTCGATTTTGTCGTCGTAGTCGTCGTCGAAGAAAGACGTCGTGTTTGGGCAGATGCGTGTGGTTCGGTAGCCGCGGACATGGTCGGCGCCGCGCGCCTCAGGCCCAACAACAGGCTGTGATGCCGCAACTGGGCCCGGCACGGTTGTGATAGACGCCGCGCTGCGGTTGTGGCCATGCTTTAGATGAAGGGGGTTTCTCTTAGAATTCTTCCAGCGAAGCCCGTTTTGGGCTCGCTAGCAGGTTTTAATTAGGAATGCCAATTAGGTAGTCTTGACATTATACTCCAGGGCGAGGAAGTGGAAAATAGTAAAAACGCGGCTCAATTTGACTGTGCATAAAGAAATCAGGCTTGCATAATATAAGTTCGTTAGTTCCCGAAATCACGAACTAGGTACCTATTCGGTAGGTAGCACGCGGGTGACGCTAGCTACTATCAAATTTACTAGTAATTTACATACAATTTTGATAGAGCTTGTCTCCGCGGGCAGGGGCATTTGGCTATGCAGGCAGGGGGTCTGTGCTGGGCAGGGATTCCAGGCCGCCAAAGTATTCAGACAGTTGGTGGAGCAAGTAAAAGACCAGCTGCCAGTACCGAACAAAATGGCGATGGTAACAGCAGCAGAGACGGCGACGGCGAGAGTGCCTTAGCAATAGAGACAGCGACGGCTAGCAAAATGATCCTACCCTAACAGTTAAATGCCCCTGCCCGAATAGCCAAAATATGCCCCTACAGTCCCGCAAGGCCCACGCCCCTTCTCGGTTGGAAGGCTGATTGCCATTTGGCGAAATGCTGACGACATGGCCTTTACGCCTATTATCGGGGAGGAGGGAGGAGAAGAGGAGGAAGCCGAGATTGACAGCTCGATCCTTGCCAGCTTTGTCGACAACCAGGTACCACCTGACGAAGCTATCATTAGCCTTGCAAAACACGTTTTCCCAGACTGCAAGGCCATTACTTGGATAGTAAACTACCTGGTTATCGAGTTCCCGAAGACAGACAAGCAAGAGTTTAAAGACCGCCTTGAGTTACTCCCAAGTTCGACTAAAGATGCGCCATTTCACTTGCGATTCCATAATGGTCCTCTCCCCAATCGCGTCTTAATTACAGTTGGCTTGAGACTCGGTAACATTCAGAATAAACCAAGGGGCTCCGTCATCCTAGGCGGCTTCTCTCTGCAACTGTTATACGGGAAGAGGCAGACATAGCACGGCTTAGTAATAGTTTGTCCTTAGATCCCTTGGTCCCTGTATGTTGTAGCCAATGCATGGCAAGACTCAGTTCCTGCTAATAAGTGAACCTACTCAGTCACGCCTGATATATACAGTGGCACCCGTAAATCTCTCCTTCGGCTCAAGAGTGGTGAGTTCACTATAGTGATCTCGAATCATATCGATCAGGCGGGACGACTCGGGATCGGTGCTAGCCAGGGTTAGTCGGTTACTGAGGTTTAGGTGGAATGGATTCTACGTAGGGGCACGAGCTACTTACGCGCATCCTGGGTTGAACGATGGATGTAATGCGTGCCAGAAAGCAGTGGCCTCGTCTTCATCCCACACAGTGTTCCATATCAGGACAGCCGGCCGAGCGATGTCTGCGATTATCTGTCGGACGGGAATGTCCGGGGCGAACGATACGACGACGGTCTCGTCATCGACCTCCAAGAATGCTCTTGGGTCTTCTAGTACTGTTATGCCGCTCCTTCTGAGCACTTCCTTGTCCACCTCCGTGTATATTGGATCCTGGGCAAAACATTGGATCCCAGGCTTATCTGGACTTTTCGTCATCTGCTTGACAATATCCCTCATCGTTAGAATCAAGGCATGCTGGGTGATTGATGTTCCTCTCTGATCGACTTTGAACGCCATTGTTGAACAGCCAAACGCAACAACCTTGCTGATGCTAGGCACTGATGCAGCTCTAAATAGTGACTGGAGCTGCCTGCAATCTTTGCTGTCTTCCCACATTTTGATCCCAGCATCCAAGCCGTCCTGTACTTCTTCTAACGCTTGAGGCTTCCAGGGGTCCAGGATCTCCTTGGTAGAGCTGCGACGCGATCTTAGTGGGTAAATAAGGCGTGTTGGACAGTAAGCCAGATGTGGAGAGAAGTAGAGAGGGTCGTCATGGATGGTCAAATGCTGAAACGTCCGGTAGTCTAGATATGGGTCCATTCTGCGGCTAGGTAAGTAGCTACGCAGTTAATATGAAGGGGTTGATGGGGAAGCTATACACAACTAACTCGGTCTCCTTATCTATATGGTGCATAACAAGTCCAGTCTCTAACTCAACTTCGACGACTGACCCATCAACTGCTGGAATAGAGATTATTTGACCTTCGACTGGCGGATCATTGGCGCGGCAGTTGTCAAGCTGGCGGACGAGATCTTGAAACACACTCTTCTTGAAGAATGGGAGTCCCTGCTCGTACAGTGAGCGTATGCGCTCAGTGACTTCCAGCATCGTTTGCTTCCTCTTCGCCATCTCGGCATCAGTCAACTTATCCACGGACCATTCATATTTACCACCATAAACATGGTGCGAGATGTATTCGTCGCCCGACATGCCGCCTTCAGGTCGGCTTTCAGTTTCGGGCTCGTCTTGGGTGGGGCAATGCATGGCTGGCTTAGAGAGAAGACGTAGCTCAATACGAGTAGGAGTTTTGTATCACTCAATCGTGGTTGATAGGATCTATACAAGCCGGCTCTCACTTTGGACCAACTCGGTCGTTTGGGCCCGTGCCGCACAACGATGTCAACGATGTCCATCTTGGGCATGGAAAATAATCATGTGATCGCTGCTGTCTTGCCGTGGTCCGGGCGATTTCTTCCTTCTTGTTCCGAGCCGCAATTGAAAATTGGTCAAACGCTATTGGTCAAAATGGCCCTCCCGGTTTAGTGCACCTGATAACCGAGCTGTCCCGAAGATGGAAAGCTCATGACGATTTCATCCAACCGCCACAAACTACACAGTCGACGCTTCGGTCGTTGAAGCGTCTTTTCTTTGCCTATAATTGCCGATCACTTTCTCTTGACAGAGCGGTGAGCTCCTGGGACAGAAGGAGACTTTCTATTCAATTGATTGCGCCGCGACAATGGCATCTCTCCGCTCTTGCGCTCCCCGAATCATCGGCTCGGCACGGCCAACCCTTCGGTTGGCCGCCGCTCCAGTTCGAGGGTTCGCCCAGTTGGCTGACGGTGCTACCGAGTCGCAGACAGCTTCCGGTGAACAGTCGCGGATGAAGTCGTTCCAGATCTACCGCTGGAACCCCGACACGCCCACCGAGAAGCCGCGGATGCAGACCTACACTCTCGATCTCAACAAGACCGGCCCTATGGTTCTAGACGCATTAATCCGGATCAAGAATGAGGTGGACCCGACATTGACCTTCCGGCGAAGCTGCAGAGAAGGCATCTGTGGGAGCTGCGCAATGAACATCAACGGGACGAACACGCTAGCCTGCCTGTGCAGGATCCCCGCCGAAGACAATGCCGAAATGAAGATCTATCCGCTGCCACACACTTATGTCGTCAAGGATCTGGTGCCAGATTTGACGCTCTTCTACAAGCAGTACAGGTCTATCAAGCCGTACCTGCAGAGAGACACACCTGCTCCGGATGTAAGTACATGTAACCTCGGGAAAAAAGGAAACGGAAACGGAACTGACATTCGGTTTTGTAGGGCAAAGAATACCGCCAGAGCAAGGCCGATCGGAGGAAGCTCGACGGCCTTTACGAGTGCATTCTGTGCGCATGCTGCTCGACCTCGTGCCCGTCCTACTGGTGGAACTCGGAAGAATACCTCGGACCTGCCATTCTGCTTCAGTCATACCGATGGCTTATCGACTCGCGTGACGAGAGGAAGGCCGAGCGCAAGGCCGCTTTGGACAACTCGATGAGCCTTTACCGATGCCACACGATTCTGAACTGCACCCGGACATGCCCCAAGGGGTTGAACCCTGGTCTGGCAATTGCCGAGATCAAGAAGGAGATGTCCTTCTAGGCTGGCGATCGGATCCGAGGAATATAGGGATATCGCCAGGGGAGGGAAGCTAGGAAAAGTGGGGGGCTGGTGAACTGTTCCAGCAATGGGCCTTAGAGTGTAAACTGTATCCTGATCTTGAGCATGATTGGAGTTTACTTTTTGTTACAGTAACAATGCGATATGGCTTCTTCAACTTCTTGCTTGCCAGTGCTAGTGCCATGTGCCCTTTGGCAATCTGTCTAGGCCCACCTCCCCGAGTCATCAAGGTTCCATGCGCATCATGCTGATCTGTGGGTTATCTCTAGAGACGCCCACCAATGCTACGGCGGAGGGAAGGTTGAATGAATCCCATGCAAGATCACAGCTGCTTGAGTCGACTCGAAGGAACTAAGACTCAATTGAACACCCTCTTCATTGCGCATTTGTGTGTGTGCAAGACTTGAGCAACATTTTCAGTCACTCGTCAACCTCTCATACCTGTTGAAGAAATCCAAGCAATCGGGTATTTTAAGTAAACAGTCAGAGAGCGTGTCCAAACACCCGAACATCCCCCACTCCTCCCAGGGGACATCACTGTCACACATGGCACAGCAGAGGCCTAGCTGCTGGCATCAGGGGCTCCAACTGCCCTCACACCTCAACCTTCTCATACACAATGTCAATGGGCATGTTCACCGCAGTGAAGATACCATCCGCTATGGTCATCCGTCAGTATCAAGTCCAACTCGTTCAATTCCACACGGAAGGCAGGAAGAAATTCCGGGCTGGGTAAGAGGTTGGGTGAGGGGAGGGGATAAGAAATCTGGGGAGCTTACCACCCTGCCACTTGACGCTCCACTCGTCCTCGTTGCCGGCCGGGATGGCGACCCACCTACCGGCCCTGTCAGCGGAGTAATCGACGCAGTTAGCCGGCTTCCCGGCGTCGCGGGGCTGGGAGTCGAGGCTGAACGAGGTCCAGTCGTAGGTGTCGTCTCCGCCGGCGCTGGTGGTGGCGGCCGGGTTGACGAGGTTGACGAGGTCGAGCTGCTCGCCGGCGCCGCTGAGGGCGAGGGCGTGGTCGACGATGCCGATCGGGTACGTGTGCAGCTCGACCAGCTGATTGGATCCGGCCTCGCTGCGGCCAGGCACGGCGTAGATGCGCACCGCTGACGAGCCATGGAAGACGCCGATGGTGCTGTTGCTCTCGCCTAGGTACTTGCCGTCGAGGGACTTGTTGGATTTTCTGCGCGGTTGGACGGTTCTTCAGCTTGCTGTGGCTCTGTGGTACAGATCTGCCCGAGCTGGGGAAACAAGGGGCTTCCAAAACAGGCAATATCACTCCTTCCCGTCCGTATACAGACCGGGAACTGCGAATACGGCGAGACACGCCGATCGAAGTGTGGCGAAGCTTAGGGGGTACGAGGCACACAAACAAGGACGGGGCGAGACACTTACGTCGAGATGCGCAACGTGTAGATATCCAGCTCGCCACTTCTGGCCGTCGACTTAATTGGGCTGGCAAGGCTTGCGGAGCCGGAGAAGGCGATGAGGGACACTGTCTGCCACTTCATGGTGCTTGTTATGACGGCGATTACTCGGTGGAGCTTCTTTTAGAAGGATTTGCTTGCAGGATAGAGGATCAGGTTTGGTTGTTTGGCTGTATGGTTGAGTGGCAGGCTATTGATTGTCTGGGTATTCCTCGACGGGCTGCCTCTCTCAGGGGGGATCCCATGGTGTCTTTTATGTCTTTATCCTTTCCCTCCAAGTTCTGGCATGGCCGGAAATAGGCGGGCTCTTCCTGTCGAACTGGTAGGTGACGTGACTATCGTCATATGGCTCGGCGATGTTTTTTTTTGTCAATCCAGACCTGTGTTTCTTGTGTTTGCGTCTTGCACAACTTCGCCCCTGCTGTCTTGGCCACTTTACCGGTATATTAGGATATTAAGGCGGATACGACACTGTAGCCGGTTGCATTCTTCCGCAATCAGATAATGTCTAGCGATCCCACAAGGCTCCCCCACGACCTAAATTTAGCAGTCGAATTCCCCTGCGCCTGGTTGATGATACCGAAAGGAACAAATTAGCAGTCGAATCACATCGCCAGCCTGGTGCTACACACGGTGCTAGCTTGTCTATCGTGCAGAGCCAATTCCAGAGACTTCTGACCTCAAGTGGTTCTAGAATATTGCGATGATATGAAAAAGGGTATCACCTTCCAAAACCTGGGATGAAGTCGAAAAAAGAAACACTATCATCCGATCGAGAGCGGACCGGAGAACCGCCATCGCTGCAGTGTCCCTGATGGCAAAGCCGATCGCAACCGCATGAACCACACGATGGGGAAGGAGGCTGCAACGAATCTTTCCACTATACGGGATGAGGTCCGGCCGAATTCATGTTCCCGGGACAGCAATAGTTGGAGCAGTCGCGAGATTCGGAACTGCATCGATCTTATTGGCTCTCCGATGCCCATTTTGGTAGAAGGATGGCAGATCGGCCCCTTGTGGGAGCGTAGTAGTGATATGTAAGGTCGTGTTTCCCCTTGCGTCCCTTTCTCCCGTCCACCCTCCTTCGAAGGATCCGGGGAAATCATGGTACCTCGCCCCAAGCAACACAGGTTTTTCTAACCTATTTCTAGACATAATCGACATTCAGCTTCGTAGTACTCTATGGTGATTGGACGTCCGTCTTGGCAGTCCACTGGTCTCCCATATACGGGTACGAGGTACATTGCAATCTGTGCAAATCGGGGCTGATACGACGCCCCCTTGCCCGTCATCAATACAACGTGAATACGGCGCGCTTCCCACAATGAGGGAAAACTTTGTATAAAGGTTCAAGCTGTACACCTCTGTCTGGGTGTGGTAGGTACCACCGCTATTCCGTCCAGCTTCCAGATAAGGTTGTTTCGGTACACTTATTGTGATAAAACCACTCGTGATCGTTAAAACATGGCGCCATCCGCTCCTATGTTGTACTCGTTGGTTCTTCTTCTTGGCGTTGCAGCCGCTGTGCCCGCTCCTCGGGAGAGCTGCGAGCCGCGGACAATCTGTGTTGACGCCATCAACACATGTGGGGTGAAATACGGCGGGTAAGTACAAAATCAATAGGAGATACTGCACCTTTATGGTCATTGACATACTGCCAGATGCTATGATGAGTGTAACACCGCTCTCAAGCCGTCTCCTCCACCGTGTACCGAGGCAACCACCACGACGAAACCGACCCCCACCTGTGGTGTGCCGCCACCGGTAACCCCAATAACAACTGGGGATGATTGCAGCACTCGGACTGTCTGTTGGGATGGGGTCAACGAATGTGGCCAAACCTATGGAGGGTAAGATGTGTTAAAAGGGGGCCGTCAAGTGAAGGCACCACTAACATCGGGTCAAGCTGCTTCCCTGACTGCACACCATGGCCAACCTTCACTCCGCCGCCCTGTCCGACGATCACAACCACCACGAACCCGGTGATTGTCACCGACGTGCCCACTGGAGTGCCCACTATTTGCGCCGACTATATCAACGAGTGCGGGAAGATGTACGGAGGGTAAGCCATCTCCGCGGCACATACCTTGACAAGGTGCGCATCTGAACTGACACCCTTCTAGATGCTTCGCCAGCACCAGCCCGTTCCCGACCTTCTCGAAACCTCCCTGCCCCTAAGGTAACCGAGAATGGTAAGCAGGTGAGAGCTGTGCGCTACCAACCGGAGTAGATATTCTGTTTCGCGCAACAGGCCAACAGTTAGTTACCTACCTACGTATATATCTCTGGGTGACCTCAGAACGGCCTGACCTAGCTTGGATGGTGGCTAGAATCTTCTAAATCGTAACAAAATTCGGCCCTATTTCTTGCATCTCCTGACCTGCTTTGAGTCTGGCTGGGCCTGAGTCGCCATCGTAACAAATACCAGGGATGACCTGTCGCTGGCTTCATTCCCGTGCTGCTGGTTGGTGTGCCCCTGTGCCCCTTGATTGCTCAGCATCCTTGCCTCGGAGACTGTGCCAAATATTCTGCCCAATAGCTGAGGCCTGGACTAATTAGGAAGGCGGTGAGGTTTTCAAATCAATGGGCATCCCGATCTAGGTACCCAAGGGTCGAAAAGTTCAACTCATAAGCTACCCAGCTATCCAAGAAACATAAAATAATCAGTTCATCGGAAGACGACATGTAATGGAATCCGATATTATACAGTAGGTCAAGCCCAATATCTCATTATTTCGGCGGACCCGTCGCAGGCTTTCCAGCCTGCTTGATGCCTCTTTTTCCTTACCGTTCGTTCACTGACTCATCTGTCTCTCCTTCGCAAAGCCCCCTGAAGGTCTTTGACCTGGCCAAGAGCCAGGGCAGGTTCCTATATGCCTGTGCCCCCATGGTCCGATACAGCAAGGCAGGTAGCCTCTTCTTCACGCGAGTCCACTTGGTTCCTCTCTCGCCGAGCCGCGCGCTCTCTCCTATTTCTCAAGATGAGAAGGCTTGACAAGTCAGACAGCTTGCATTTCGTCAGACGGTGTACTCGTACGGCGTCGACCTCTGTTGGACGCCCATGATCCTCGCCAGAGAATTCAACCGGAGCCATTTTGCCCGAGAGAGCGGTAAGGATCCTCGCCTTCTCCTGCTCGTTTCAAGCGGAGCGAACCCTTGCCCTAATGCCTCCTCGTGCTTCCAAAGATTTCACAATCTCAACCGCCGGCAACCAGCCGCCGACCATCGTGCAGTTCGGAGCCAGCTCCGCGCAGGAGCTGTCTCGGGCGTCGTCCCTGGTCGCGCCGTACGTCGGCGGCGTCGACCTGAACTGCGGCTGCCCGCAGTCCTGGGCCTGCGCCGAGAGCCTGGGCGCCGCGCTCATGGAGAAGCGCGAGCTCGTCCGCGACATGGTGATCGAGACGAGGCAGCGGCTAAGGCAGGACGGGTGGGGCGTCGGGAAGGAGAAGGATATGGATAGCCCCACGGGCCGGAGCGTGAGCGTCAAGATTCGTGTCCACCACGACCTGAGGTGAGGGCGAACCACCCCCCCCGCCCCTCCCCCTTTTCTTTTCTGGGTCCCAGATGCCGGAGCAACTGACACCTCCCAACAGGAAGACGATGGATTTCATAAACACGGTCCTTGGTCCAGAGCATGACAGGCATATAGACTTCCTCACCATCCATCCGAGGACGAGGTCAACCCCCTCGACTCTGCCCATCAACCTCGAGGCTCTCGAGATATTGACCTCAACCTTTGGTGATAAGGTGCCCATTCTCCTCTCGGGCGACGTCTTCGCCCTGAACGCGCTTCCCTTCTCGTCCCCCCTCCATCCGACAGCAGCAACCACGCAGACTGCAAACATCACCCCCGACGGCCCCAATCAAGAGCCCCGGGACCCAGAAGCAGAGACAGGGACCAAGCTCAGGAACCTCCCCAAGCTAGCCGGGCTGATGTCCGCCCGGGCCCTCCTAGCCAACCCGGCCCTGTTCGCAGGGCACGCATCCTGCTCCTGGGAGGCGGTGGAGATGTTCATGGCCAACGTGGCGCGGAGCCCGCTGCCGCACAAGCTGGTCGTGCACCACCTGACCGAGATGTGCGGGCCGGGCATGGGCCCGGACAAGGGCGCCCTGCTGAGTAGGCGCGAGAGGGTGGCCATGGGGGCGTGCACCAACATGTGCGACCTGGTGGACTTCCTGGACGACAAGGTCGGCGTCAGGAACGGGGTTCGGGGGCTTAGGAGGGGCTTGATTAAACCGAGCTTTTTGGACGGGCGCATATAGATGCCGAATGGGCTGGGGATTGGTTAGATCTCATTATTTTTTTTGTCCCGCCGTGAGATAGATATCCAGCGTTGTCTTTTTAAGTCCTGTTAAACCTAGAACTAAATCTCGGCATCACAACTGCTCGCGCCAACGCCGCTCTGATGCCGTGGTAGTGCCATGAGGCCTACAAGTTACACAAAACCTCCGTGGTTCGCGGTTACGTGCGCAAATAAACGCTTCGCGCCGTAAGTGTACATTCTGGCATAAGCCGGGAAAAGACCACAATCCCAGCCAAGCCTGCTCTCGAAGAGTCGTGCCCCTCGAACGCCGGACCCGCCGTAGAGGAGACAAGGTCGAAAGGAAAAGAACAGGGCTGAATAAAAACGAACCTGTGAGACGCTCCGTGCTTAGTGAATCTCCCCTTCATCCTCATCATCCTCATCCTCGGTCCGCATCCGCTTCGATTGCCCGCCGCCATCGGACTCTTGCTCGAGATCAAGATGACTGCGTTTCATCCCTGGAGAACGGATGTCACTCCCGTTCGGTCGTCCCTCGTGGACGCTTAGATTATTGGCGGCTGCCTTCAGAGCAACATCCGAGTCGCCTCTAACGCTCTCCTGGTCGGTTGCGGAACTCGCCTCGTGGCCGGCTTCCCCCTTAGGGGCCTCCCTGTGCGGAGCCTCGCTATTTGGAGCCTCGTTGTCACGGGCCGCCTTCCCATTAACTCGGGCTCCAGGGCTTTGCGCGCCTCGGTCCGTCCCCATGGGGGTGCCGTTATGGCTGGACTCAGCCTCCGTGTGGCTCATCGCCTCTCCGCTCCGCCTAGTGCTCTCGAGGCTGAACACAGGTGAGCCAGGGTAGGTGGAGAGCTGCTTGCGCAGAGGGTTCTCCGTGTAGAAGTCCGCCATGATGTCCACAGCCTTGATCACCAGATCCTCGTTCGCCCTGAGCGATTTCCACCACGCCTCACCGTCCACATCGTCGACCTTCTCCTGCGTAACAGATGTCGCAAAGAAGATGGCACTGATGGACAAATCACGCGCCCCCATCAGTAGTGGCAATGCCGTCAGGCACGCGTCGTTGCAAAACGACCAGGCCGCCTCTCGAATGCGTTTATTGTGGGCCAGGTTCAGGCGCCGAAGGTGGTCGAAGAGGCGCTGGTAAGGGTTATCGACCATGAGATCGAACGTCAGTGTCTCGAGCATCAGTTCCTCGTAGGTCAGAATGCTGTCTCGCCAACGCCAGTACTCCTTGCTCTGTTCATCGATGATGAGTTTCGAATTCTTTTGTGCCACTTTCGCAACGGCAATGATGAGATCCTTAGTCTTCCGGCAATTCTCCTCGGTCTTGTTTGCGAGGAATAGCGAAGTTGCGGCAATGTTCTGATCGGAGAGCCGGAGTCAGCATGTAGATTTCGAGTCGCTTATTCAATGCCATTGCTAGTCACCAAAAGGGCGAGGGAAGGCTGAACATAGGTAGCCACGGTATTCTGTTGTCGCGATTCATAAAGTAGACAATATAGACTCACGTAATGATGGATGCCGGATTTCTCCTCGACCATGCTGAAGCGCATATAGAACCGATGGAAGAATACTGCGGCAACCCAGAGGGTGATTTGGGGCAGGTCGAGTAGGATTCCCGCCTGATAGATGAAGTTGACGCCCTTTGCTCTTCGTAACCGTTCTTCAGTCGGCGACAATCCATCTATGATGCTTGGCGTGCTCAGAACCTCGTCTGGGGTGAAGAACCACTGGTTTGCGCGAGGGGATTTCGGTGCAAGTGGACTCGATTGTGCTTGTGCTGGTGAGGGCGCGCTCCTACGCGACTGTGGTCGAGGCGGCGATGTTCTCGAGCTATGTGTCGGTGGAGATGGCACTGCAGGGGGAATATCACGTCTCCGTGATGGTGATTTTGAGAGACGCTCGACAGGAGGAGGCTTTGGCGGTAGCGATGGAGGTTGATAGCCCTCCCGAGGAGGCCGGTATCTGTCGACTGTCGACATGATTATGTGCGACGTGGTGGTGATCGCGACTCTCCCCTCCCCTGTAGTCCTGGTTAAAACTATCGCGCAAGGATTTTGCGCATTGAGGAAATCAAAGTAGTCCTCGAGGGTAATGCTGGTGTAGATGTTCGGAGGAAGAAGGCGATCAGAGGAACCTCTTTCAAAGGAAGCTGGAAGGGAGTTGGAACTTATCGCCCACTATCAGGAAGTGGCTCGTGCTTTTCTCTAAGCCAAAAGGCTTGGCAATAGTCACGTGGTCCAGACTGGATCCCACTGTTGCATGTACAGTACAACCTGGTTGGCAATATCAAATCAGAAATACCATGGAGCAGACTCATGAATCCCTACCGTATGACAGGTGGTCTCTAAATAGGCTCTGAATCATTTCTGCCCCAAAGCTTCACTGTTCCGTCGTGGCGACCGGTCGTCTGCCGAGAAATATGTTAACCTTGTTATCCGAGGCAGTCAAGACTCGATGGACGGGCGGAACTCAACCGCATTAGGGTTCTGAAGCTCAAAGTTCGCGCCGACGACGCAGCTGAACGTGGCGCGTTGGGTACTACACTAGTAGTTGACAACCATGCGCAGGAACACGTAGAATGGCAAGGAACGGATCTTGACAAGAGTTACAAGATCAAGCTGGGTGTACGGGGTTGGGCTCATTGCTCTTGCCCAACACGTCTGGAAAGGGCGTAGTTGGGTACCAAGTCCTTGGAGAGAGCCCGGCCTCTCCATTTCAGAATTGCCCTGGTTTTTAATGTATATGGAGTTGTTAGGCAATAAATATGAGGTATAAGGTGTGCCAGCTGGAAATTAGGGACAGGGATTCATTTGCTTGGGGGGCGGCCCTGGCTTTCCGGTTCCAGCCGTAACCCACTTCCCCAGGTAGTGCAGGTGCCATAAGGCGGCCTGCTGAGAGGCTGAGAACAGGGCGTCCAACAAGCGGTTGCCATTGCCAAGCCCAAAAATAAATTTGCCTAGCCTTCAAATTTAACCTCGTTTCTTCGCCTCTCCCTTCTAACTTTCTCCTCCATGACAACTCCCTCCCTCCCAAGGTGAACCTTCTCCGATTACCTTCATACGAACCAGAGACCAACCAAACCGAATATAGTGCCTTCAATGCATAACAGAACCAACTATATCTACGACCATAACTCGAATTCTTCTTCCTTCTTCAAGTATCAGATGCGAATTATCACAAGCCATCACAGACTGAACCGGAAAGACCTGTCCGAGCCACGCTGCGACGCCGAGCGCCGCCGGGGCGAGCCTTGAACGGTTCGCGCATTTTGGAAGCCAAGTCACCGCAGCGAGACAGAGTGAATACCTCACCGCCCATAATTGCCACACCACGTTATGTTGATGGGCCCGGCGGCTCCCGCACTTACCACGGTGCGTGGCTTTCAGCGAACACCAGTAACTTCTGGCGACGAGGACTCCGACTACTGTCCCACCCCCCGGTTTCGTGGACACACCCCGGCCAAGAGAGGGCATGAGAACGGGGCTACGCGCATCATCGACGATGTGGTCAGCACGAACTGCAGCCCGGTCCTGAAAGCTGCCCCATCCCCTTGCGCCAGTGGGATTGGCAAGCTGCGGAAGCAGCTCGAACCCTTCAGCCTCGATACTACTGCGGCTTCATCGCGCGCGAGCTCCTTGACGCGCAGCGATAGCCGCGACACTGCGCGGAGCAACAGCAACGCCCCTAACGAGAGTCACAGCAGCGACGAGACGGCTTCCGTGGGATCTACCAGCTACGAGGTCAACCTTGAGAGCGATTTCGTCAGCGAGAACATACATGGCCGAACCGTGGGCCGAGGCTGTGGTGGCTGCATGGTCGCAGATGCTGTCGAAGGAGGTCTGGTCCAACCCCGCCAGAAGATAACTGCCGACAACTTCGAGCCACTGCGCTGCCTCGGAAAGGGGACATATGGGACAGTCCTGCTCGTCAAGCAGCGCAGCACGGGACGCCTGTATGCGCAGAAACAGTTCAAGAAAGCTTCGCTCGTCGTGCATAAGAAGCTTATTGAACAGACGAAGACCGAACGACAGGTGCTCGAGAGCGTCAACCGGCACCCGTTTGTGGTCAAGCTGTTCTACGCCTTCCAGGACCAGGAGAAGCTCTACTTGATACTCGAGTACGGGCAGGGCGGAGAGCTCTTCACCCACCTCAGCACGGAGAAAATGTTCACCGAGTCAACAGCCGCGTTCTACATGGCCGAGATGGCTCTCGCCCTCTCTCACCTCCACGACAATCTTGGTGTCGTGTACCGGGACCTCAAGCCGGAGAACTGCCTTCTCGACGCAGAGGGACACCTACTCCTCACCGATTTCGGACTGTCCAAGGTTGCTGTCGACAACGAGAACTGTAACTCTATGCTCGGCACGGTCGAGTACATGGCACCCGAAGTAATTCTTGGTCAGAAGTACGGCAAGGCAGTGGACTGGTGGTCGTTTGGTGCCCTGCTCTACGACCTGTTGACCGGCAACCCCCCGTTCCGTGGCCAGAACCATGCTAAGATCCAGGAAAACATTGTCAAGCAGAAGCTGATCTTGCCGTACTTCCTGGGCCCTGACGCGAAGGATCTCCTGACGCGTCTGTTGCGCAAAGATCCTCGCAAGCGCCTGGGAGGCACCATGCCAAAGGACATGGCCATCATCAAGAAGCACCGGTTCTTCCGGAAGATCGACTGGAAGAAGCTGGCCGCGCGCGAGCTCGAACCGCCAATCCAGCCTATGATCACCGACCCAGAACTTGCCGAGAACTTCGCGCCCGAGTTCACGGAATTGAGCTTGAGCCCGCTTATCTCGCGATTCGACGACCCGTGGGGCTCTCTCAATCCGACCGACGACAAGGACAACCCGTTCGGTGGCTTCAGCTTCGTCGCTTCGAGGAGCCTCCTGGAGGGTGACGGTTTCAGACTTGCAGCAAAGGTCTGATGCCTGTGACCGTGTGGATTTTCAATTCCGGAGCGTTTGCCATGATGGTATAGATGTTGAACCTTTTTTTTTCTTTCGTTTTTCAAGCCGGCGGTTGCGTTGTTGCCGAGTCCTTGCAGTCATGTCGGTGGGACTAGAATATTTACTTCTTATAGAGGGAGAGTCGAGGAGTGAAGGCATTCATGTCGGTTCAGTTGCGAAAAAGCAATCCTCTAGAGCAACTACCAATAGAGGTATCAAGCAGTCTTTTAACCTAGAAAGCCCCTTGGCTCAATGTCCAGAGCCGGAGCGTATTAGATATTCCGCCAATACAATGATTGCATGGAAGCAACGAAGTCGCTGGGGAACGTCGGATTCCCATCTTGAATCTTCAAGCTGCTGAGGCGTCCAAAATATCACAGGCAAAATACCTCGTATATGTCGATGACAGACTCGATGATATGGACAGTAACGGACAGCCAGTCCGATCAGGCAGTTATGGCATGCCCTACGATTTTGATAAGCCACCGTGGCCACCTTCCTCCCTGCCCTATAGGAAACCAGAAAGCTGGAACCCTGTCCCAAGCCATGTAACAGGAAATGCGCGGTCTGAAATGTGTTCTAGACCATGGAGAAGTCCGGAACCGAAACGCCCCGCGCCATCCCTTCATGTCTTAACCCTACCAGGTACCTACCCACCTACATAGACAGTACCCCAGAGCCTCACCCGCGGAACCAGTGGCGGCGGGGAGCTTACATGTGTAAGCACGCTTGCCCTCAGCCGCGCGCCGAGACGGAGCAAAGTAACCATTCACGTATGGCATACACGTCTTGGCTCACACTTTTCGCTCGTCCCTGTGGCTACTGGACGGACGCGTAATGTTTGTGGCTTCTGGGAACGGGACTTGCACAATCCGGACCGCCAGGCGTGCTGTCCTCGGAACCCGTAAACTAGCGTACCTACAAAGGTACCTACCTACTCTTGGGCTCTCTCCGGATTGGGCCAAGATGTGAGACAGCGAAGAGAGAACCGTCCATGAACACAGTTCATGAATACGTCCATCGAGTCATCGTTAGACTTTAACCGCGACAAAACCATCGGTGTTCATAAGTGATAGGCTTTGCAACTGACGAAAATTAGGTACTCAGCTAACCTTGCAAGGGGCGACAGTTAGGTACCTACCTCGCTGGGTCGAACTTTCCCCCCGGAGATAGGTTGCGCCTTGGCCACCACAGCCCATTGGAATTCCCTCGACGATAACTGGTCGGTGGTTGCAGAGACAAATATCAGCCCAGCAACTCTATCTGGCCCCCCAGTAACCTTCTCCCCAGGACTGCACATGTACCGTGCGCGGGAAGATGGTGGCTGTGCCCACTGGTTTTTCTTGATGGTGTACTGCGGTAGACGGGGAATAACTACCCGTACAATCGCCATATACTCCGTATTGGCCGAGTTGATCATGAGGAATGGAGATCTGTTCGTCGATCCTGTCCATCGGTAGGACTGACTTTGCCGGACCCGGTCACCACGCCATGTACTCTCTTCCAGCGGGCAAAACAATGGCACCGTCGCCAGTCTCTAGTTAGTTAGAGGCAAGGGTCCCTTGTGAGTTCAGATCTCGGCGTCGAGCCTGCAGGTTGCCAGCAGTTAGCCTTTGCCATATCAACACTTTAACGTTCGTGCGATTCCTTTAAATTCCGCACCTCTCTCTCGGCATATCCTTTCCAAACCCTTTCTGGCCCTTTACCATTTTCCTTGGCCCATTTGTTGAGGGAGGATATCGACTCCCTGCGTACAGTCGACGCGCAGACGAAATAACCTGCATACCTAGGTACCTATTCTGCATAGGCACCTTCTTACCGGCACTCGATCGTGACTGCCGCCGTATATCGATCCTCAGCATCTTCTTCGGTCGACTCTCTTACTCCCCCCATCTTGATTAGTTGATCTCCCCATTACGCATCCTTCCCTCTGGAACTATCCCCTATCAGTCAGGAAGACCGGACAGGCGAACCAACACGACAGCATGGTAGTTTTCCCCAAGCCTCTCGTGGCCATAGCCGCGGTTTTGTGTAAGTGCTGTCCTGCTCTCCCTCGCCGCGACCCGAGCCCAGCTGGGCGTCAACGCTTCCTTGTAGCATGGCTGACATTACTTTCCCCTTGGGTCTGTACAGCCGCAGGCGTCGCTACTGGATCACCAATCAGATACTGTCCAGGTAGCGGGAACGGCGTGTGCTTCAGCGTAGGCGTGCCGTCCTCCTCAGCCTCGGCGGGGTCTGGCAACATCTATTTCCAGATCACGGCGCCAACGTCGGCTCAATGGGTCGCGATGGGCCCTGGGACGGACATGGCCGACTCATATATGTTCATCATGTACGAGGACGGCAAGGGCAACGTGACCCTCTCCCCTCGACAAGGCACTCGCCACGTGCCCCCGAGACTGGACACCAGCGCCTCGGCCGCCAAGTTGACTCTTCTTGCCGGCAGTGGCGTCAGCAGCGACGGCCGAACCATGACCGCCAATGTGGCCTGTGCCAACTGCGAGTCCTTGGCCGGAGGCGGCAAGTTGTCTATCACCGACACCAAGAGCAACTGGATCGCCGCATGGAAGTCTGGGCCCTCCTTTAGCACGACCAGCTTGAGCCAGCAGCTCAGCGTCCACGACGACACTGTGGAATTCCAGCTCGATTTGACGAAGGCAACCCTTAGCAGCGACAAGAATCCCTTTTTCCACAGCGCCGTTAGCGGTAGCGGGAGCGACTCAGGACCCAACTCGGGCTCACCAAGCGGCGGTAGCGGTTCAGGGTCAGGGTCGGGTTCGTCGAACGGTGACCGCGATTCAGATCCAGACTCGGACTCGGGGTCGTCGGGCGGCGGCGTTACAGTCACCTCAGATAATAAGGAGAACAATGCCATCATGCTTGCTCATGGAGTCATCATGGCGATTGTCGTGGTGATTCTCTACCCCTTTGGCTCCCTGCTCATGCCCTTGCTTGGAAAGTGGCGCGTTCACGCCGCCTTCCAAATGCTCGGCTTTATACTCATGTGGGCCGGTTTTGGACTTGGTGTCCGCTCCGCATTGGTCGGCAAGATGGTAAGCATTCTCCCTCCCAGAGTCTTTCTCGCCGTGGAGCGTCCGCGACACAATAGCACGTTCGCTGACTTTTTTGATCCCACAGCTCTTTAAGCAAGGGCACACCATCTTGGGCACTGTTGTCGTATGTGCCTTCTTGCTCCAGCCAGTACTGGGCTATCTGCACCACCGATACTACGTCAACCACGAGTCGCGAGGTCTCGTCAGCTACGCCCACATCTGGTTTGGCCGGGTGATGATGCTCCTCGGCGTCATCAACGGTGGGCTCGGCTTGCAACTTGCAAGTTCCAGCAACACCTTCGTCATTACGTACAGCGTCGTGGCGGCCGTCATGTTCCTATTCTATATCTTCATCAAGGTCCTTAAGAGGAACCAGGCTTCCCGACACGGAAACAAGGAGTTCGGGGAGGGACGGAGGGCATCAGCGACAGATGAATCATCCTGATACTTGAGATCAATGGTGGAGCTCGGTAGGTGTGCTTATTGATATGGCTGGTCACTGTTTTCACTGTTTCTGGGAATGCTTAGACTTAACTTTGGTAACAACCAGCAATAGCTGTCTAGAACGGCTCGATGGGACCTAAAACGGAACTGAGATGGAAGGCTGGGATACAGAAAGATTAGAAGCAGTTCTGGACATTAGGGAATAGGTAGATTGGATTCAAAAAGTGGTCCGTTAAACACACAAAAAGAAGTGAAGCATGCAATTTGCAGGTGAAGATATTCACATATGGGGGCCTGGAGGAGTTAGCCGTGTATCACGTGACCGGGTACGTTTTTGGCTCCTTTGCCCAGCGCCTGGGGTCTCCCTAGCCGGGATGAGGCATTCCAGCCGCCGATGTAGCCGGGTGAACTTTTGAAAACCTCTCAAACGATTACCCATCGACCTCTCCTGTTCCCCGCGTCCAATTGAGCACCACGCATACCTCCAAAATGCTCACCCCCCTCTCTAGAGTTTCGGTATGATATCCACGTCCCTTTACCGATGGAGATTTCCTCCCCGCCGCAGCGTGCCAACTGAATCGCTAACGTGGTCCCCACTCCAGAGCGCTCGGAAGGCCTTCTCGGCCGTCTCCAGACTAGCCACCCGCAATGCGGTCCAGATCCCGATGAGAACATTCATCGCCCCGACAGTTTCGCGACGAGGTACGTCTACAATCTCGATACTTTTCTCTGTGGCTGGGGCCGGGGGTGGGGGGTCAGCTGCAGGAGTGGACGATGTGTGTCGGGGGATATGATCAGCTTGGCGTCGGAGAAGGCAAGAGCGTCGGATCCACGAACTCGCTCCTCGAGATACCAATTCTTGGTTCATCTGGGAGTTTGATGAGGATTCCTGCTAGCCCAACCCCCCTAAACCACTTGTCGCTCCTCGCTCCTCTCCACTCCTCTGCCTCCCCTTCCCCCCTTCCCACGACCTTGTCTACCCCCCCTTCTCAATATCCCAGTTTTCCGCCCGCCCGGCCGCCCCGCTAACCGTGCCCCTCTTCGCAGCCGACTTCGTCCAGGAGCTCTACCTCAAGGAGCTCAAGGCGCACAAGGCGGCGCCGATCAAGGACTCGGACGCCATCGGGCAGGTCGCGACCTTCAGCGAGCCCAAGACGCCCGCGTCGCCCGAGGAGGCGGACCTGGCCTCGAGCCTCAAGGAGTACGAGAGCATGGCCGTCGAGGTCGAGGGCCAGGAGGGCGCCGACGCCGGAAAGCCCCCCGCCGCCGTCGAGGACTGGCTCGTCGACGAGGAGGAGGACGAGGTTGCCAATAAGCACTAAGCGAACAAGAAGACCTTTCGTGATGGTGGGAGGGGAAAGCCATGCGATGATGGGGGAGAATGACGGGGACGAGGATTGAGGGGGACACTGTCTTGATGTTGATGGGCAGTTGGATGGGGGTTGGAGGCAGATGAGGGTCTAGTCTGGGATCTCTCGGTCTGGCGCACATATGAACTGTGATGCCGGAACGAGTCAACTTGACGGGGATTCTCTTTCTTGCACGGAGGGGAGGGTGGAGGAGGAGGAGTGTAATCCATGTACATTGCGTTTCCGTTTAGCCATGGGTATACAAAGACGATCCATCAGTCTCCAGATGTATATGCCAGGCCAGGCCGTACCTACTTACTGGAGGGCATCTATCTCCCTCTCACTCACTTGGGGGGGGGGGGGGGGGGGGGGGGGGGGGGGGGGGGGGGGGGGGGGCGGGGGCCGGCGGGGGGGCGGGGC